AACCACCGTACGATGATGGGGAACGCCGTAGCGGAGGGCTCCGGTAATTTCGACCACCTGAGTTTTTTTGCATGAGCACGTATATCTAAACACAAGAGCTGTCGCCATTCCATACAAATACTTTGCGCTTTTCATTGATACCGTTATTTCTGCCACTTCCAGTGGCAGTTTAAAATTGTAAGACCGAGTTTAATCGCGAATAGTATACAGTTGAATTCGTCGCTACAGTTTTTTTTTGTTCTTTATTTTGGCCAGCACCTCGTCACATGTGTTGTCAGTCTACCTAAAGCTGGCTTTTCCACACTAAGACCTATTATGAGGAGAAACCCGCTTCTAGGATTTTTGTTAGTTGCAGGACGGTCATTTATTGAAACCGTTCCAGTCAGTAAAAATATATCTCTCAAGCAAAAGCGATTCCGTTCAATGGGTTTTTTCGTTCTTTGTTTCTTTCTTTCTATCTTGTCTATTTCTTTCTCACAACAAAAATACAGTAAATGACAGTGTTTTTGAAACCTGGCTTTTCCGTATAAAGAATCGCTTTGCGGAGAAACATACTTTACGGACCGTTTTCGGTTTGCAGAGAATCGCATATGGAAATATTTCAATCAGTCAAGTTTTCTAGACACTTCCAGAGCTTGTCGGCTCTATTCAAGATAGAAAGATTGAAGGTGTCATTTTCGACGAGCTTTCGGCTTGCTCTTGAGAATGTGGGGTAAGCGTTTTCTATTGCGTTGCATGCCGCTTGGGGTCGATGTAGTCTGCTATATTAGAGTTTCAAGGGTGGTGTGTTTAGAGTGCACGATTTTTATTGTGGCTTTGCAGTAGTTACGTTAAGGATGTTTACAGTCTCTTCTTGTAAATAAGCTCAAGATATATCTATATATACATTGCAATTTTCGGTTATAGGATGTTTTGAAAGAACGCAATTCTCTTCGCTGTACATTTCTGATGCAGAGATGGAGAAAAAACAAATTGATTCTACTGACACTGAATCGAATCCCTTCTCCATTTTTTTTTATATTTCGCCGATGAATGCGAAAATGCTGTAGGACCGTGTGCTCAGATTATGGTGCATCTTGAAGAACCCCTGGTGGTCGAAATTTCCGGAGCCTTCCACTGCGGCGTCTCTCATAACCATAGCGTGGTTTTGGGACGTTAAAGCCCACATGTTGATCAATCACCCTTTACGTCCGTCAAATACAAAGGTGGCTGAAGAGCTGCGAAGAAACTTGCGACACAACGCGTTTTCATGAAAAAAAAAAACAATCGAGTCAAACAAAAACTTGCGGCTAATTTTCCCAGTGAAAGCAACCGCAATATTCGAAACATTTAACCCCACTAACATCATTATGGAGCACTGCTTTAGTGCTAGTAAATGTACAGACATAACGCAAACTATACATTTTTCAAAGCTGAACAGCTTATAGTATTATTGCATCTCGATGATTGGCTGTATATGTTAGCTTATATCTCCTGATTCTCGTCATTAAAAAATCGTTTTCTTCAGTTTTAGCCTAGGAAATTTCGCTGTGTCGATGCTGGATTCAAAACTGTTTGCGAAAGTTCCTTCGCTTCTCGTAATATGCCTCGCATTGACGACCGTCGTGCTATAGTGTCTAGAATATGCAGTATATCCTAGACATTATGATCGTTCAGTGCTCATACGAGTCCGGCATCGGCCGTTTGCGTCAGACCTGCAGCGTCGAACTAAGTCGATCGTGGCCCGCTCCTCAATCGGGCGGCTTAATAGACTTTGCCGTCTTTTTTTTCTTGCTTTTATGTGCTTTGCTTCGAGGCATCCGGCGTCCTTCGTGCGTCACCAGCGTGGGCAGCTGTTTCGGGAAACGAACTATCGTTTTCCCCAGAAAAAGCGCGCAGCGGTTTGTTTCTGGGTCGCGCCTTCGAAGCTGTCTTCCCTGCGGGCATATCATTGCTGGGGCGGAGCCGGCTTCCAAGTCAGTTTTTTTTTTTTCTTTTTTGCTTTCTGACGCGAACAGCGCTTGATCTTTTTGCATACAGAGAAGCGCACGTCGCGATCGCCGTTTTCGTGTTTCGTCTGCTGTTCGTTTGTGTTACTCGCGACTCCTCGCTTTCCCTTTCTTTCGCTGCCGCGTTATAAAGCGTGTATTTATAGACCATTACGAGGTTGTCGTGGAAGTGAGGGAGATGTACGAGTGAGAGAGAAAGTGCGAAACTGCCGAGATGGGGAGCGGGAGAGAAAGTGCGACACTGCGGCGCGCTCGTGCTTTTGGCAGCAGACGACGCGCATGCTAGCGCCGCCGGAGGGAAAGGAGAGAGGTTGAAAGAAAGCCGGGCTGCCGGGCCGCATGCCGACCCCGTGTCAGTTAGGCCTAACGTGGGGCGCTGCGTGGCCCGGATCCTGGCCACGGATCTGGGTCACGGGCGCAGCGCCCCGATCCTGGAAACGTTCCGTTCCCGCATGGTCGATGCGGGACATTGTGCGCTGGGAGGGCAGGCTAGTGAGGGGCCCTCTTTGGCGGCGTCGCCGCCGCCAGTCTGTGCTCCTTATTGGGTCGGAGTTTCGCTTCTCTCCCTCCCTCTTATGGCGTTGTCTTTCACGCCGCGTGCAAAGCGCCTGTCCGCCCCCTTTCCGATCCCGTTTGCTCTTTCTTTTCTTCTTGGACGCTTGTATCGTGAGCCTTGTGTCATGGCTGAAGACAAAGCAATATTGAGGTCGTGCTTGATAGGGTTCATTCGGTGGTTCCCGGGTGCATATGTCTTGCCACTCGCCAGAAGTAGGTCACGCTTGTTTCCGAGGGGGGGGGGGGGGGGTCGATATCTTTCATTTTCCTCTTTCGCTGAGCCGCTACTGTTGCGTCGTCGGCACGTTTTAGTAACAGGATGTCGAGACGTGGACAACTTCTCGCGTTCATGACGGCAGCTTGTCAGTTTTTCAGGAAAAAGAGAAAAGAGAATGAAGTTTGCATCTCGAGGCCTAAGGTTCCTAGACACAAGATCCCACGCTGCACTTTGCCAAAACCTGATTGACCCATGCGGCATACTTTCTACCTCAGGTGTCAGCTTCCCGGTAGTCTCCTAGCTCTATTTGAAGATGGTGGCGTGTGACAGTGCCACGGCACTACTCTGCCATCAGAACTGGTTCGCTTTGTGGGTGTGAAGACGCCTGAAAGGAAGAACATACTGGCATCAGAATTGGTGCCATATTTGGCCAAACAGCAAAAACAGGTCGCCATATTTGGCTACTATGTCTTCAATATTCAAACAGTTCACTTGGTTCTGTTTTACTGTAAGCCGCCATTTTTCGCGTATTACGGCTTTTCTTGATCCTGGAAAAATGTATTCGCAGCAATGGATTTTTGTTCTGAAGTGATGCCAACATGAAGTCGATAGGGGTTAGCTTGGTCGTTTTAAGCTTGATTTCTAACTTTGGAATTTAGCTACACAATTAATTATAAAAAGAATTTTAAAAATGGTCTTGGGACCTTGGTTTTCCATAAAACACGGATTATATTGTCTCCTGTAAGGGTATCTTTTTAGAAAGGTACTTGTGTTTAGAAGTGAAGCCGACTTCAAAAGTGTATTGTCATGAATTCTTAATTTTTTCGGATTATTATTCTATCCAAAAAACACTAGTGTTTAGAACCCTAGAAAGGGTGCCGCGGTGCCTTTAAATGCATTGAATGTATTTTTAATTTCACTGCCTTAATAAGGCACTTTCGGTTTCGATATCGAGGAGGCAGCTCCGCGATCATTCTTACGTCACGAGCAGACAGCGACTCGTGTCGTACTAGCAGCAGCTCTGTTAGTCACATATGGTACACGCGAACAATGATGAATGCATTGTCTTTCAGTGACTACGACGTAAATTTTTGTAATTTTGGCTAAGCACAGGACACAGTTGGCGAACCCAGGAATCTTTTTGACTCGTGATAATGTCTGTTGCCATAGAGCTTGCTGTGTGACCGCTGTTTAAATTCGAAGTAAAATATTTTATACGTATTTTCTAGCTCTTGTGTGGGTAGAGTGTTAATGATGCATACCAAGGAAAACTAACAATGCCCCTTTTGCCATGTCTCAGAATTGTACCAGTACCCTTTTAAGGACGTATGTGCTAGCTTGGTTTCTGTAAGTTGGCTTTCTCATGATGTGTATGCCAGTGAATCCAACTCTTTTCACGGAGTGGAGATTGCTGTTCTTGTACGTGGGCTTAGCAAGCAAACACCCCTTAATGTGCACCTTGATGGCTGTGCCATTGTCATTTGTTGAGGAGAATGCTGGGAATTGGCTTGAACAACAATGAACATACTCACAACCTGGTCCTTCACACCAAACTGGTGTCAACCATGTCACCTCTTTGTCCTGCACTAAATGGCTTCGGTAGACATCTCTGTGCACAGAGCAGATTGCTCGTAATTTTCATTCTTTTTGCATCGAGCCAGGACTAACATTGTGGTGTATTACTATCTCTGTATGCCTCAGATGTACGCTTAAATGCCATTGTGCAGGTTTAAATTAATTTAGTTATTATTATTTGTAGCAAGAATTCGTGCAGTCGTAATCGTTCGCCAACGTCTTATAGTCAACCTTCCTTCTTGGAAAAAAAATATTATAAAACTGGTTTACACCCTACTAGTTGTGCTGATGAGCATAAGATTGTGCTCCGTTTGGAATATGGCTGCCATAGCTGCCGTCTTCTAAAGGGAAGCAGATATTACTGTACAGTTACTACTGCAACTACCAATCATAATAATAATAATGACTGTAACATAAGTGTGGTGGGTCACAGCGAAAATACTCTTGTACTGTGTTTTCCATGTGCACTAAAATTCACAAAGTGGTCGAGATATTTCCATGGTGCTTTGCTTCAGTCACTCATAACCCGCTGTGGATTTCTGCTCCTTTGAAACTTGCTGTTAAATTTGAAGTTTTTAGAGTTGTGAAGACTCTCGTATCCTGTCTCTTGTTCCCTGTTGTGACCAGCTCTCTCCCTCTTTTTTTTTTCTCTTGTGTGCGTGCAGATGGCGGGAACGCAGGACCAAAAGTGGCAAAAAGATGCGGTGGACCAGAACTTTGATTACATGTTCAAAATCCTCATAATAGGAAACAGCAGTGTAGGGAAGACGTCGTTCCTGTTCCGGTACGCCGACGACTCCTTTACGTCGGCCTTTGTCTCCACGGTAGGCATAGACTTCAAGGTCAAGACGGTCTTCCGACATGACAAGAGGGTCAAGCTCCAAATTTGGGTAAGTCTGGCTTTTTCTTGTAGCTTTCTTACTGAGTGGTATGTAATTTAAGATTTAGTAGTGCATAGTCATGCCCAACGACGAAGCTAGGGAGTGTAGTGTAGCATGAAAGAACCATAAAAGTTATAATCACCGTATGTAGAAAATTGTTCCCAAATGTAATTTGTGCACTGACAATTGTGCCGGTTCAGTTTTGTTTCAATGAGTGCAGTCATTAAATGGAGTGATGATGTTACACAATGTTAGACACCAAGCATGCCGCTAGTCTGGTAGCATCTGTTAAACTAAGTGTGCAATGTCACCCATAATGATGGTTTTGCTTGTAGCAAAATGGTGTTCTTGCTCATATAAACATGTTGTGTAGCATTACACCTCGTCATTTATTTTGCGAGGCATCAGAAACAAAGATTAGGCATTACTCATAATGCTGACCCCGTGTTAGCAACAAAATTGTCTCCCCTTAAAGTTACACTAAAGGAAAGAAAGCATGGACACTTTATAAATTCCAATGGGTGTTTGGAAAATGCCTGTGGCCATTTGACTGACTATATCATGTCTTTCTTTTTTACACTACCAGTGGAATGGCATTGTTATTAAGAGAAATATGTGCACTTTTGATACGTGAACATGCTGCTGCAAGAATGTTACGAATACATGTTATAGTAGTAAGGAAGTCACAGGGGTTAGAACATCTGTCTCAGCTGGTTTCAAAATTTTGCCCGGCCTCGCTATCCTTTTCCGCCATAGGGAGGGGAAAGGCATAGCCCGTGGTCGTGACTTTGCCCTCTTCGGCAACGTGACGAAATGTCAGCGACTCGTCATCATCATGCAGCCAACGACTGAGCAGGGGCAGCCCCAACATGAGCACGTGTCGTAGCAGTGCGGGGAGGAATGCTGGTGTGATGAGCACCCTTCCCTAGTGATTATGTAGCGAGATATCCTCTCTATCTGGGAGGCTTTCGTTCTGGCAGTACTCCTTCTCTCGGTAGTCTCCGGCTTTACAAAACAGCAGAGGGCAGCAAAGGAAAATGAAAACTGTGGACTGCACGGTGAAACTGCATCATTGCAGGTCTGAGCTGCCGTTTCCTAGGCCGAAGGATCAACTGACGAGCCCAGAGGCACATCACGTTGTCTACAGTCAAGCTTTCGTCACTGCACGTGTGAGGGGCATTGGTGGAAAGAATAAAGGGCACGGAAATTGTTTTGGGGGCGAAGCTCCATAAGGTCATGGCTTTTCCGCTGGCATGCACCATAGCCGTGATGACACTGATGACGATGAATATGATGACAATGATGATCATGGACAACAAAGGGCTTGTGCAGTAGATGACGTCTCGATAAGCTCTACGATGCATTTTGTATGACTGAAAACAACCAACAAGCACCAGGCCAATGTGCACAGACCTCGTTTTTGCCAACTTCAGGCTAGATCCGATACCACAAAGCAGTAATTATGAAGGTGAAATGGAATTCACAACTCAACACAACATACCATTTGTGACCAATACACCTTGTATATAACTGTTCACCTATTTTGTGAGTCATTTACATGCTTGAGTGAGACACAGTCACTGAACTCGCTCACGAGTTGTCTCTGAGTGAGTCCGGGTGAGTAATATTTTGGCGAGATTTGAGTCCGAGTGAGTCTAAATGAGAAGAATTTCAGTGAGTCCGAGAAAGTCCGGTTGTGGAACACATTGATGATCGTGCTAGCCAGAGTGAGTATTAAGGACAAGGTATGCTTCATGAGTGAGTCTGAGTGAGCTCTAAATATTTTGCCGACTTATGATGAGCGGCCAATGTCACAGCTGATCTACGATGACAGCGAACGATCCTACTACTTCGCCCACTCATCACCATTCAATTCAAGGATGTGCCGTGTTTTTGCCAAATGGAGGGTCTGCACTGCTTGCAGCGCTGAAATATTCGGAAATTGTGATTGCCGCAGTCTACTGTAAACATTGGCGAGCGTGTTTGGGGGGTGTAGAAAAAAAGTTTGAGCCTGTTTACTGGCCCTTTAACAGTAAACCAGACAGTAGTACATTTATAACGAGTGTTTTTATGGCACACTGAGCTTCATATAACAAGGTTATTGTACTAGAGCTACATGATACAGCCACCATTTAGGATCAAATCACGCTGTTTTTATACTTTTCCTATTTCTGATATGCATCGCACTTCATTTTGCTTGCAGAGCACTGTGAAAATTGCACAGATTGTGGTCTAAGTCATACGTAACTGTTGCTTCACCATATTTAGGACTGTCTAAATGTGTCATGTGTATTATGTATACATGTTTTATTAAATTTTAGTTGCAGCTTACAAAGTACCATGAAATTCTGAGCAAGCCCCCTACTATGAAAGATAATCGGACAATATTTAAAGGGGGGGTGGTAGGCCCTTGCTTGGTCAAGGATAGAAATTTGAGATACTGGGCTGTGAAAAGGCTGTGAGATGGCTGTGAGAAGAATGCACAGCTGTGCTTTTCATGAAATGCTTTATTGAATATGCATGCATTTGCCATTTTTACTGAATCAGAGGGAGTCCTCATGCGAATTTTCATGCGTTAGGACTGAGGGGGATAGACATTCTTGAAATTTTGTGACAATTTGTGAGATCACTAAGTGAAACTCTGAGGCACTACATCGTAAGTACACTTAGAAATTGTGCATATGTCTAAAGACTCTCAGAACTTGAGTTCTCAGGAAACCACCGCTGAGAGATTCTGTAACGGAGAGCAGGTTGTAAAATAAAGCATTAGAAGCGGCTTAGCTCGGCTATGTCAAGATATACGTAGCATGAGCTATAGATGGTCGAACGAACCGCGGATGCACAGATGGATGGACCACGGACGGACAGACGAATCATGAGCAAAGCGAACCACGAGTGGACAGACGAGCCACGGATGGATGGACAGATGGATAGATGAACAGATCAATGGACTAGCGAGCGAGCGATCGCACGCAAGTCGAGCGCCTGCCTATTAGTGACACGTCACTCCAGGGGTTTCCTAGGCTCTCTGATGCACCAGCTGTGTGCTGTGTGATGCCGCTGCTGTTCGTGCTTTCACAGAACTGCTCATCACAAGCCACGCGAAACGACTCAACCTCAGCCAGTATAGCTTGTGCTGCAAAAAAGATGCCCAGAGGGAAGGAGGGGATGGCATTGTTTTGGTCATTGGCACATATTTTAAGTCTCTCAAGAAAAAAAAGAGAGGGGCGCTTGCTTGGGTAAGATCCCTTGCTTGGGAATTAATGGTCAACACTATGTGAAAATAGTGCATGACACATGACTTTTGCTTGCATTTTAGTGGCATGGGCAGTCTTGTAGTTAAGAAGACAGTCACTGCAGCATTTCCTTCTGCATACGAAACTAAAAATAAAGCATTATAAATTAAGGATGTCATGAGACCCTAGGTTGTTTTTTTAATGTGCACCTCATTCTTGGAAACTGAATCGGAGGATAAGTAGGCAATAGAAGTGTGCCTAACCCTGCAAAAGCTGTGCTCACTCCTTGCAAGACAATTTGGAGGCGGATGCTGTCTGATGCCTGTCCGGAATAATGGTTTTGTGCAGCACTGTGTTGGTAATGAGAGGCCTGCTAGTCTTGAAAACTAGAAAAGCTGTCGTACACCAAAGCCCTCTACACTGAAACTTCATTATAACAAAGTTGTATCTTACCCAAAAATGGTTCATTATATGTGAAAATTCTTTATAAAAGTACTACATTCCTATCACTATATCTACTGCAAGACTATTTTTTAGTTACTTCGTTATATCCGATAGTTTGTTATATCTGAGTTCATTATATCGAGGTTTGAGAGTATGGGTAGAACATACTCTTCTTTCACTTTTCAGTCATGAAGGCTGGCGGGGCTTCCAGCATGCCTGTGCCCATTTACTACTTCAGATAGCATGATGCTACTGTGCGAAAGTTCACTTCCCTTGTTTCAAGCTATGCGCCCTGGTAACCCAGGTATTGTGAATGAGTGGCACCCAATCCACCATTTCAAGAATGCCATAGAGAATCAGGACTCCTCTTATGTTAACAGAGACTTCACATTGAGTAATGCTACTGTCTTGACTGTGTTTGTGAACTTCAATCACGGAGTGCCAGCGAAAACACAGAAACGCACACAGAATAAGAAGTCGGCACACACAAGCGAAAGCTGAACACGTACACAAAAAGAAGGTGGTACACACAGACGAAAGCTGGATCCCAGAGTTCATCCGCAGGTGCCGCCTTCTTCTTGTGTACTTGTTTCTGTGTTTTTGCTGGCACCCCATCTTTGAAGTTCTAGATGCACAAACTGGACCAAGAGGTAGCGCTTATTGATTATCGCAAATTAATGCAACCCTCTACCATTACATTGTCGATGGCCATGAGAGATTGCCAATGTGTGTGAATTGGCTCATTGTGCTTTCAATTTGGGAGCAGAAAGCAAGCTCTAAGCAATCTGATTCCTCGCAGGATACAGCTGGCCAGGAGCGCTACCGAACAATCACAACGGCCTACTACCGTGGGGCTATGGGCTTCATCCTAATGTATGACGTTACTAATGAAGAGTCTTTCAACAGTGTTCAAGACTGGTGAGTGCTACCTCATCACCCAAGCATAATGGCAGGGAGGTGTAGCTCCTTACTGCCACCACGTGCATTTTATTAGCTTGTATAGCAGATTGAGGCAATGTCACCTTCATTTAGTTTGATGAGCATGTCGTGTTCTAGCAAAGTAAGTTTTATGCTTTCTGCAATGTAATTGTGGTTTTTCCATTAGCCTAGTATAATGTGTAACTACTAAAGTTTGTTTAAACAATGACAGACAACTCAGTAAATTTAGTTTATCTGTTTTGCTATTTCGGAAACTTATAATGTGGTTTATGCTTTTTTTAATACAAAAGCATGTAAGTTAGCCCACAAATGTACTGCATTTCTTACAATGCACACAACTTGTTCAATTACCTTCCACTTAATGGCATTCTGTCACAGTAGTGTTCTGGCTTAGGCGAACAGTCTCTCTAACTGCTTAGAGTTGCTACCGTCGTTGTGAAAAATCTTGTAAGCATTTGTGTTATTGTTAAAAATAGCCCTACTGGTGTAATAGACAAAGCAAATTGTTCGGTTTCCAAGTTCAGGGGGTAGTACACAGTTTGCATACCAGGATAGAACATGATAGTTTTAGAAGATGCCACAGAACCTATATCAGCCGCTTACTTTCAGGGTAGGACCTAAAGGTGCACATAGTCTCGTCAGAGGAGAGTATAGGGCCAGAGTTGTTGGTGTCCTTTTGTTTTTGCCGATAAAAATGGCTGCCCTGACTATAGCCATGTGCAGCAGGGAGGCAATGAGCTGCCCTTCCCCCCGGTCATCTAACAGGGGCACCAAATCTGCTTTGTACCTTTTCACTCAGTCAGACCTGTGTCATCATTAAATAATGTGCAGGGTTATGCCCATGCAAATTTTTAATGACGTCAGCCGAGGATTGTTGATGTTGCCATCAAAGAAAAAAAAAAGCAGTTTTTTTCCATCTTTACCTTTAGAAAGACAGGTGCCAAAGCAGGATATTGTGAGAAGTACTTTGTCGCTTTATTTTCAGTTTTGCATCTGTTGTGGAGCTTGTTTATTTTAGGACTTGACCGAGACGAGGGTCTGTAGTAAAATCTTCCCCTCCCCTAATGGAGAACACTGCGCACACCTGTAGCCCCGATCACCCAAGTTTGTCAGTTCTGGCAACAGCATTTGTGTACTGAACGGTTTCACGAATGTCGACACTCCACTCTCTCCTCGGCACCTCACAGGGTGACGCAGATCAAAACGTACTCAGTGGGACAACGCCCAGGTGATCTTGGTGGGCAACAAATGCGACATGGAGGACGAGCGGGTGGTGAGCGCCGAGCGTGGCCGGCAACTGGCCGACCAGCTCGGGCTCGAGTTCTTCGAGACGTCGGCCAAAGAGAATGTCAATGTCAAGGCCGTCTTCGAGCGCCTCGTCGACATCATCTGCGACAAGATGTCCGAGAGCCTCGACTCGGATCCCGCGCTCCTGGCGGGCGGCGGCGCCAAGGGCACGCATCTCACCGACAACCCCGCCGCACCTGCAAATGCCTCCTGTCAGTGCTAGAGCCCCTCCTCTCCTCTTTTCCTCCTCGCCCCTGCCCCCCTCAGGTCAGCCTCTGCTGGTTGAGCTGCTAGTTGTGACCATGTGGCACTCAGCTTCCCCATGAAAGACAGTGTTCTCGGTTGATCGCGTTCTGCAGTACTTTCATTTTTGTGCAGCATAGCATCCATCCCTGTGCCTAAGAAACTAATGGCTATATATAGAACAACAGAAACTTCATCTATAATCGGGTACAACTTAAGACGCTCGGAGAGACGACCGATAAACTGCCGTGCCCAGATGACTGAAGTGTGGCAGCCAGCCGCCATTGTGACTAAAAAACAATTAGTCTTGCACACAACAATGTTCTCTATAGGCAGGGTTACTAGCTGTCCTGCTCATCACATCAGCCCATTGATGCAGGATTGTGTGCATTTGTTTTTGATGAAGAAATAAAAATGCCACAGACTTCTAAAGTTCATCCGACTATAGTTTATAAGGAGGCATTAAAATATAAAGTTTGACATGCAGACACTGACACAAGAAGTGGTACAATCTTTCACAAAAGAAGACATGTCGCAACCTTTCCGTTGATAGTCACATTTGCCTTGTCCATTTCCTTTCACTTGCATCCGTATGTCTACACCTAACATTTCTTCGATGCAAATTCCTGGTCTGTATTTCAGGACAGCATTTGGCTGCATGGCACATGAGTAGTCTTGTTGATTTAGTACACGGTTGCATTCTACAGGTCAACTTGAAACTTAGAATGTCATTGTAGGATTCCTTGAACAGTATAATTTACTGTACTCTGGTATAAAATAAAAGCACATTAAAGGGCCAGTTGGTTGAGTGTTCAACCAACTTGCATTGATTGTGTGACAATAGAACAGGACAAACATTTGAAAAAATAATAATAATAATGCTAAAGAAAGAGTGCAGGGCACTCTGTAATCAATTGTAAACAATGGTCTTTTTTACTGTTGGTTCACGAACAATTCACATTCGTCAACTACACTTTCGTGTCTCGTGAAGCCTAGAGTTAATGATTAGGAGTGATGGGGTGGGACCTGTTACTTGGAGTTCACCACTAAGAAACAAGCCTGTATTATATCAGCAAAGTGAATGCATTTGTAGAAATTGGAGGTCGCAAATTGGTCTGTCACTTCACTGGCAGGCATAAACCAAGATCACTGTCTTTCTGCCACCTTATGATGTTTGAATGTCACTTATACATATAATTTAAACTGCAAACAAGTGTTTTTGTTATTCTTTAAAGACTCAGTGCTTAAACCCATGTCTCGTGTGCTAAACACAGGACCCATATGTCTCAAGAGATGTGCTCACCCCAGCACAGGATAGACATAAGTCAGCAAAGGTGCTGTTGGTAAACATCATGCTCAAGTTTGTGCAGATCACTACTGAAATTTCCTAAAGGTCGGCTTTTGCTCATTTCACTAATTGGAAGCTGCAGAAAATGGAATGCATGTAACAAGCTATTTTCAAGAATACCTGTCTAGCATATCTAGCATAAGTCTTCTGCGCTGTGTTCCACTGCAGTGCACCCTGTGTTTGCATTGCCTTTGCAAAAAAGTTTTTGCTGCAGGGCAAATGCCTCAATGCAACTAGATTACAAGCCAGGAAACATTTGGAGTAGTTTCACTGGCAAACTGAGCATGTAACTGCACACGTATACCGTACCACGTAATATGGAATACTATTCCGTGTTGGTTCTTATTGGTCATTTTTTTCCCCCGTTAATCAACTAAGCGACCGCTTCTGGTGCTGTGAGCACTTTTCTATGGACATTTCGAAATACCTCGGTGAGCCCCCGAATGAGCTACGTGATGACACTGTGAACACGAAATGGTATTTATATATGGCAGCAATAATATGGAACATTTTGCATGGAATTCGGAATAGTATTTCGTATTTTCTGGTATGAATAGGTTTCTATGAATCGAACGATCCTGGCGCAGAGGATGGCGTTGCTAACTGCTGCACTAAGGAAAGTGAGGTAAACCGAGTGCCCTGTGGTCTGAGTCGAGCATTCTTGAGCCAGCGCAGGCATACCAGAGGCGCCCCTGTCCCTAGTGTCCACGCACCCCACTCCCCGAGTGCTAAACGAGCGCTGCTCCCTTGCTGTTGTTGTTGCTGCTGTGACCGCTGCCAGCTTGACTGCCGCTAAACAAAGCGAAGGCTGCGCCTGGGTGACTGCTGAACTGTGTCTGTGTAACGTGTTATCTCGGCCAACCGTAATGGCACTAACTGGTCATTCTACTCCTGTTTATGAATTACAGTGATGGGTCTATATTCTTGTTCATTTGTTTTTCTTTTCTTGGGTCTGATTATTGTTGCAAGATTTTGAGTGACATTGATAGCGATACGTTGTGACACATTGCGGCACACAGATTGTGAAGCAGTTGATGTGATGCATCATTTTGCTTGACAGGCATTGGCAGCCCGCCACACACGTTGTTTCTCTTAATTGTCAGCACATTCGATTCTTGTTTCGCGAAATCTCGGTAAAAGGATTCACACTCCCAAGGTCATTTTAGGCTGAACTAAAACTTGGACAACTAGGTTACAAAGAAAGAAGTATGTTGGCATATGTTCAAAATGGGAACACCAATAGGTGTAGTGAATGTACTTGCTTCTTTTTCATATTAATGTTGTCTGCATGCCATTTTTTTTCTATCTTTTCCCTAGTAATGTTGAGGTGTCCAATGATAAGGTATCCCTTGCACTGCAGCTTACCATGCGACTCCTAGTGTATACTTTCACAGCTGTGATCTGGGTTCTAGTCTTCAGTGATAACTCTCATGCCACAGCCAGTGGCTGTGCTGGTCTCGCATTGAATACAGTGCTAACATGACAAAATGGGCCTTGTAGTTCAAGTGCCAATTAAGATTTATTATCTCTTGTCTCCTGTTGCATTGGTTTTCTGATGTACAGTGCAGCTTCTAATTGTGACTTGTATTTTTTTTCCGAGTACTTTTTTAACGAAAAAGGATCCACAATGGACATTCGCTTCAGTTTTTAACCGAAGCACGGACTCTGAAACACTCTCCTTTCTATGTTGCCTGAGGCAGCCAGATTACAAATGGCGAGTCCACCGACTGATGACTGAAAAATTGACTCTTAATGCTGTAGCCCTTCTCGGGTGCATATGTAATCACATGCATCAGTTCGCTGGCCCCAAGAGCCTCTTTGAGCTGCACTTGCCAAGCTAAAGATATATATATATAATATAATACAGGAAGCCAGCATTATGATGAAATTTCTTGCCTAGACGCCTTGTGCCTTTGGATTTTATGTAAGCAGCATGCAGGTCACCACGCATCCCGAGTATTGAAGCAGGCCAATGCATTTTGCTCTTTCAGCCGTACTGCAAACTGCCCTTATTTGTGTTTTGTTCTCTTTCAGACAGCTTTGTTAAACCAGGGTAATGCAGCAGTAATCAGACATCAGTACTAACACACACTGCCAATTAAGTTTTCCTATCGCTTACTGCTGTGAGATTAGGGGAGAGGTGTTTCATTAGCCGGAGCCGTTTCATTTCCGCCAAGTTCACGTAAATGTTTACATCTGCAGAAAAAGTTCATCGTTGTCCTTTTTAACTGTGAATGGTTTGAAATTATTCACCATCAATAGCTTAACTGTAATCTCCAAGCCATGTCACTGAGGGGGCATCAGAGCTCATTGTTGTAGCATGAAGCATCAGTAAGCAGAACTTTTTTTTTTTTCATGATCTGCCCTTAATATGCAGTAGCCGTTATAGTCGAAAGATACATAAGCTGTTCTTAAGAGAAGAATAACCTTTGCGTTTGATGTGCTGGCAAGAGCTCCCTGTGTCCGAGCGTCATTGTGCGTACAAGCGACTGTTTTTTTGTTTTTCTTGGCACGCTTAACTTTTGAAATATCAGAGCTATTGTGATGCCTCGATGACACAGCAGAGTCTCAGTGTAACAGAGTTGAATTTTATTTTATTTTGATGAACTTTAGATGAATTTTATTTGCATTGAAGCAAGTTTTTCATATGCCTCGGGGCATTTCGTGCAGAGTCTTCAGCAGTTCAGCCAGGCGCAGCGAAGCGCTTGTAAGACGGGAGAAACCTTAATAGTCTGATGTCGAAACGGGGCTCCTTTATTTTCAAGTCTCAATTTTTCCTGTTAACATCTGGAACTACGTTGTTCGCTCATGTTATATCTACCCCGTTGTTGAAGTGTTCTAGAAGTTCTTGGGGATCTGTTTTGACCTGATTTTTGGGGGGCTTGATTCAATGAAGTAGCAATTTTTGAGTGGCCATTGAGCAATTTTCTAGTTATGTATTTGAGTGCATCAATGAAAATTTTCGTCAGTGCATACCAAAATTTCTATTGTTGAGAATCTTACCTGACCAATTTTCTATTAGTAGTCAGGGATGGCTGCTGAAGAACACTCTGTTCTATCCATATGACATATGACTCATGAAACACTTGTTACTTGGTCGACAATCTTGGTTGGCATGTAAATGGTGGCCATTGTCGGTTGCTCTAGTATTCACCTCTCGGTTTTTTCGGGAGCGTGTAGGAAAACTGGGTGCATATTCTAAACCAATCGTTTTTTGGCAGTGTCACTTCTAGTGGAGTTCAGTTTGCTTACTTAGTTCAAGAGATACAAGGCGAGAAGGGCCCACATTTGGCAGTTTATGCGTAGCATAGTCCTCCAGCTTATTACCACAGCATCTATCAAGAATGAGATGACAAATTGGTTGTCAACTTCGTGCGAAGGTGCGACTGTCTCGGAAACCGACAGGTTAGGAATGGGGCTGCAATGTCACAGCTCGCTTGCCAAAGCCAGAACATAGCTACAACTTGAATCAAGCCCCTCCCCCCACCCCTCCGCAAGGCCTTCCTTTTCGCCTGTTGCTGCGTGGTTGTCTGAGTTAAGATAAAAAAAAGAAGGTGTGTGTTCTCCGTGTGCGTCTCTCGCTTGTTTTACGAAATGTCTGCCGTCTGCTCGTTGTCTTCTCGCGGCCGAGCCAGGCGTCGGGTCGGTCCTTTTTATTTTGGGCGTCGCGCATTTCCTGGCGTCAGAGTGCCGGAGGAGATGAGTGGCGCCTGTCGACAATGAGTGTGACTTCTGTAAATGCTGGTTGCCCATGTATAAATGTGTATATATATTCTTTTATGAACATTGTTCCCCCGATACAACCCGTTCGCCCACCTACCTTCCTTTGTTTTTTTTCCCCCGATTCTCCCTCAACCCTGTCCCTCGTGTTATTAATTGAAAGGATGATGGAGAGTGAGAGCAGAAGAGCCTGGCAATAAGAAGCAAACATAGAGTTGAGGTTAAAAAAAAAGGGGGAGGGACACCCTTCTTTCTTGTTAGTTGGGGGCAGCAATGTGATAAAAATGAGGGAAAAAGAAATAGATTGTAAGATAATTTCATTTGTTTTCTCTTTTTTATCACTGTGGCCCTTTTATGGAGACTAAGGGAACCCTTTATGGAGAATAATAAACTTACATTTGTGAAGGCAGGATCGTTAATGTTTGTATTTCTTTTTTGAAGAGAGCGGCAGTAGCGTCCTGAATACATAACAAGGTAACGCGAAACAACCCCAATTGCCCATGTGGATGCCCTCTCCTTTCCTCAATTATCTTATGCATGTTTTGTATGACAATTAGAAACTCTAAAGTATCAAGCTAGATTTTTTTTCTTTAAACTATGTAAATTTTATTGCCTCGATTGGGAATGCTGGCCAGCACTTTTGTGGCAGGTACTGCATATCTGGGGCCTTTTGTCTGGAGTAATCACTCGTGAGGCTTGTTCACACATGTGATTTGCTCCGACCGTGCGACCATTTGGCAAAGAAGTGATTCGAGGCGATAAATTTTCAGGCCTGTATGCGACTTGTAATCGTCGCCTCACGGAATGGACGTCTGCTCACATATGGCTCGCATCGTCATTGCACCATAAAATAGTTTACTTCATGTTCTTGGGCACTTGATTGCTTCAGATGTTTGCGACTGTGGTTGCGCGACTGGGTCAAAGCCTTGCGACTGAAGCAGTCTTCGTGAGACTAACCTGGTCACACGACCGGTGCTGGTCGAAAGTGTGAACGAGCCTGTAGCGCTAATGTGGTCTTGCATTCATCTCAACTAGTCATCACTAAAGCGAACACACACTACAGTCTTACCCGAGCTCTGACATACAACTAGCCGTACCAACAGGTTCCAATTACCAGCACACGATACATGTTGCGCAATGTAAGAAGCACTCTGGAAGTAATCACATTAGAATTTGACCTCCATTCGAAGCCTTGCTGAGCCCATCTGCTGCTTCAATAACTGCACTGAAACAGAATTCTCGTACGTTGAAACTCAAGTTCTGGTGTGCTGCAGGGTGCGTTGACTGTAGTGACCGGCATATTTCGTGCATTTAATGACTTTGCATCCTGAAAGTTTGCGATTCAGGAGAAGGTGACTGCTACCAGTACCAATCAAATTGCTTGAGGGAAAAACTCAGCCACGAACGATGTTGCACATGGCCATGTACATTGGATACAGGTGGTGAAGGCCTTAAATATACCTGGATAAAGTTGTGGCCCGGGCGACCACATTTCGATAGGGGCGAAATGATAGAGGCCTGTGTACTCAGAATTAGGAGCACGTTAAATAACTACAGGGGGTTGAAATTTCAATAATTAATAATTATTGAGATTTCTTGAGCCTTACACAATAATGTCCCTCATAACCGTATTGTGATTCGGAGATGTTAAACCTTGTCAATTATTACAGTTGGAGCCAAAATAGACAGTCCTAATTGTGATTAGTTAAGAGCGCAGGCTGCATCGATAAGTCCAACAGTGATCAAATTGGCCCTACTTGTTTCAAGATCGCTGAACAAGTTTTTCTTTGTGTTGATTAACGTGTCCGACATGTGACACTAATGAAAAATGTCCCTTTTTGACTATACATGAACCGAATGGCACAAACTTCTGCGCACGTAGGTGTATTATTCTTTACACAGGTGCTGTTTTCTTTCATTGTCTTAAGATGAGCACTGTGTCCAACGTTAGCCATCGGGCCAGCCATTTGCTTCATTAACGATTGGGTTCAGTGTGGAAGATAGTAACTCATTACACATTCCATGCCTGGTTCTATCGGTCAACGCAGCACTTTTGTGGAGCCTTGCAAGGCATGTCCAAAATTTCGAGCTTCTTAAAAGTGAGTTGGGTTGTCAGCGACTGGGAAGTCAAGGCAGCATGTAGCATGCCTTTGAAGCGTCCAGCAAGTGGTCATTAGAGATACCTATCTGATCAGGTTGAACCAGATGCAGCAAAAGTTGGTGCTCACGCATTAACTGGCCACTACAAGTGTCATATGTTGCCGGCAAGCACGTATTGCTTGTTCTTCACGTACATACACATTTCAAAATAAAGTGAAACCACACGCAAAGTCTGCATTTATAGTAGTTCCTTGCATCTCTCGCCCAGCTAGCTAGCTTGTCCCGTTTTTAATTAAAATGTACAAGTGTAACCTAAATGACGAGAATGGAAATACTTTATGTTATAAAACTGTAAAAGAGTGCATTGTATGGGTACAACTTCAGCAATCATTCCATTTTTTTTAACTGTGTTGTTGTGCTGGCATTTGTTTTCTCTGCTTACCTTCTTATACATTGCGGGTTATATTTTTGATATTCTCTTATGTTTAATCAAAGCATTTTCGCCTGTGTGACTATTGCTGTGAAGCTTTGCTCTCCTTTATCTTTTTTTTCTATTTTGTATTTCTCCCAAAAATATTTTTGACCAAAGAATTCCTCCTGCATTTGTGATCTACTTTTATATACGAGATTTTAAAAAATTTCTTGCAAGTGAATTTTGTACACTTACAATTTGACTTGCAGATTTCCCAGTGGTATTCTCACTGTGGCTGGGTAAAAAAAAAACGAACATTGTGACTTTTTGTATCTCACGATGAGTTCTAGTCGCTAAAACGTTCTCAACCGCGTACCAACTGTAACTTCGTCGGTCCGCATTGAGCTAGTCATTTTTGCAATGCAGTGCAATTTCGTTGTAATGAACCCCAGTGTGACTCCGTGTCAAGCACTTTAGTATTGCCCGTATTCTTGCATATGGAATCCTCACTTGAGATTCATTTTTCACAATGACGCCTGATACAATGCTGTGAGCATTGGCTGGTGCTCGAAAGGTGGCACTGTCCACTCTGCTCGACATTATAACCTGCAAGATGTTTCCGGATTGTATTCAAAGCCTAAGCCTTCAATGAAATAGTGTCTAGTAGTTTTTTGCAACTGCCTACGCTGTTATTCAGATTGCACATTTGTGAATCAGTCTTCGAAGCACAGCCATGCTTGCTTGTTTTTCGTTTATTTTAACGAAGACAGTTGTTGATGTGACATATGAGGACGAAGTGTAATTTTTCATGGTTCGCGTAATACAAAACAAGACGGCTGGCTTGCACTGTACTGAAACACTAAGGGGCCACAGATTTTCTTCTTGAATGATCTAAATTTGAATGACTATGAAACCTGTTGTTATGCTTTACTCAATGAGTATGCAAAACGGTAATGAGCATTGGTCATTGCTTAGATCATGAACGGAGAAGAAAGCAGTTCAACTGGGAAACACGTGACCAAGTGGGCGGCCCCTGACAATGTGCACGACAAGCGTGAATGGGAAATGTGCGTGCACTTTGATTGTTTACGCCCCGTGCTAGCCTGCAACTGTGATTCCCTCTTCCGGGCAGTATGGTAATAGAAGTTGACTGCATAGGAAGCACTTGTTGAATTGGACAACTTTTTTTTCAGCATGCCATCTGCGTAGCAAGCGGCCAAAATTGCGACATCAGTTCAAAATCAACTTTTGAGTCATCCAAGTGTGAATTCGTATGACCCGCAGGTCATGGAATGGAATTCCAGCCGCGGCGGCAGTATTTTCGATGGAGGTGAAAATTCTTGAAGCCCGTGTGGTCAGATTTATAGGTGCACGTTGAAGAATTCCAGGAGGTCGAAATTTTCGGAGCCTCCCTCTATGGCGTCTCTCATAACTATATCGTGGTTTTGGGATGTTAAACCCCAACAATTATTGTTATAAAGTCTGAATTGGTGCAAGTCAGCCGTATTGGTTTTTTGAGATTGTTGGCTACGAGACAGTTTGTTTCTTTAAGAAGTCAAGTCGGCCAGGCGGTTGCACATTTGTGGCTCGAAGCGTAAAGTAACCCATGTCTTTCTTTTTCCAGTCAGTGCAAGTTTATAGTAGCGATTCCTTTGATGGTCCTGTGTCTGGGTTTCATGTGCCACTGTATAACCTTCGCATGAAACGTTGAAAAAAAAAAAAAAAGTGGTATGCCTGCAGTGATAGGAGTGTTGCTGTAACTATGTGAACAACTCTGTGAAAATACTACGTTAGGGGAGTGTGAAGAAATAAAAAAAAAAGACTTAACAGCGTTCATTTCAGCCTGCTTTCGGAGGTACTTCGCACACTGCAATGGCAGGTTTCCTGCTCGATGCATGAGCGAGTGTTGGGGCCTAAGACATGGTGATAGCAGCGCATGTCGTGACGTTTTTTCCTCTGAATCCGTAGGACTGGAAGTTAATGCAAGGATTGTTGAACTTTTAAGTAGAGGCACTGCGGTAGCTCGATATGAAGCCTGCATGAGCGCTTTTTGCTGTATTCGAGAAAACGTCGGCAGCCTACTGTGCATCTGTGCTTGTGTGTATGACACGTGGAGGCTTGAATGCACAAACCACGGTCTGGTTGAAAAGTTTTGAGATGACCCTGTGCTGAGTCCTGAAGTGCGTGCTGTTGTAGTTTGTTACACCTGTTACAACTGCATCATATTCTCCACTGGTCCTCAAGATGGTGTGCTAACCCCTTTAGTAACTCCTTGATGCCTTACTAAATTGAAGTTGACTCTAAAAGTGGGACTCGTTGTTGATCTCTTCCCTATTTCTGTTACCGTGTTAGGAAACATTTGTGCGACATCTACAACTAACATCTCTTAATTAATGACATTAGTTTTTATAAGGGCCTAGCTGAACATTCATTACTCTTTCAGTGTTAATGAATTACTAATATGAGTGCTAATAAAGCACAAAGAGTTGTAGTTGCTCGCTCTTGTACTTTCAAACTAATCTCTGTAAGGGCCTGAACGTAGAAGTCGCATCTTTGGATTTTGTGTAAACTATCTTTAGCAATTGTAATTGAATGAAGACAAACACTGGCTTGGGGGGAGGGGGGGGGGGGAGGCAAGCTGCCACATTCTACATTGTGGATAGTCTGACCTGCCACAGTTTCAAAACTTTTCAACCACGCCCGCCTGCTAGACAAAATTATGTGCATACAGGAATGCTCAGTTCAGGTTCCCCCCCCTAGGGAATTCTAGGAATATACAAGCTGCTGAACTGGGGACCTTTCGTTTCACCTATTTTTATAACCATTGGAATTTAGGAAATTACAAGGGAAATGACCAAACATAATTCTGGATATTTTTTTTTTTGTGATAACAGTACCAATATTGTTCCTGACAGCCATCTTCTAACAACACTGAGAGATTAAAAACTGCATCCTGCGATTCCTTTTTTTGCCCTGTGCACATTTACTTTTGTCACAGCAGTAGCTTATTTCCTTGCTCTTGTCTGTTAAAAAACTGTTGAGTTGTACAGGATGCTTGGCTGTGTTGGGATGTAGCAGATTAAACTTTGTTAAAAAAAAAGAAACAGTGAAGTCATTTCTGGCTAGGTGTAACTTTACATTAAAAAAAGTGGAGAGAATAACCTTCCAAGAGCAAACAGCAGCCAACACTTTTCTCTTTTATTTTTAGCTTACCAAGTGTGAAGGACACAACCATAACCATTTCTCCTTCCTTTCACCCACTCTTTCTGTTTTACTGAAAACAATTCCGTTGTGACTAGTTGTAAGGCTTCTTTTCCTAGTTCCAGTGCTGTGGAATAAACAACAAAAAAAAATTAAGAACTTCTTGGTTACCTTGGTTCTTGTCCTAACATCAGTACAGGTAGTAATGGTGTGCTGTTCTAAGGCCTTCAAGTTTAACCAATTAAATGCCACCTGCACCCTTAATTTTCATGCTGTCAAATAAGCAATAAAAATAAGAAAACCAATATTCGGTGACTTGAGTTTGTCTTAATGTAAGAGAAGATAGTATTCGCAAGCTATTCTACAACCTTCAAATGTAACCCTTTAAAGGCTTACCACATTCTTAATTTCTTTGCTGTGCAATAAACAATAAAAGCAAAGATGAAAAAAGATGTAACAGTATTTGGTGACCTGTGTTCCTGTCATAAAATGAGAGCAGATGGTTTCTGTGAGCTCTGTGGGGGCTTTTAAGCTTTACCCTTTAAAGGCTTACAGCATCCTTCATTTCTTTGCTGTGTAACAAAGAATAAAAGGAAAGAAATAAAAAAAATGAGATAGTATTTGGTGACCTGGGTTCCTGTCATAACATGAGAGCAGATGGTTTTGATAAGCAGCGTTCGGGCCTTCAAGTTTAATCCTTTAAAGGCACACAGCATCCTTAATTTCTTTGCTGTGGGTAAAGAATAAAAGAAAGAAAGCAAAAAAGATGAAATAGTATTTGGAAAGCCCTGGCTCCTGTAGTGCGCTGCACTGAATATCATCATCAAGGAACTCAAAGAAGAAAAGGAAGAAGACCTCTTTGGCACGAGCGCATGCTGAATATGCCTTACAGATGTCTATGCTACATGTCGTTTCACCTGCATTTCACCAAGCCACGATGACAGCATACGACAGGCCTGGCCCCTCAAGAGCTCCGCACTTTAAATAATTCACCAACCTGGGTTCTTTTCCAGACGAAGAAGCAGATGGTTGATTCTTAGGGCCTTATGTGTTAAAGGCCCATTGCAACGATAATGCACTTTTACAAATTGATTGTAATTGTATGGAGCATATACCACAAAAGCAAGTTCAGCAATTCTGCAGTAATGTTCATGGCTCTCACTTCGAAGGTCATGCCTTTGCCATACATCACTACTGTAAAGTGACAACGGCAATGTTTTATCAGCTCTGGTTAAAAAAAACAACTTTCATGTGTTGAACTTGTATAGAGACACTTCTTATCCACATTTTCCTAAACTACATGTTTAATGTGTAGTTTGCCCGACAAAAAGAACATTTATGGCTGGTTTACTTTTTACATGACAAAGGCCACACGACAATTCATTGAGTGTCACTATTTTCGTCTCATTTTTTAGTTGGTCATACCGGTGCAGGAAGCCAACTAATATTTTGAAGGATGCAGACCTGAGTTGCAAAGTGCTTCAGTGTTGATTACAAGGCATCTTTGAGGAACAGTGACAGAAAATAAGCTGACAAGTTGCCAAGAATGAAATAGTGTGACTCATACAGAGTGAATAGAAGCACGAAACAGTTCTAGCGCTATCCATTTGCTCTCTCCACTTTACATTGCGCTGTGTTATCTTTGACAGTACGACTAGTTTCAGTGCAAGAATAGTATTAGTACTTGCAACTGCTAAGAATTTCTTTGGCCTTAGCTGAAAATCTTAGAGCAGGCCCTGGAACTTGCCACAAGAACAAAGAATAGCACACCTACATAGCAAAAATAATTTAATTCAAGAGCAAGCAAGTATGTCAGAACACAAACAATTTACGCACAACAGTCGCCCACCGAGTGTAAAACGCTTAACGTAATAAAAGCTGTGGTGTTTCCAGCAAGTGAGTTTGGTGCGACATGTGACACGCCCACAAGCCAGAAGCACTAGAGAAGGTCGGAGGCACCGAGATTTGCAGCGACATATCGAACAGCTTGGCACCACGATCTAATTTCATAAGTAGCAGTCCAAACATAGTGGATATTTACACTATTTACAGACTCCACAATTTCTTGGAAGGCTAGTTTCCACACGATAGACATGTTGCGTATTCACCTTGTTGAGTATACCTGAAAGTGAAAAAGGAAACGTTTTCAAGGACACCACACCAAGCTTGAGCATTACAAAATATTGAGGAGCTATTCCACTTTATGAACATTATTAGCAGTGAATTTGGTTTTTGCTTACATCATAAATCAGCTAAATAAATTTATTCGAGGCGGGTGCCCCTTCGGCATGTCATTTTGCACAGCTACAAGTCAGGGTACAGGCACCATTACGACTTATTAATCTACATGTTATTTTGGAATTTCCTAAGTGCCCCTTTATATTACAGCTTAAGACCTTTTCACCCAGAACAACTACTTTTCGTGAAACTTAACGCAACGTTTGTAAAATAAAGCGCTCACCTTAGCACAGAACATAGGGTGCAATAAGGTTTCTCGCAGGATGCACACATTCGAGTGCAAGAGTCGCAAGATGGTCTATCACAGAAGGTGCAGCTCGTCTTGGTTGTACAGTTTCGATGGCATGCACCGCACTGCTGAGGTTGTGTGTCCACTAAAACAAAACAAGCAAGAAATAAAAAACTGTACACAAGCAGCATTAATCCTGTTTACTTCAGGTGACCAGTCTGCATTTTCCTTATGCATACATAATGTTTTGCAGGTACGTTCAAATAGTAATTTCCAAGATAAGATTAAACATTTCATTGATCACATGGAAACCTTGCTCACTTTCATTGTAAGTGGTATACAGGAGCACGTGGTATATAGGAGGAGGTCCCATAGTCAAGAGACTGCATCGGGACCTCCAGTACAAAATAAAATCAGGTAAAAAGCACATCATAGTAGCAAAAGTAGCGAAATCAGTCACTTAAGAAACATAACATTCATATAAAAATAATCTGCTTTTAACATATCGCTGCAAAACAAAAATGACAAGAGAAGAGGGAAAAAAAAAAACAAGTAATACAACAGTCAGATGATCTATACCCAAAATACACGGAACACCAAAGCACATGTATCCTAAATGAAAGACACAGTAACTCTTTCGTTATTCAGAACGAAGTAAGTGCATTTTTAGTTCCTTCTTTAAATGATGTAATGGTCTAGAGGTTTTCATGATAAGTGGAAGAGTGTTCCAAAGTGAAATAGAAGTGAATGCTACAGTTGGCTTCCCGTAGTTAGTCTGAATTTTGGGTAAAAGAAAATTGTTGTTCATCGTGAACCGAGTAGTGCTATAGATGATGAGATTAGATGATGAGATTAGATCATGAGAAAATGGCTGGCGGAAGTTCGTGATTTATAAGCTTGTAGAAAAAAATACCTAGATTGTATTTAGTGAGTTCAATTATGGTGAGAATGTTATTCTTAGCGTAGTAGTCATTTGGCATTGGAGAGACTGTGGGCTGCAAGTAATTATTCTTATAGCATGGTTCTGGACAATCTGGACGGACGCAATATGAGTATTGTATGTATTTCCCCAGCATGTTATACCATAAGTGAAATGAGAATGGACGAAGGAGTGAGAGACCACAATGTTGTGCATGAGAAGTAGGAGCGCGTTTTAATGAGAACGCATATACTATAGGCTATTTATTTTTGACGTTAGCAATATGACTCTGATATTTTAGGTTACTATCCAGAAGAATCCCTAAAAAGAGGAACTTGGGCGATGAAGGAGGCAGTGGGGACCAACACTGATATGTGGTATTGATGATACATTACGCTGATGTGAATTGAATACAACAAACTTGGTTTTAGTAGCATTGATGGATAACATGTTGGTATTACACCACTTTAAAATATTATCTAAATCAGCATTCAAAATATTAACAAGAGATGAGATATCTTTATGAGAGGCGAATTTAGTCGTATCGTTGGCGTACAGAATGCACTGGGATGAAGAAAGACAATTAGGTATAATTGATATAAATCAAAAACAAAAGTGGCCCTAGAATAGAGCCTTAGGGCACACCGATGTTAGTAGTTCGCTCTCAAGAATAAATGCCTGATATAGAAACAACTTGAACTCAGTTATATAAAGTAGCTTTTTATTAGTGAAAGAGCGGGTCCACAGACGCCAATTGACTCGAGCTTAGTGAACAGAACATTATGATTTATACTGTCAAAAGCTTTTCTTAAATCGATGAATACTGAGGCAACTAGAAATCCTTCGTCGATTAACGTTTTTAGCTGATCGGTGAGATGAATAAGCGCCATGTCAGTTGAATATCCATGGCAGAACCCAAACTAACAAGAAGAGAGGATGTTAAACTTAGGGAGGTATTTTGTTAACCATGTTTCAATTCGTTTCTCAATTACTTTTCCAAACATCGGCAATATAAAATTGGGTGGGTAGTTATCTAATAAAGATCTGTCGCCTTTCTTTAGTACAGGTATCACTTTGCCATGCTTAAGTTCACAAGGAAATATACCATTTTTAAATAATAAATTAACAGTAAATGAAAATATATCATCTATTCAGTGCATGATAGATTTAATCTTAGCTGAATGAATCTTGTCTATTCCAGCACTTGTCAATTTTAAATTATGTATTACAGCAATAATTTCGTCCGTTGTAGTAGGAAATAAGTATGAGTGGGGTAAACGACTCATGTGGATAATTTCTGAAGGAGAATTTGAATTATCTGGGAAGAAGAAACTACTGAAATCCTCAGCTATATCGGAAAGACAATCGTGTTCTATTCCGTGAATTAAAATTCAACGTACCTTGTCTTGCCGCGTGTTTCTATTTAAGAAGAAATTGACAATCTCCCATTTCTTTTCAGCGTTGCTGGTCGCCTGTAAGATTCTTTTTTTAAAATAAAACTTTTTTGCAGCTTTAAGTTTGCAGTTAAGAGTATTACATTGGTTCCTTTAACGGGAACGTAATTTCTTGTAAATGGTTGTTTTTTAGTTTTTCCTATATAAATTATCTCTTTTGCACATTTCCACTAATAGCTGTTGCGAGATCCACGGATTGTGAGAAAAAGCAACAATTTTTTTTCACATTTCTCTTTGAAGGTGAACTTTCTTAAATGTGATGTAATTAGCGAAATAAATGTTGAAAACGCTTTCTGTGGATCGTTCATTGACTTAATTTCAGACCAACGGCCGTTGCTAACACGGCCGTTGATAAAGATGGCTTCATAACGGCCGTTATGAAGCCATCTTTATCTAAGATATATCTGGTGTGAGAAGAGGTACAAGGGAGTAGATTAGTTTTGAAGCATAAGACGATTGGGTAATGATCACTAATGTCTACGTGCAAATGTGTACAGCACTCTGGAGTTGAAACGCGACATAATGGCTAAGTAATGCGGTTACTTCTGTTTTCGGTATCTAAGTTTGCCTTTTAGTTTGCGAAGTAAGTGTTCAACTTGAACACTTACTTCAGAATAACATTACCTTTAGCCACCAGATTCGTAGCAAGATTACGTGATTACCTCGATCCGCTGTGCATAAGGGTTGTTACACCAAAAGTTTTATATTTGCCTTTTGATTCGTGAGCACTGTACATACATTGCTATTCACCAAGCAGAGGTTACAGCTGTAACCTTCCAACAAATTTTGTTGCAAGGGCATGGACAAATCAAATTTCTCCTGACTTTAATCATTACTGCTGGTCTCCTGTTAGCATCATACTTGATTTTTTTTTAGTACATTGGCAGAATTTTTAACTGCTCCATGCATAATCTGCCTGAACCAGTGATTAAAAGATGTGTTCAGTCAGAATTGTAAACAATGCAAGGTAAGAAAAAGGTATAAAAAGCATAGCGCTACCACAGACATTCTGATCTTTCTTTCGTTTTTGCTGTTCCCATTCATTTAAGCTCGAAATGAAAATCTAAAGAAACCAAATGCATGGCACCATGGAACCGGTGGTTGTGCTCTAGCTTACTTGTGGCAGCTTCATTGGCCTGTCCCCTTTCAGGCTTTGCATTTTCGTGACGCTGATGGGACGCAGAGTACAGCATCCTCAACGTTCTAGCTGAAAGCAGAAACAAAAGAAAGCAGGTAAGGTAAGGAGAGTGCTTTTCTTTGACTGCAGTAGACAGTAGGAAGATTCCGGGCAAAACTTTTCACTCATACCGTGATACTTTTCTAAGAAGTCAAAGTGCGACAGTGACATAGAGGGAAAAAAAAACTATGAGCAAGCATTACGTACAGACGGAATAACACCTGTCTGTAGCGGCGGAGCGCACGGCTATGTCACTTGTCGTTCACAGCTGCTGCCTCGTTTATGCTTGAGTTACAGCAAAAGGTCCTAGCATGCAATATGACTATTTTATGTATCATTACGACGTCGGTCCTTGTATAGTTCCTTTAAAAAAAAAAAAAAAGAGGACAGCTGACGCGGCCGGCCGGTTGCTCAGACACATGTGATTCCGCCTGTACGACGGTGCGCCGTACTTCCTAGTGCGCTGCAGAAATGAGGGTCATCTCCTCATTTGAACCACTACACATTTTAACGTTTAAGAAGAGGCGTCGAAGCGAATGGATAGGCAGGTCGGAGTGCTTGCTCACTTCTGTCGTGCGCTTCACAACAACTCATGACAGTGACCGTTCGCTGTCATCGACATATGCCGTTCATGCGCCCCAGTGGAGCGAGAGAGTGAAAGCACACGTCTGTAAGACGCGAAAGTGTGCTGGTAAACTATCGGAAGTCATTCCTGTATTCTCGTTCCATAAGTCGTTCATGCATTTCACTCAGCGCGACTACCTTGCAGTATCGAAAGCCTATCAACGAAGCGCAGCAGCATGACCGTGAATGCCACCATGGAACGTACCGTCAGTGGACAGTAGACTCGTAAGTGAAACTGAGTGAAACACCACTGATATTACAATCTATAAAGCCTCATTACACACGCACTGCTTAAGTTTAAGCCTTCATTTTACGCTTCGTGAAAAGACGCACGCAGAGCGAAGCATAAAAAGCGCAACGGCAGATTTAGGTCGTGAAGGCAACTCACAGTAGACGGCCGACATGCGCTTTTCACAATTCTTCTCCACTTCTCTTTCGGAGGCGAAAATTTTGCTCTGAATGGGGACGTCGTCCGCGAAAGGGTTTGCCCTCTTCATCGCGAATGCACGAAAATACGTCGAAAACGCGCACACAAAGCGAGAAACACACGAACAGTGGTTACAGGGAGCACTATTGCGAAGTTGGCGAAGTACCGAAATTTTCCCGCTCGCGCTATTTTTTCGCCCCATTGGATTTAGTCGGCAGGCTAACCAACTTCTTATCGACTGAAAAATTGGATCGTAAGTCGGATGACGTTGGATTTGCACGCAGCCGCGAAGCCGCACGGTGGCCACACAGAAACCAAACAACTCGGCCCGTGAAACGCCCGTGAATGCGGGCGGTTGCGACGGTGCCCATCAGGCTCGTGTGTATGCGTAGCCGCGTCCGAAATACGCGGTCGATTACCCGCTTTGCCGATTTTACAACTGGCTGGGGGACAGATTTGCGAGTGCAAAGCGCGACGGTGCTTTCCGAGCGGGCAGCGTTGCCGAAACGAGCCTGACAGCCGGCGGGAGAAGAGGGTGTATCCGACGACGGGCTGTCTACCACACCATTGAGCGGATCGTAACCTGCAGCATGTAATCTCGCGCCGTCGGGCCATCGGCTTGCGCTGCAGAGTTCACAACTTGGCTTTGCTCGAAGAAATGAAGAGAAGAGTGGCAGAATTGTCGCGATGAACCCTGTCCAGTCTCCAGGATGAGTTTGAAGGCCTTCGACTTGGTTCCGCTTAGCGAACGTGTATCGACTGGTGCAGCGACAACCGAGGTATTCTGCTGAACGCCGAACAGCGCTTTCGAACTGTTCACGCCCGCTTAAAGCAACCTTCCCCACTCTCAGACCACCCGTACACTTTGCTGGCGTGCGGCGTGAATGATGTGCAGAGTGGTGTTGTTTTGTCAGGTGAACGCCGGCCGGTACATGTTGCGTACAAGCGAACGTAGCATTGTCCGGCCGTGTAAACATAAATGAAACTCCGAACTAGCACGGCTTTCGTACCATATCGTTCGGGATGTACGGGCCTGCCTTACACATACAGCCAATTTTTGCTGAGATGAAAGATTAACAGCGATTGGTTCCACGTTTTTCTGTGCTAAAAAAAATAGAGAGAACCGATCGCAAAGTGCTGTTAAAAACACGAGCTGTTGATTGAACAGTGATCAATTTCGATGGATTATGTACACTCCTTCAGTGCCATTAAGGTGTCTCAGAGTACTTGAGATTTGTTTGCTTAGGAACGCATTCATTCATCTACACTGGGCTGTGATGCAGTTAAGACAATAATCACTGTTTGCATGAAATTTCTTCCGATGTTGCACACCACACAGCAACCATACATTGATTACATTAAGGAAATGCCTAGCAATAAACTATGTTACCACTTACTTGAGTCGAGGATTGCGCCATCAAGATTTCCACACTTAGTTCTTACAACTGCTGCCAAGGCTGTGCAAAGATACTTGGAAATTGTATCGCAGTACGATACAAAATACTCGGGCAAAAATTATTTAAAATACAGATACAGAATACTTTAGGTCTAATTGTATCTGACACAATAATTCCCAACCGCAAGTTAAGATGCTTAATGAATTCGAAAATTAGCTATTATAGTTCTATATAATGATGCAGCAAAGGTCTATGTATAAATGTGTTCACATGAAAACTTTTTAACTGTGACCAACATTATTCAATTTTAAGGAAATGCCTCTTAGTATCACAACATTTGTGTCTTTCTTGCTCAAGGTATGTTAGTTTCATTCTGAAACAAGTTATTGGGATTTGTTTAGCTGGCTAGCATGACAGCTCTTGAACCATAGCTCTGTTTGTGGTTTTCGCTTGATACTCTACTTGGCAACTGGCTAGTGGGTTGCTATCTACTTGAAAATTGCCATTAAGAAGCCTGTGCATGGTGGTGCAGATACCACTGTGCAGTGTTGTCCTGTCCGCAAGTGTACAGCCGTTTTCGTAAAACTGCATCAACCAACAGATGTAGAACTGCAACGTTAGTAGCAACATCGTTTGTGATGTGCCGTGTGAAGACTGTAAACTACATAGATGGGGCTCGTATTCATTGAGGACATAAAACTGCAATGATCTTTAACATTCTCCTTATCTGCTGGTGTGATGCATTCGTTAGCGCTATATTCACTAATGTGCCGTATTTTACGGTTTCTTCACGGGGGGGAACTTGAGTCGCCCTGAAATGTCTCAGTCGTATTGCAGTGGCACAAAGTGCGGGTGAAAGAACCCCAGGTGGTCGAAATTATCGGAGCCCTCCACTACGGCGTCTCTCATAATCATATGGTGGTTTTGGGACGTTAAACCCCACATATCAATCAATCAAAGTGCGGGTGTGATATCACTGCTATTCGATATTGCCGCTTCTAGCTCTGCTTACCTGCATTTGTAACAATAAGGATATTTTATGGGTACTTAATACAATGAAAACGAGTATAGCTGATTCAAATAGCTGGACGGTTGACGTTTATTGTTTTGCATAGTGGTGTTCGTACAGCACTATCTTGTATCCTAAAATACACAATACATTATTAAATGTATTGGAAATACAGATACTTGTTTTGTGTGACGTATCTTTATTCAAGTACAGGACACCCAAAGGATATCTAAGATAGTATCTAAGATACGTGTGCCATCAATACTGCCCAGCAGTGACTGCTGCAAGCCGATGGGACCTTCAGGTGTTAGCTGTACTTGTACTATCACTTTTTACCAATGTCACCAAGCAACAAGTCCTTCTCATAGAACAGTCAAATAGTTTGTATTGCTGAGTGTAACAGCTAGACAGCTTGATTTCAAGGATTGCAGCGTTGCGTCAGCCTTTACGCATTGTTCCTCTGCGTACATATTTTCAACTGTCGACTCCCAATTTCTTTAAATTGTCCACTCTGGTGGATCAGTGGTTACGGTGCATGTCTTAGGGCCCAAAGATCACGGGCTTGATTGTGGCAGCAGGGGTCGGATTTTGATGGAGGGGAAATGCTAGAAGACCGTGGACTGTGCGATTTCAATGCATGTTAAAAACTCTTGATGGTCTGAATTATTTATTTACTCATTTATTTAAAGAATACTGCTGCCTCAGATCAGAGCCCATGCAGGTGTGGAAACAATCACTTGTCAGAAAAAAAAATCATAATCAATAGTCTGCGCACGCAATGTACACACAAAATTAATACTTTTGTACATACACGTATTGCCGGAGCTTTCCATTATGGCTTAATCATATCGTGGCTTTGGGACGTAAAATCGTAGATATTATTATTATTATTATTATTATTTTCTTTGAATTACACAGAGTTGTATGTTGTGTTACATGTGTAAATACCCCTTTAGAAGAAAGAGTAGGCTCCATTGTAAGGGATGTATAGGCTATTTGACACTGGGGGGGGGGTGGAGGGGGGACTCAGTGCATATTGTGATGCACTGTGAGTTTTCTCTTAAGTGTGAAACTGCCTGTACAAGGCTGTCAGATTAGCAACTCACTTGGCGAATGGTTAGCCCACCTTCGGCTTCTTTTTTAATGTCCGTTGTGTTTATAGCTGGTGGTTTATTTTTAGTTCTGTACTAACTGCCTCAATAACCGACTTGCCATTCATTCTTTGGCCACAACATGAGGCTAAATCATTTAATGGAATAGATTATTCAAACTGAAATCTGTTCTACCATAGAATAAAGGCAGTTTTGTAAATTTTTTTATTAAAGAAGAAAGACAAAGTTACTCAGTTGACTAGTCGTATAATGACCCTTAACGTAATGAGTGGCAAATACTGTTGGTTTCTATGTTCAAGCTTGTGCTAAGGCTGTTCGGTGCACTCACAAGGAAGGTGGAATCTCGTTGTTGTAGTGAGTTAACCTTCAAGCATAGCATGTGCGTAGATTTAATTGCTTATTACTGCTACAGTCTGGAGCAGTTCATCAGAGGAACAGTTATGAAAGGCCTTGTGAACGTCATTAGCTGCTTTTTCTGTAGAGTCAGTTTGTGCTGTATAAGGTTGTTTTTTAACTTCTGTGTTGTACAGCTGCCTGCGATTGTTTTTTTCTTTTTCCTTTTCTTTCTGCAGATCACATGTCTAGAATGCAGTGGAAGGACGCTGTATGTTGGGACCGCAGACGGGTGAGTTGATCGAGGTTTTTGAAAACTTTATTTACAAAGGGTGGGGAAGCCGTTTTTTTTTTGTTCCAGTGTGAGTGCCAAAAAACAGGATTCGCCATCAGCCTGACTATGCTCACTGCAGGGCAGAAGGTTGCCACTTTTTAAAAATGGCTTTACAAGGATGGGTTGGTTTACAAGAGATGAAATAATATGGAACAATAGAACTGTGTTAAATACCTGCGTGCAGTGCCATGTAATGTAACGTTGCTTTGCTTGAGCGAAGTAAATCCTAATGCACATAAGCATTATAACATAGAACAATGCTGAGCTATCCAACTAGTCTAATTGCTGGCGTCAAGAAACCCTTGATTAGAATTATGCTTGTGCTGAAGTCATGGAGGTTTTGGCTTTTGCTCAAAGTATGCGATGCTGCACTCAAAGCGAATTGTGCATACCTCGTCCATAAGGGACCCTTCTTTGCATTTGAATCGATTAGGTCAGTGATACACACACAAACTCACACTAAAATGTATACAGTGCATATGCTATGAAAATGTCAGATATTCATATATACATACACACACACAATAATCTCTGCTCTAATGATTGCTACACTTCAAGGAATCTATAAAAGTGGTTGACTAATAGCATAATTGTTTTGGTGATTGGCCATAAATATTTGCCATTGTAGTTGTCGAACTGACGCGTATAGAACATCCCACGAAATAAATAATTGCTATATTATGACAAAAAATGGTGGCCAGTCTTTAGTGCAGACCGGTAACTGGCTTGCTATCCAAAAAACCTTGCTGGCTCTTTTAAAACCGGGCAAGCGGCAGCCCTACTTTTCCACACAATGCAGTGCTTGCTGTGGCCACATTGTTCCTGTAGACTTCTTAAACTTATTCACTCTCACAGCTTTCTTCCACACTTGTTTCCTCTTGAAATCCCCTCTGCTACTTTTTATGACCAGTCCGCATCAGTGGTACAGTGTTTATGGTGCTCGGCCGGTGACCCAGAGGTCATCAGTTTCATATCAGCCACAGTGGTCGTATTTAGGTGGGGGTAAAATGCAAATTATGCCGGTGTGCTTTGATTTATGTGCCCATTTAAAAAAACCCCCGGTGATGAAAGTTTCCAGAGTCCTTCAATATGGTGTCCCTGATAACATATTGTGGCTTCGGCACGCAATACCGCAGGAATTAGTAGTAGTAGTCAGTTTATGCTAGTGACGCTCGTTTCTTCATTGTAACCCTGCTCTGGTATACCGTATTTTTATTAATAATGTGCAACTAACGGAAGAGTTCTTGCACATGCTCTGTTTGCTGTAATATGCAGCAGTTTAGTTCCATTTATTGTGTGCTGCTGATTATTATGCTGATGAGTGTTTGCAGTCTGCCAGTGCGCTCTTTTTACTGTCTTGCTAGGGCAGTCCTAAGTCAGCTTAGAATAATATCTCTCAGCTTTGCTCTTTGTAGTTTGTTTTTTTATATTTTTGTTTCTTGCACACGAACTGAAATGAAGTTCTCCAATTCCTTCCAAACAAACGTTGCGAGTTTACAGGGTGCTTCAATTAATAGCTTCATCATCATTCCCATGGTGTTTCCCATGCGTGGCATTTCTGCGTGCAGCTTTCTCATCCAGTACGACTTGGAGGACCACAGCTGGTTGGACGGGCGTCGCACCATTGCCGCCCGCAAGGCCAGGCAGAAATTCATCAACACAGTGAGTGTTAAGATTCCATCATTCGTTTTCACATAGTAAAAGAATCAGTGGCACTGACGCCTGCAGTTCTCACCAACATCATCACACGTGCTCGTTACATTACGTCAAGAATGCCATGTGGTACTGACAATTGTGCACCATTCGTGACGGGGAGGTACTAGGCATGCGGCGATAGCTCAAGGACAGGCGCGTGATATACATGACGGTCATTTTCGTATGGCAGAATATGCGTCAAGTATGCCTTTCTCTGTTAAATATTGTAGAAGCAGTGAGGTTGCTGCTTTAAGATTTACCTTGTATGTACCCAAGTTGTCAAGTTCGTCTAAAGAAAGTTAGGCACCATGTGTAGGCATTTTCGGGGCTCTCTAACCTGTCGCACTCTTACATTCCGAGACTCTCAAGTGCAAAAACCTACATTTTATAGACAAGTTTGGTTTCTGGGGCACTTTTCGTTTGCTACACAGAAAAAGCCGGTACGAACGCTGAAAGCAATGTCGGCCCTGGAGAGACTCCTGTGCCTGAGCGACGGGAACTTCATGTGCCTTAACACGGCTGACCTTGATGTGAGTGAATTTTTTTACTAAAGTTGCTTTATTGATTTTCCTTTGATGAAGGTAGCTACATGTGCACCTCCGTATGACACCCAGTCGTCCAGTGTGATCCACCGTTAAAAGGAACACCTGAATATGCATTTCTCAAATTGCAGGTGCTCTGACTGCAGTTGGATGTGGAACGTGTGCGTCAGAGAGTCAGAGCTGTTAACCACTAGCTATCTCATGCTTCGAGTATGTTTTGGTGATTTGGTGAGAGGACAGAGTCCTGACAGTCTCTGTATGCAAGTAGAGTAAACCCCTTTACAGGAGATGTGCTCTGAGCAGCGATTCTTGTCTTTTATATGAGATGTCTCTTATAAGCAGGTTACCTTGTATGCATTTTCTTGTAAACCCGTATTTTACTGTAGGCACACTGATGTCTCTTATACGCATTTGTCTCTTATATTGGTGTCTTTTGCAAAGGAGTTCAATTGTATTGTCATTAACAATGGACTCCTCAAGACATCTCTACCTGTTGAGGCCAGTCCATGGGCCCAATGAACAGCTGCTAGGCTTTAAAGGGGCCCTGAAACACTTTTTTGAGTAACCGTGAAATTAATTAGCTGAAAAAGCGTATTGCCCCAAACAATCAATGCCGAAAAAATTTTAGGAATCTGTCTAGTACGAGTGAAGTTACAAAGATTTGTTACATGCTGCAATCACATTCTCTTCTTTCTCGTCCCGACGAAAGCGCTGGAAGCTAAGCAGGGAGGGATAGGAGGGGCAAACAAAAAACATCACGCACGCCTCCTGACCTTGATCACTTTTCTTTTTTTTTCTTCAAATGCGTTGGTTCTTTAGTGTGATCATGCGCGCACACGTGGACAAGTAGCGGCCTCTTGCAGCGATCTCTGTAACGACCGAGTGCACCATGTTTAAATCAGCCAATAGCTAATAGATGGGTTTACTGCGAGTGATTTTTGGGCTTATTGCGTGATTTGTCAAGAGAAGAGAAAGCAATTTTCAACTGACTTTGATAATTTATTGTGAATTACAGGCCGCGTGCTGCGCTATAATATTTGGCTTGCGTATTGTTGGGAGCCTCTGCTACCCTATTACCGGTCAACAGTGGTTTTTGACCATGCTCAAAAAGTGTTGCAGGGCCCCTTTAAGGGCCTTGCAACCCTTTTCTGAGTTATAATGAAAGGGTCTCGGTACTAACGCGTGATGGTTTGTAAATCACGTGCAACAAAAAATTTTGAGCCCATTAAGTGAAAGCAGAGTTGCATGTGTTAGTTGTATGCTTTAAGCACTTTCTCTCTCCTTTTGGGCCAGCAAGTGCACTGAAAACTGCACAGGAAGAGGGATGCATTCCTTCGTCAGTGCCTGTCTTGACCTCGAGCACTTTTTTTTCGTGTTTTTCTTTGAATGCACAGCTTATTTTTAGTGTAATTATGAGCACACGTGGCTACGTAGCGGAACTTTGTGGTGGCTACTGTAACTATGCAGTAGATCAGCCAATCAGCATGGACGTGTGCATATGGTGCAGAAATTCGGGTATATGGCTTTATTTTTAAGGACGAAAGAGGGTTTTAGATGACTTTGAGAATTAATTGTAAAATTTAAGCCCGTTGTCCTATGATGTTTGGCTCATGTATTCTCAGGAGCCTCGACAGCCAATCAGCAGCGTTTTCTGACCATGCCTAAAGAGTGTTGCAGGGTCACTTTAATGTCATGAGTGCGATTTGTAGCCACCATTTATGACTCATGAGGGCATTTTTAGCGTGTCGCTGGACAGACCTTAACATTCCAGGCTTTTACTCAATTAATCCCGCAGATGCTGTTGCAGTCTAGTCTCTGTGTAACAAATATGATTATAGTGCATTATCGTTTATATTGAAGTAAATGAGGAACAGTATTGCCATTAAAACAACATGACAGAATAATGTAAAAGCTTGTTGATTCGAGCTTGGTTGATGTTGTGGTCCTGGCACAGCCCCGTGCGTTTCTATGAAGAAAAAGTCGATTATTCAAACGTGTCGGTATTCAGTTCAGTTATTAATTCAAACTGGGGCCCCCTGGTAATGAACACTTCTCGTAGAAGTTGGTACTTAGAGGTCACAATGTGTTGCAAAACCAAAGCTAACCAAATTTACTGAAATAAGCAATGAAACAGTAACATTCAGGAGCAGATGAGAATTCAAGTGCTGCACCGGAGCTCTTGGGCAAGCTGCAAATGGTGATCATATATCTGTGACGGAAGAAATGCAAGCAAATGCATACTATTACTGATAACTTTTAATTTTTATTGTGTTTTCTCTGCCATGGAAGTAAATGCGTGTTAGAGCATAATTAGTGTCATATATTTTGACATTAAGGCTCACCTCTTAAATGCATGTAGGTGTTTGTTTCTAGCATATAATCAAGTTTTTCATTAATTCTGTTCACTTTTAGAGCTCCATGAAGCTAATATACAAAGTCACCCATCAGAAGCATGTTAGTAGCGTCTAATTCGCTATAACGAGCCCAGAGGTGGCTTCTTTGGGATTTCCTTGGGCAGTGTGGCGCAGTGTCTTTTCATTCATGCCCATCCTCTAATTTGAACTCCACTTAACTCAAACAATTTTAGAGTCCCCTTTGACTTCGAATGAGTAAGCACTTACTGTATACACCTATAACGAATTATCAGGTACCACTAAGCTGTTTTTATGTTTGATAAGCTTTGTTATAGTGAAGTACAATATCTGCTAGCCTTGTGGTTTGCTCGTATGATAGGATGACCACTCCAGAAAGGAGTTGTTTCCAGCTTTTAATTTCAGAACAAGACAAACTTTTCACCAGTTCGAAATTCTTTTGAGTAAGCAGTGTGTACGTATAGCAATCCCTAGTAGCAATGACCTAAAACCAACGAATGAAAGTTTTTATTTTTCATAAAACTGACACTGCCTTGCAGCTATTAGCAGAAGTGCTAATTTGTTTTATTCCCGAGCTTTTACTTTATATTACTGATGACATGACATTGCTTTCAGTGGTCGCGAATACGTGGAGCAGGCCAGTAAATCTGTTTTCATCATAAAGAATTTCATTTTGTGTGGCAGCTGGCACATGTGAAGTGGTGGTATAATAATTTAGGTTTTTACGATTCTTTGCACATCTCATTTGTGACGTGTCTATTTGGCGTCCCCTGATGTGTAGTAATGGCAATACATTTAGGTCTGCTTGCGTTATGCTCACCAGGGAATGGCACATTTATCCTTAAAGGGCCAGTAAACAGGCTCCGATTGTTTTTTTACACTCCCAAACAAGCTCCCCAATTTGTACTGTAGACCGCAACAATCATATTTTCCAAATACTACGATGCTACGCAGACCCTCAATTTCGAAACACAATTACCGTGCCTGACCAATCCCTCTTGTACGTGCAGTGGTGCAAGCATGCCCATGGGCAACTTCCCATACCACTGAGCTCGTTGATTGGTCCTTTGCTCTAAAAAATGGCACCTTGGCCCAGCGATAATGCAGTTGGGACTGCGCAATGCACATTTTTATTTTTCTGTGCTGCCCTCTGCCGCTTTGTAGAGCCCGAGACTACTGGGAAAAGCGGTATTGTCGGAACGATAGCCTATTAGATAAAAAGCTGTCTCGCTATTCTACCGCTAAGGTAAAAGTGCTCCTTGTGCTGCGCTTCCTCCCTGCACCACTATGACACGTGCTCAAGTGTGAGAGGTCCTGCTCAGTCGTTTGCTGCGCGTTAGCGAAATATCACTGATGTTGTGTCACATTGCCAAAGTTGGTAGAGTCAAGATAGAGTAGCTGAATGACCCTAGTCACAGCGACAGGCTACGCCTTTCTCTCCCTATGGCAGAGAAGGGAGGCGAAGCCACGCAAAAATTTGAAACCAGCTGAAAGGGATGTTCTCACCCCTGTGACGTTTTTATTGTAGCACGTGTTTGCAAAATATTTGTGGCAGCACATTCACATAGCAAAAGTGCACATATTTCTCTTCATTACAACATTTGGACATCGCGGTTGTTTACTGGCCCTTTAGATATTCTTAACAAAAAGGCTTTCTCTTTGCTTTCTTGAAAGGTGGCACTGGTAAATCTTCAGGTGTGACATTTGAGTCCAACAGTGTCTGTGTTTTTACATTGTGGAGGTCTTCTGCTGGTGCCACAGGGCACTCTTGTTTCAGTTGTTCAGCACTAAACTCGGATATCGGGAGCATTTTGGTTTTTCAAGTGTGAGAGTAACATGATTGAGAGACTTCTTTGTTGCTAACGCCGCCAACATAGTAGCGCGATAGTGTTAAAGAGCTCATTTTGCAGAAATTTTGGCGTCGGCGATGTTGGTTGTGAGGGAAACATCATCATCTTGTGCGTGACCAAAGAATTGGGAAAGATGCAAATGAAATTAGTAATTAGTAATTATTAGTAAGTACTAAACTGGTAATTAGCGAAGTGCCGGGTCATGACGAGATTCCAGCGCACGTTATAAAAGAGAACATTGATTTAACTTGAGAAGTATTATGTAACCTATTCAACCACTCATATGCCGGTCAATACCCATCAATACTCAAGACAGCCAAAGTCACCCCTGTTTACAAAGAGGGAGATAGTTCCTATCCTTCTTGCTACCGCCCGACCTCTATACTGAGTGTACTTAACAATATCTTCGAAAAAATAATTTCGAAATGTATGCTTTTCTTTTTCAGCAAATATCATGTGTTATGTCCGCACCAACATGGCTTCCGGCCAATGCGCTCTACAAGTACAGCAGTGCTCACACTAAGCCAAGTTTTAAATACTGCCCTCCAATATAACAAATTCGCCGCAGTGGTTTTTTTGGACCTTAGAAAAGCGTTCGGCACAGTAGACCATGGCATCTTACTTTACAAATTACGTAGATATGGTTTTCACAACACTATGTCGAATTTTTTCCAGAGTTACCTTCAAGGTCGACAACAGATGGTAATTATCAGTAACATTACTTCTTCTCTCCAGTCCATTCAAACAGGTGTGCCACAAGGTTCCGTATTAGGTCCCTTACTTTACTTGCTATACATAAATGACTTGCCTCTAGTACTAACAACTGCTGAGATGCTTATGTATGCTGATGACACTGCCCTAATTATTACCGGCAGAAATCTGTCAGACATAGAAGAACAGATGAATACTGAACTAGCTAAGCTTGCCGATTAGTTTACAGCTAACAGGCTTACCATCAATGCCAAAGAAACAAAATATATGTTATTCCACTCCCGTACAAATCCTACTCCACGTGATATACAACTCTACATCAATAATTGCTCCCTGGAATGTACTGATTCTTTTACTTACCTAGGTGTCATTCTAGACAGCTGTTTAAATTGGCAGAGTCAAATAGAAGCAGTCAGCTCGAAACTAGCTTCGAGTTACTACATCCTTTTGCAAGCACGTGAATATTTTGACACTACAATTTCGCACACTTTGTATTTTGCTTTAGTTAACTGCCACCTTCTGTACTGCGTAGAGTCCTGGGGTTTGACGTATGACTCTTATCTTGAGCCAATACGACGGCTGCAAAAACGGGCTATACGTACGATTACTTTCTCACCTTACTACGAACATAGCAAACCACTTTTTTTTAGGTTAAAGATCTTACCATTTGATTTTGTGCGGGAACTAAAATTAGCTACATGTATTAACAGTGTCGTTAGGAACAATGAACCATTCCCAATTTCATTACTGTGTATTCCCCGACGCCAAACGAGGAACCAAACTTTTAACAACTTCAACATACCGCCCACAAAAAACGCCTATAGCAAACGTCTAGTACAATATACCGGGGTGAAAGTTTGGAATGGCATACCGCGTTATATAAAGAATACCCAGAACTTTTCCAGATCATTGAAAAAATACTACTTTGAAGCAATTTTCTCTGCTTGAGTTGACTGATACTTTAGGTTGTAATTTTTCATTATGTACATATATTGCCCTTTATGTGTTTAGTGTTTTCTTTGAAAGATATTTTCTTTGAAAGATGTTTCAATACCCTTGTTCTCTTTATTAAGCCATATAAGAGAACTACTATTGATACTTGCAACTACAAGTATCATTCTTCAGTTCTGTACGCCACTAATCACCAAATATTTGTGTTTACTACAAGTTATGTACTTTCCCTTTTTTCTATGTTCAACCAAATTCAAGTGACTGTTGTTAGCAGATCAACATTACTTCTTGTATGATGATATCAAATTTGAATTGTTTACTTCTGTTTTATTTTTAATTAGAACTATTACAGTTTCAGTTATGTATACTTTCAATGGGACCCGCACTAGCCTTTGGCTATGGGACCATACATTTGGTGCTTATTTTGTATAAGATATGAGTGAAATAAAGAAGATCATTCATTCATTCAATAACAAACTCTGGGTCTGAGTGGGTGTCAAACTCAGGTCATTTGCATGGCAAGTGGTTGTTCTACCACAAAGCCATGCGTATATGCTTGTGAATACAGCGAAAATAACTTACTCTGCTTGAACATGCAGTGAAAGGAACTTTCATGCTTTAAAAGCATGTGTGTCCTGTATACGTACTTGACAATAAACATGAAATATTGCTCTAATAAGAGTGGTACAAGCGTACATTGTCATCGGGCATCAGAACATGTGATTATCATAATGACTTCATGGTTTAAAGCCAGCCACCCACTGTAAAAGGCACAGACGTTCCTGCACCTTTTTTCCTAAGTCTACGTAGTGGGTGCATAGTAAGATCGAAAAGATTTCATGCACTAAGTGTTTGAAGTACGCACTAGGGACAGTATATAACTATCTCGTTCAACTCTTAAAGGCGAAGCTCAAAAGTTCCTCGATTTTCGCAGATCCTTGCCCCACTGTCAAAGCTGAAAGGCATCTCTGCATTCTGCATCAACGAAAATCCTACCCGTCACGACCCATTTTCCATTCAGGTGAGTGTCTCCACTGGAAAGATTATAAGAGCAGTGATATCAACTTGACGTATGTCGTATTTTTTTTGCACCAACCTGTAGCTATCGATCCTCTAATAATGAGTCGGTTCTACTTATGCAAAATAGGGGTGAATTAATATATGTAATATCGATTAGCATAACCATTATCAAACCTTATTTAAAATGGGTGCAAAGCCCGCTAATTTTCAGCGCTGCCAAGCGGTCACCTCCTGCAGTCCTGCCCCTTCTGATCATGGGGCTACACGAAATGGTGATGAGAGTTTCAGTAGACATTTCGTCGGCTTGGCGCACACATGTATAGGCATGTCTTCGCCGCTGTCATCAGCGTCCACAAGGGATGATGAAAACACTGAGGAATAAGGAATCGCAATGATTCGCAGCATCGGGAATTATTTTTGGTTCGATACCCTGCTGGGCAGTGATTCTGAAGCCGACGCCATACCGAGCAGTGATGAATGCTTGGACCGCACTGGCTAATAAGACATATGAATGCTGTGAGTGTGTTACTTGTTCGCGATGACCGTAGCTTCAAATAATCACATTCGCACTCACGGCTCCACTAGAAATCGCCCAAAGTGGAAACGCAGCATTTACACGAACACGCTGCACAGACGAAGCTAAGCAAAGCAAGTGAAGCCGCTGCCAGGCAGCCAGGCATTGGCGCCAGCCGGTACCTCATGTAGACATCGCGATGACAGCAAAAAAATTGTTGACGTCATCGCTGCTCGTTCGTCACTCAATGCCAAAGGCGTGGCCTAGGAGCTCGCTGAAACACGTCAAAATACTATCAATGTTTCACGGCCGGGAACACATCGTTGAGCCCTTAGACGCTCTTTGTGCTCGAAATATAATATCTACGTAATGAACGCCTCTCATACTTCCCTAAAAAAAACTCATGCGTACCAAGCAGTCAAATGAATTCCACATCTCGAGTTTGATATTAGGTGTCACTACTCTTTTAAGCACATACACAGATGTCATATTTTGCAGTTTTGCAGTTTAGTGCCAGATTTTGGGGGTTTGTTAACAATTGTCATGGGGGTGTAGCAAAGCCTTGGAACTCGGCAATGGGCCATTCCCTCCAACGCCTTTTAGTATGTCGTTCTCTTTGGCCTCATTTTGAAAGAATGCCGCTCGTGCTGGGAGTCTGTGCTCTGCCTGGACTTTCGCCATTATGCATTGTCGCCGTATGCTGTCAAACACCTTTACGGCGGCATCAATTTTTTTGTAATATTTTTACTTCTAACCCACTTAGGGCAATACTGATATGAAAAATAAATCATGTTATTCAAATAATTTGAACCAACTTCCCCCAGCATATAACACAGGAAGCAACCTGAAATCAAATTGCTTCTATTAAAATTCTAGTTGAACCTCAATAGAATCAACAGAACACTCAACAGAGTTGCCAGTTCTGCATAGACGAAATTGGTCTTCTTTTTTCGACAAGTCACTTGTAGAATTGGCCAGTCGCTTGTAGGGTTTTTTTGGGGAAGAATTATATAGTAGTGCTTCTGTCGTTTACTAATACATAGCGCATTTGTCAATCACCTTGAGTACTTGATTGTTCAAGTCTAACATATGTTTTGGCAATCAATAAGTACTATTAATCATGCACTAGCAAACATACATTCAACCGAATGGGTACTACCTTGCAAACAATGTTAAAATACAAATATGTGCTTCTGTTCATAGTTATGCATCTCGTTGCTGTACAAAGAAAGTTTGTAATATTTTTCTTAAACTGCTCTTCATATTTTAGATATTTTTTTATTAAAATGAAATTTTTTGAAGATTCAGAAAATTGATGAAGTTACTGCTTCTTTTGTGCTTATTTGTGAAAGTCTTGCTATGTTTTTGGGCCTCTTTTGTGATCACTGCTTGCTTGTCAGCTTGATAGCGTCTGGTAACTGTGACACTCAACTACGCAAATGAACTCCAGAGCATGCAAGCATGCCAGCAGTCTTTTAATCATGGCTTTTGCCGTACAATATGCCACTTCTAATATTGTTTGTGCGTCATCACCCCCTTTGCTCAGTCATTTAACAGACATGCTGATTTATGTAACTAGCACAACCTGAGTGTAAGTTTGTGATTGAGTTCGACATCTCAGCTGAAGTATCAAGCCATTCCTCTCTTGACGCAGGTGTGTGCAGCCAAGAGAAAACAGCTGCAACTGTATGCTGTCACAGAGAACAAGGTGGCTCACCAGAGTGACATCTCCCTTTCTGAGCATGCCCTGGCATTGGTGAGTGGATGTGATGCCTCTAAGGGGAGACAAGAGGTCTTTCCACTTTTCGTCGAGAGAGCTACATTGGCCGTATTCTCACCATTTCGCTGTGGCCAGTGCCCATACCGTGAGTTGAGCCGTTGCCTATGAACCACCACAGCTAGCAGTGTGGCTCGCCGCGCCAGCTGGCATAATGTCAAAGGAGGAGCCGGTGAAGCCGCGTTGCAACAGTGGAAAAGTAAGCGTCTCATCGTGTATGTAGGAAGAGCGGCTAGGTGGGATCTTTTGGCAGATATGGAAGGCAAGTCGAAGAGACGGAAAGGAGCCAGGCTTCGTTGTCGCAACGAAACCAAGAGGAGGTAGCAAGCCGAGGAGACGTAGGAAGAGCAAGCCACACGCCTTGAGAAGTGTAATTGTACAAAGAATGAAGCTAAATTATAAAATTGACAACACCTCTCGCTATGCACATCTAGGCATAACTGATTTGAGCGCAGCCAGTTTTTAATTAGTATGGTACAAGTATGGTTTAAATATGTGTGGTTAAATTAGTTGGATGAACTGAATGAAATATATTACACCAGTGTCAGTTTACTCTGCAGATTTTAAATCTCTAAGTAGATTTTATAAGCCACATTAGAACAAAAGATATGCTCTTTATGGAAAATGTATTTAGCATGTTTGTAATGAGGCTTTTGGCAACTTCTTTTTTAACCCTTTATGGGACACAATGAGAAAAAACACGATCAATTCATTTTGTCTGTATAAAACTGATGGTTACTACATCACTATGTGACATATAAAATTTTAGTTTCGTCAGTGCAAAGGGGGACTCAAAAAAAGTGGGACGCATATGTCCCACTGGTTGTTCAGACAACCAGAGAATGTGGGACAATATGGTCCCAGTAACCACATTCGACAGGGCTGTTGGCAATAAAAAAAATGTGGGTACTAAATTTATTCAAAATTGCACTCTTGCAAACAGCAACGTCTGGCTGTATGAAAACCTTCACTTTCCGTTATGAAAAGGCAGGAAACATGTAGCACACAACGGCACGTTGCAGACTTTGCATACAAGTGCCGTCCTAATTTCCTTCGCCTTAGTAGAACACCACCTGCACCGTTTACGTCCGGTTGTCTTCACAGGGTGGTGGTCACCTTTGTGAAATCTGATTTCTTCAGGAACGCCCACCATCTTCTGTCCAGACTGACGTCCACGCTTCTTGTGCTGAAAAGCGGGAATGGCCGTCTTTTTCCTGAAGCTCTGACCGCTGATAAGCTCCCTTCCAAGGGCAAGACGAAACCACAAGTATTCGTTTGGTGTGAAGTGGCAATGCTGAATGAAAGCGTTGACTACAGCTGCATCTAAGAGGTAATAGAAGAGTCTGTACCAACCCTTTTTCGACCTACGGTCGCACATATATGCGTTACGCTTTTGGTCGAATCGGTCGACACCCCCCACGAACTTATTGTAGTCGGAGACTACATTGGGGCATGTCACGCCCACCTTGGCTCCATTAGAAAGCGTCCGGTTCACTTCAACCACCTCAGATGGATCATGGAAGTTTGACAGCATCGTCACATTTCGGTTGTCACGCCACTGGTACGCCGTCAATTGGCTCTTTGATCGCCAAACATAGTCCCCTCTCTTCAATTTCTGGTCCACTTTGATTTCATGAGGTAAATCCTTCGTATTTGTTCTAACCGTGCCTGCTGCCATAATTTGTTTTTCTGAAAGCTCTTCCATGAGCTTGGTCGTAGTGAAGAAGTTATCAAAGTAGAGCGTACTGTCTTCGTCAACATTGTTGCAAAGAGAAAGAACGACATGTTCTCCAAGTGTACGACCAGCCTCTCTTTCTGCAGACTTCCCTTCATATATTTGAAACTCGCAGAGGTAGCCAGTCACAGAGTCCGCTCTACACCATACCTTGTACCCGCGTTTGATTGGTTTCATGGGGGCATACTGTTTCAAAGACGATCGTCCTTTGAAACGCACCATACTTTCGTCAATTGCCTGGTGGCCAGAAGGCTTGTACTCTTGAAGAAACTTTTTGTTCAAGGTGTCCACAAGAGGTCGTATTTTGGCCAGTCTATCAAAACCCTCTTCACCTTCACTTTTTATCTTCTCATTGTCGTAAAAGCGCAGTGAGTTCATAATGGCCTGAAACCTCTTGAATGTCATCACACTGGATATCTCCTTCACATTGAAAAAGCTGTCGCTACTCCAGTAGAGGTACAGATGGTGCGCAGGATTTACGCTCATCAAAATAAGAATGCCCAAATAGGCTTTCAGTTCACCTTTTGTTAGATCGTGCCACCCTCTTCGAGCCTCCTGCCTGGCATAGCGGTTTGTTTCAAGCACGATCATTTCAAGTACATCATCATTGAAGTACAGGCTGAATGACTCGGATGGTGTACAAGATGAGGGCAACTTGCTTGAATACTGCGGTTCCAGGCTACTCACAGAGCGATTGTTGAGAATTGGAAGAGCTGTAGACCACAAAGCGGTTCCTTCCGAGGCAACATCTCGGCTGTCAGAGTTATCCGATTGGACTGGCTCAGGACTTCTCGGGCGTCTTTTCTTTTTTTTTTGGGGGGGGCTTCTTCCTGACGTACGATGATCGCCTCCTTTTTCCTGTGCTTGTGGATGGCTGATCAAGCGCATTGTCATCTGAGTCACTTTCCTTGACCGGAGCCAGCGCGGGCACAACTTCATTTTCACTGTCTGCAAGTTCACTCTCGATGTCGCTTTCTCGAGGATCATCTGGAAGCCTGAACAGAAGCTCAACCGCTTCTTCAACTGATAGCGACCTCCCTGGAATGAAAAGAGAATGCAATAGCGCTCTAAAATTCTGACGTAAGCGAGAAGAAAATTAGGCCTAGGAAATTTCGCCAGCTCTGAGTTGCGTCACTCATGTTGCACAACTTTCCGGGTAGCCAGTACGACAATAAAATCAGAAAACATAACACAGTGATTCTATATAGAAACCCACACGAGAAATAAAACTTTCACACTTACTTGTCATTGTGTATTTAGTGCACGTCGACTCAAAATACCCGCGAAATTGAGCGCGGTAAATGAATTCGGAACGCTTCGAATGAAACGTTATATTGTGCTGCCCCATAGAGCTTCGTAGAAAATAATGTTTAAAAACGTTAGGTTAGACACTCACCAGATGGCGACAGCAGTCTCAGCTAAACAGCAGCGGTGGTTTTGGTGTGGCGCGGCTTTTAAACTGCAGTCAAAAAGTGGGTTGTAAATGTCTAACTGTCCCATAAAGGGTTAAAACACTAATAAAACATCTTTGGCAATATTGCCTGGTCTACCTCTCAGAAATTTTATTATGCGCTGTTATTTTATGTGATGAACTTTTATCATGGATTCGTATGAATATGCCCAATCACATGCCCTAACGAGTGCATGAGCCAAAACTGGCAAACTGTTCCCTTGGTCTCGTTTCTGCGTCTCCGTACCCAATCTTTTTTCGACATTGGAAGCCTTGCCGACTGGGCATGTGCAAATATAAATTTTAAGTTCGAAGCAAACAGTGATTTGGCCAAATAATTTCGAATCAAATTCGAAAAGCATACATCTCATATTATAAAGAAAAATTAACATATTTGCCATGGCCCAATTAACCTGCACAATATATTTTTCATTCAAACAAACCATGCGCAAATGTTATTCTATTTTGGTCCAACGAAAGTGGAAGCAACTTTGACTACTAGTAACGGAATTTGACTTTCGCTGCAATACAGGTAATAAACTGCAAAATACAAAAATTTATTGTACTTGAAGCGCACAAGCCGCTATAAAAAGCTTTGAACTTGAAAACGATGAATCGATGTGAGGGTAATATTTTCATTTAAAGTTTAAGTTGGGTTTTGCAGCGGTACAGATTTTCTTTGAATAGGGGTATTCGCATCCTCCTTGGCGGATCAGTCACTAGGGTGCTCGGCTGCTGACTTAAAGGTCACGGGTTTGTTCCCAGTCGTGGTGATCGCATTTTGATGGAGGCGAAATGGTAAAGGTCCGTGTAGTGTGCAGTGTCACGACCTGATGGTCAAAATTTCCGGAGGTCTCCACTACGGCATCTCTCATGATTATATCGGGGTTTTGGAAGGTAAAACACCATATATTGATATTATTTAGGTGTAATCATTGTGTATCGCCTTTACAGGTGGGTTACAATTGAACTGATATCCCTTTCAGCGGTGGTTACAATTGTACACATCAACTTCGAAGGCGCATCACGCACGACATGTTAAATGCACTGTGCGCATTTGTGCACGCCGTTATTTAACTTCATTGTGCTGTGTATCGCTGATGAGGATCACTTTACTGGAAACACTACCATTATTGACACTACCATCATTGTTTATTGTGCCACGTTCCAGAACCAATGTCAAGAGTTTTCTTTTCCTTGCTTTATAGAAATAAAACCGCAAAAACCAACTATGCGTGCATTTTGGGCCAAATATTACATTTTTTTATGCAAAGATAGAAGCTGTCTGACTGCAGAAAAAATAATTAATTATTTAACCGCACACTAATGAACATTAATTACTGAAATTTACTCAAAACATTACGTTCCTTCATTTTCTTACATGAGATGTGTAGTACTGAGTGCCTTGGAATCATGCCATGTGAATTTGACGGATTTGCTGACAATGCATCACAACTCGCGCATGAACAGGATATACATCCATTTGTGCATTTCAGGTACTTCGAAATTTCCAAAAATATAAATTTGAATCAAAGCGAATTTAAATACTGTAATATTCGTTAGAATATTTGAAGTGTTCGAATGATAGCTTGGGCCTATTTTTGAGTCTTTCGTCACTTGGGCGATCAGGTAAAATGGCCAAACTTCTTTTGCAGGCCATGGATGGAGACTACATTTGTGTTGCCACGGTGACGCAGTACCTGGTTGCCTGCTGTAGCACTGGCCACGTTCAAAACTTGGTGCCGTACGACAGCAACCTCACCGTGCCGTTCGTCAAGAGAATCGCCAAGGTGGGCTTGCCTTTTGATGGACACATGCAGGGCCCACAGTTTTTCTTATTGCTAGCTTTTTGTCAGGTTCTGGATCAAACTTAGACGGCTTATAATTTCAAGAATTCTAAATAAAACTTGGAACACTGATTCTTTTGTATATGTTGCCTAAATCTGACATTCTTAGCATGATGTCTGAGAAAAAAATTTTTATCGGCTGCATACTGAAACTTCAGCGCACACAACTTGAGGACACAGATGAAAGATTCACAATGACCAGTGAAAAAGGAAAAGTGGCATACTTTAGAAGTGTTCTTTGCAGCAAGGACGCATAAGCTAGGGGTTCCGTTCAGAGCAATGGTGTTGGAACATCATTCGTGGCAATTTATTTTGTCTGGGTTTGTCCAAAAAGCACTCGCGTCCTTGTCACCTAACGACTCATTAGTCGTAAAAAATTCTGAGGAGGTAGTATTTTATTTATCTGGTGTTTAAGAAGGCAGCTACAAAGTTGTTGATATAACTGCGCTGGTTATTGTGAATCTTTCGTCTGTGTTCTCCTGTTGTGTGGGCTAAAGTTTCAGTATGCAGCAAAACCAACTAGCCGGCCTTTTCAAACTACGAGCTGGTTTCACGTGAAGATGCTTTGTATTGACAGCTTATTAAGTACTTTTCTAGAATTCCTGACAGCCACACACATGATCGCAGGTGGGTCGCGCGTGGTTCACGTAAACAATGACGAGTGAATTGTCATCAGAAACTGTGACAGCGATTTCAGCTATTCAGGTCGCGTGCAGAATGCAGGTTTTGCAAGCCCAGTGAACTACCTGTCGTGATAATGTCCATTGAAGAGGGGCTGGCTTGCAGATGCTGGGCAACGGAAGCTTTAAAATCAAAGTAAAATGTTTTATACGTGTTGTCTGGCTCCGGTGTGAGGAGAGCGTTGATAGTACATTCTATGAAAACGAAAAGTGCTGTGTGCCTCCAAATTGTGTCGGTGCTTCTTTGATGCACAGGATTGTAGAAATGCAGGGTTTTGATTATAATGGTGGAAAGGGACTCCTAATGTTAATTCCAAGAATGGTTTACTTTTTATCGTTGTTTCTATAAAGCCGCGGACCAAAAGCAAGCCATTAAAAGCAGCAGACTTCATTTTCATGTCTGAATGCACTGCAAAGCGTGTTTACTTTCGAACCTGTCACACGGAGGACGAGAATAAATTTGGTTGAAAACGTGTCTCCCATTACAGAGAATCCTGCACACGTCTACATTGACAGTTGCTCAGTGACAAACCTTTTGCCCACTTTTCACGGGTTCGTCTTTGTGCAACAGATTTAATATGCAATCTAACATGTAATTTTCTCGACGAATCAGCGGCTCGGGTGCTTGGATGCTGACCCAAAAGGTCGCGGGTTCGATCCCGGGCATGGCAGTCGCATTTCAATGGAGGTGAAATTGTGGAGGGCCCGTTTACTGTGCGATGTCAGTGCATGTTGAAGACCGGGTGGTTGAAATTTCTGAAGCCCTTCACTACCGCATCCTTCATAATCGTGTGCTGCTTTCGGGTCCTATAACCCCACATATTAAATTATTAGGATGTAATCCTGTTTTAGGTGCATCTGTTATGGGTGCAGCAGCTGCCCGTAACAAGAGTGCAACTGTTTCGGGGTTTCATTCCCAATTGTGCACTGACAAACTCACCAATGTATTTTATTTTTGAAATCAAAAGCTTGACGAAAACTTGTCTGGTCAGGAATGCTCATGAGCAAAGGTAAAATAAAGACACCGACCAAAAAGAACTTCACGTGTGCAACATTCCCTGTGCAGACTGTAACTATGTGTACATCAGTGAGACTGGTGATTTTCAAAGGCTCTTAAAGAGTCACTGTTATGATGTTAAAAAAGAGGAAGTGTGTTCTAATGCTCTTGCCAAACATTGTGTATCAGAGGGACACGATATTGACTGGGCCAGTGTGCCTGTGCTAATTATCGACGGAAATCTAGCATTGGAACTTCATCTCGAGCCATTACTATTCCAAACTACTGGTACCATGCTGAACTGCAATGACATAACTCTCCCTTCTGTTTATGTACACCTTTTGCACCATGTATTGCGCATAGCTAGTCATCCTCCCAGTCTTTCATTGCTTTATTATGAACAAGGCCTCCGTACGTGAGTTGAAATGTGTTATCTTAAATTTCTTCTTTAGTTGGCTTCTTCCTTTTGCTTGTGACCATAGCGCTATTGTTAAACTTGCCACTGTGAACCAAGTTCTGTTAATCCAGGGTGAGTTTCTGCTCAATGGCCCCAGCGACTTGGGCATCTTTGCCACGAGCTCAGGTGTGTCACAGAGGCCTCCTCTACCCTGGAGTGCGAGCGTCTCCGCCGTGGCCTACGCCCACCCGTACATTGTGTGCCTCTCCGAAGACTACGTCACGGTGTACAGGTTCGCTTCTTTTGCACTCCACTCTCGTTGACGTTATATTGTGTTGTCTATCATAGGCTCTAACACCGCATTGTTTATCGTTGTTTTAACCTGCAATGCTTGACTTTCGTAATTTGCAAAACGTTTGAAATAGGAATACCGTTATATAGGCCGAATATTATAGAAAAAAAAAAACGCAATGAAAAGTCGACCCTCGTCTTATATACCGATCACTGGCAGAAAAAAATGTAGAAGTCTCACAACAATCGACAGCTGAAGTCTAAAGCCTCCATTGCCATTGTGAGCATCAGCAATGCTGCCGTTGTGCAAGGCTAGGCAAGGCCTACAGTGTTCTAGCAATGCCATTTTGCCTCAGTAAATCTACAGTCAGTCTTTCGTTTTTTATTTCCTTCAAAAATTAGTGGTAGTCAGTGGCATCAAAGAAAAGCGTCTGATACTGGAGGAGCCAAAAGCAGCGCATCAAATCCTGCAGCAACCAAAAAAAACTTCGTTTCATGGACGAACTGCAGCGCACCCCGAAATGGAAACGTTACTCACCGAATTCGTCCGAGAGCTGCATGCAAGGCTGCTATATGTAACAGCAGAGGGCATGCCCATGAAAGCTTTCGAGATAGCGCGCGACTTTGTGTTCACGAGGGCGTCAATTTAATGGATCACCATCGGTTATAAGGAAGTAAATGAAAAAGTCTTGCAATAGATGCAGTGTCAGAAACCACCTTTATAAGAAATTCTCAGATATAACGAGCCTATTTTCTTGTGAGATGCAACTTTGTTATAACAAGATCTGAGTGTAGTTTGAATAGTACATATCACGTACTATAAAGAAAAACGAGCATATTTGTCATGACCCTACAAACGTGCACAAAATTTTTATGAATTAAAATTGAGCATGTGTGAATGCCGCTTTGTTATCAGAACTGAAGTACAAGCAATCCGGAGCAGTAGCAAAGTTGGCATAGCACTAGGGCACAAGTTATAACCAGTAAAATTTGTTACATTTTAAAAATGACTATACTTGCCACATACAAGCCCATTTAACATGCTTTCAACCTTTAAAAAGTAGCTAATTGAAGTGAAAATAATATGTACAGTTAACCTTTAAGTGCAGCTTCATGAAAGTACGCATTTCCTCTGGAGGGTAGTTTTTTCGCATAGCACACTCGCACTGCCGTGAAACCACATTTACAGAAAGTTGTGTGCCCTCGTATATGCATATATTCGTTCATTTCGAATATTTCGAAATTTCCATTAATCTGAATTTGGGCTGAAGCGAATATAAATACTTTAATATTCATTTGAATATTTGAAGTGTCCAAATATTTGCCTATCCGTGTCTTTTTTTTCTTTTGTTCATATGTTTTGTGGTTAATGGCAGCCATTTATGGATTAATAACTATCCCTAACTCACACATTAAGTTATATAATGCCTATAATACCCACATAATGCTGACGTTATCTGTCATAATGCTGACCTGAAGTTGGTAGTTCTACGCACCGGCTCTGGTCGTATAGTGCTTATCAAATCGTGGCTGTGGCAGTTTCATTTTGAAAGAAGCAGAATGCTAGTGTTCTGTGTGTACAGATTTTGGTGCACATTAAAAAAATTCATATGGTAGAAATTTCTGGCATTGTCCACTATGACTCTCATAATGATATTATGGTTTCGACATGGCCAACCACGACAACTGCATTATTAGATTATGCTACAGTTAATTTTTTTTATTTTACAGCAGCCACATCAAGCGGCTGGGGTCTTTAGATAAGTTAAGCTGCGTGTCAATTTGTTATCGCTCCAGCATCACATTATCAGCAAATAGTATCTTCAATGTTATGGGGTTGAAATTATTTGTATTATTACTCTGTATTATATTTCCTCAAATGGCAGTGTGTATGTACATAAATGCATACTAGTACTATACATATTTTTAAGCCCTCCCCCCCAAATGCATGCACTTGGGGTATCCGTAAAATCTTGATCTTGTGTACCCCCCAACGGTGCAAGATTATTGGACAATAATTGGGGTGGGCGGGGCCCTTGTTCGTTTGCGTACCGTAATTCAAGATGGCGGCGGAAGTGCCGCTAAGAAGAATGCACACTTGTACTTCTATGAAATGCTTTATTGAATACACTTGAATTTACTGTTTTTACTGAACCGAAGGGAATCCTTGTGGGAAATTTCATTCTTCAAGTGCAGAACACCAAGTTGGGCTAGCTGGTTAATGTGCATTCCGAAAGGTGCATGTGCTGCTCACATGGGGTCCTTTACTTTCTCTGTGTGCTTGTTTATATTAGTGCAGTCAAACCTCTCGATAATTCTTCAAACGTTCCGACAGTTTGTGACAGCTGAGAATGCAGCCCCAAGGCACCGCACTGTACAAGTACAAAGAAAAAGTGCACATATCTAAAGACTCTCACCCATAGGCATGCACACGGGAGGGGCAGGGGGGTGGGCGCCCTCTTGTCACCCTAGAGGGGGGGTGCAAGGTCTACCTTTTACATTGGCATAATAGGGAGGGGCCGCTGAAATAAACTTTTGCCCCCCCCCCCCCCCCCCCCCCGCCTTGAAGGGGAACTTAGTTCATGCCTATGCTCTCACCGCTTTGGTCTCCAAGAGCTATTGCTGCAAGATTCTGTAGAGGAGAATAGGTCGAAGAAGATTGGTAAGAGGGGAGGGCGCTCGACATGTCATTGGCGCATATTTCGTATCTCCCTAAAATGGGGAAGGGAGCGCTTTTGCTCAGGTAGGGGCACTTGCTTGGGATTTCACGGTAGTAACGGTAGGCCTCCTCTACTCCGCAGCATTTTCGACCAACAGCCGAAGCAGCGCGTTCCTTTCATCAATGGCACCTTCCTGGACAACTTCGAGGGCAAGCTGGTTCTGGCTGGACGAGACACACTTTTCGTGCTGCAACCTGTGCCATGGGAGGCTCAGGTGAGCGGGGGACTTTACCCACTCTTTCAGAGTGGCTCTGTGTGGTAGAGTCACTGTTTCAGAGTCACTGTTGTGTGGTAGCAGCAGCATTATATGCTGCAAAAAGGCTGGGTTAACATTCAACTGTCTGCTTACCTACCGTACAGTCAAACCTTGATGCATCGAGTCATATAGAGACAAATGAAGATGAATAGGTAATTCGATGTGGAAAATATGTAATGTACTTAAATACATTTATGGGGATTTCAAAATTTTTTGGTATACATAATATTTGATTATATCTCGGTTCGTCTGTAATATGTATAGGACATACATAATGAATTTTATGACTAAAGACAGTAACTCTGAAATATTTACTACTGATACAGTATCAGGCTGAACATGTTTATGATTCTATTTAGGATTTGTTTTTTTTTTGTATTTATATATAACCGGTCTATCACACGAATGACCTCTGCCTTTCTCAAGGTGTGCCATTACGTCTGGGAACCTTCCAGATTATTTCAGGTTTTTCTGATAGGCTTCAGTGTGTAAACACAAACAGTGGGGTTCATTATAGATATAACGCAGACACCAGCGATAAGGCTCGAATGTGTAAAGCCTCATGTGCAAATTCCTACACACCTTATCCACTAACCAGATGAATCGATGGTTGACGCTTTGTTTGCCACTATCAGTCTACCGCATCTATTGCTCGTAGTTTGGCTTTGAATTTCCTAGGCACAAGTTCACCCAAATTAAGAGTTTTGTCTTGAACACGCTGACTGCTACCTTCGTCACAGTGATGACCGCATGACAATATTTTCACGTTACACACAACTTCACACAGTATTGCTGCATGACATGTAATTTCACAACCGCATAAAATTTTGTTGCAATGTGATTGTAAAGGCAAAGCAAGAAGAACTCCAGCAGGTAAAGATGAAGCACTCTGCTGGGCGAGCGTGTGCTCAGAAAGAAAAGAAGCGATGCACTAAGTGTAGCAATACCATTGAGCACAGTTGTCGGTAATATGATTAGCCGTAAGGTGCATCAGCATTTATACCTGTGGCATTGAAGATTGCAGCCGTGTCACTTACAGAACGAACTCTGATGTTTACATTGCGGACCCGTTACACGTGCAACAGGTCGGCTGTACAAACAAAGAAGATAACATGGCAGTGTCAGATGGGGTGTTTTTTGAATATTTTTTAAAGTGCCAAGTCTACTTAAGCGGAATTGAGAAAAATTGAGTTTTTTGCTACTGATTATATGATATAAGCCTGCTGCATGAATATTTTGCCAATGTGCTTTTTTTGCCTAATACTTCAAACTAATATTGTGGCTAAAATGTATATAGCCTGCTATCGCCTGTATGGTTGACTCCTGTTAATGTATCATTGTTGCTGTCCACGGCAACGAATTTCTCGAAATGGACGTCACTAACAGCCCCAAAGCTGTTGTCTAGAGTTCTCTTGTTTACACTTGATGAAACTCGAGAGCGAGTTAAGCTTAATGCCGTACTTTCGTGCGATTTCTCGCTTGGCGGTGCCTTCCTGGTCAACTTTTTTGGAGACTCTCGACTTTCATCGCCAAATCAAGCGTTTGGCAGGCACCGCGAGTTGCCATTATCAAACGTCGCCACCACAACACTCAAAACCAGCTGCAGAAAGACGTGCGAAATCAACCCACACTGCGTTGATGGGCTAGTTGGTTTATTATGCTATGTTTGAACAGCGCAACTGTATGCGGATGAAGCAGAACATGCAAACACACACACAACGCTGTGTGTATGTTTGAGGGTTCATTTTAACCAGCATCCAGTCGTGCTGTTCCAACTTCAACCAGACTTCAACCCAGCGCGCGGCTGAAGCACTCAACACATCACAGCGTAAGACCTAGTTAGTGGATGCGACGCCTCGGCGTTGACTAAACAAGATGACTGCTTCATGAACCGTGGTGCTGCAAGCATTGGTCGATGGCGACAACAGTGCAGTCCGACAGCTGTCTTCGGCAGTCTTGGCACCAAAAAAATCCTCCATTTGAATTGAATCGGCTTGAGGCTCTCGACTGAAAAATAACTTCTAATTAACCAACATTATGGGTTTTTAACTTCAAATTATCAAGCATTTTTCCTATAGGCATGCTTGCAAAATTGATGGGACCACTTGGTGACTTCTAATTAACCGAAAATTTCAATTAAGCAACTTCAAATTATCGGGAGTCAACTGTATACAGGAGTGAAATTTGGTTTATGCGCTGCTCTGATAGATTAGAACATTTTATTTGTGTTGGAATTGGCTCTGCAAAAGCAGTCTGAATAGGAGCAAATGAATGATATAGCAACAGTTTGAGACAGAGTGGACATCATCCTTGTGCGTTTGATGGTGCCATTTTTTATTGCACAGTCGTAATGCTGATGCTCACTAGACTTGCTAGAACGATAGGTCCTTCCAAGCCACAGACACACTGTTAGAGACTATCAGTAGTGTTTTCTTTTCTTTAGCTTTTAGCTTCTGTAAAAGGCCTTCAAGAAATGTTCCAGTTCTTCTTAGCTTCTTAGCTAGCTTTGCGTCGCACTGTTTCATATCACTTTACGAAAGAATAGATCGGTGCCCAACATTTTATTTTAGTTGATTTCCATTTGAAAAACACTCAAGCCTCGATATGACGCACTTGTATATAATGAAATATTAGTTATAATGAAGCTAATGAACAACAGCCTTGTGTCATGTATAGTGTCGAAAATATACAGGTATAAAAATTTTTCAGATATAACAAACCTAATATCGTGTAAGGTGTGACTTCATTGTAGAGAGGTTTGAGTGTATACGATCTTGAATTGAAAGGTCATTGTGCCATGGCAAACGTAGAAAAGAAACACCAAGGGGCAAAAAGAAATTGGAAAGACGGCGTTTTACTCTCCATATTTGAGTTTTGCCCTACAACATTATGTCCTTTGGTGTGTACCTTCCTGCCCCAAAAAGAAGTAATTGTGGAAGGAAAATACAGGAGCAAAACAACCAGGACACAAATGATACATATTCAATGCAGCCATGGAGGATTTTTAGTCAGAATTGTGGATGCAGTGCTTGCCTAAAGCATCTGGCTTGATTTGATTCAAACAGGTGCTGGATTTGGCTCAGTTTTTATTCGAAACTGCATTATTGAGTTCATGCTACACTGAGGCATGCCCCAGTTTGATTACAAATGTTTTAAAAAGTAAAAGATGCTTAGTCATGCCTTACGTTTATATGTAATTGAGCCCAATTTCAGTTTTTTTAATCGGCTCTTTTGGGAAAGAAACACCACATATATGTCATCTTTGAAAAAAACTTCACCACGTGATGCTTAAATTTTTTCTGTGACCAAGCGTAAAACAAGTTCATGTCAATGTGGTCGTTTCTGCTTGGTTTGGTGATCACATAGGTGCAAGCACTCTTGGCAGACGAGAAAGTGGCAGAAGCTCTGGAGCTGGCAAGGCACTCCAACAAGACGGGACTGTCGCACGAACAAAACAAAGAGGTACTGTAGGCACAATAAAATAGCTGCCCTCTCAACATTCCATGTGTCGAAGGTCACTGGGTCGAATCCAGGGGCGGATCTAGCCACTCATTTTATGCGGGACGGTCGCCCTAAATAACACCGGAGAGCGGGGTGTGGTCATGACTTTTTGCTTCTACTAGCAGCAAAACCACTTCAGAGCATGATTGCTGTTGATGGCTGTTTGCAGTGGTTTCACTCGTTTGGCCTAATTGGTGATAGAAGGTGAACTACAAGTGCTGAAGGGAGGGGGGAGGTGCTGGAGGGGGGAGGTGCTGGTGAACTACAAGTGCTGGATCCGCCACTGGTCGAATCTCTTTCATGGCACCCATATCTCAATGGAAGCAAAATGTTAGAGGTTCGGGGGCTTAAACTTAAGTGCAGGTTAAAATACCCAACCTTTTCGGAATTTCTAGAGCCCCCACCTGTGTCGTCCCTCATGGTCATATTGTTGTTTCGAGACTTAAAACCTCGACAGTCATTTAAGACTGCAAGGGTTAGTAATTACTGTGAAATGTAGGCAATCTTTGAAAAAATATGGGTACAGCCTCTTAGCAAACGGTGTGCTTCTAAATGAATGGACTTTGCATGATATAAAATGCAACAGCAGTGCTACAGTAAAAGCTCGTTAATTCGGATTTCACGGGACCGAAAGAACTGACCGAATTAACGAAGGTCGGGCACTCATCGTCGGTGGACTCAGCTGACACCTCCTCGATGCCATCGTCAGCTACTGCTGCATGCTCGGGCCTCACAAAACCGCTGTGCCGAAAACAGTTGGCGATGACTTGCGGCGGAGTGTTTTTCCACACGTGGGCGATGATGTGCACTGCGCCGAGTAAGTCCACTTGATACAACTTTCTAGCTTCTGAGCATAGGATCATTCGCTCTAGCAGGTGCTTGCGGTACCTCGACTTCACGTAGTGAATGATACCCTGGTCCATCGGCTGAAGAGCAGACGTAGTGTTGGGCAACAAAAAAACTACTTTGATGCTCTTCAGTTCGACTGTACAGTTATGGGCACCGCAGTTGTCAACAACCATAATTATCTTGCGGTCCTTTGACGTGAAGTGCCGGTCCAACTGCTGCAGCCAGCCGCGAAAAATGTCCGATGTCATCCTTGCCTTCCTGTTTGCTCTGTATTCGACAGGAAGGCTTTTGACGTTCTTAAAACAACGTGGCTTAAGCGCCTTCCTGAAGACAAGTAGTGGCAAGCGCTCCGTGCCAGTCATATTGGCGGCAAGAAGCACAGTAATCCTTTGCTTGCACTTCTTGCCACCAATGCACGCGTCCCTTTTGAAAGTCACCGTCTTGTCGGGCAGAGCTCTGAAAAATAGAGCAGTTTCATCTGCATTGAACACATCACGTGGTTCATATGCGGCGATGTGCTCCAGCAGCTTCAGATTTCTCCGCTCGGTGGTCACGCTTTCGTCAACACTGGCCTTTTCGCCGCACACACTCCTGAAGACAAGTTCGTGTCTCTCTCGAAACCTCGCAAACCACCCTTCTGACGCTTTGAACGATTCAATGTTCATCATTGCAGCGTACTTCTCACCTTGCGCCATGATGAGAGGTCCGCTCAAAAGCAGATGTGCGTTGCGACAGTCAGTAATCCACCGGAGCAAAGCTTCTTCGAGCTGGGGATGAGCTGCGCTTCGCAACCGCTTTCTAGAGGCATGAAACTCTTGCTTTCGAAGGCTTGTCGAATCTGTTCTTCATTTTTCACGTACGTTCCCAACGTGCTCCGCTTCACGTTGTACTTGGTCATAACCTGCTGTCGCGATTCGCCGTTCTTCAGTGCTTCCAAAATTTTCACTTTAGTTGCCAAGTTCTCGCGTCGTAGTTCTGCCGCTTTTTCGGCGTTGCCATCACTGTAGCGCACGATGGTGGTGGTATGCAAATACGGTCACCATGGAAGAAAAAGAGAACTCCGCAAGAAGAGATGGTTCTGACACGACAACACAAGGAAAAATGGCGTTGGAGGCGCTGAGTGGAGAAGAAAGAAGACGCCGACGATCGGTGACGCTGCCCCCACTTGTTGATGATGATGGCGATGCCACTCAGGTTTCGGTTTCACTCCAGTGGGGCCAGCGCTGCTTTATCACACTTTTGTGTAGCAGCAGCCGTCAGAATTTGTCTGAATTAAGCGGTGCGGAGCCGAATTACGACGAAATAACGAAGGTTTGGTCCCATAGATTAACATGCACTTTGGCCGGGACCAATAGAGCCGTCCGAATAATCTGAATTTCTGAATTAACGGGTGTCGAATTAACGAGCTTTTACTGTATAAACAAGCACTAGCAATGAAGTACTCACACAGCGCTGACTTGGTTGCTTCAAAACAGGGCTGTTCCTGTTCTTCTTGGCTAGTCCTTGCTGCCTGCACTGTTCCTAATTTTAATATAAATGAGGGTGTCCCCGGAAGAAATTTTCTTTTTTGCTTGGAGGGGTAGGGGGTGCTGTGTAAACCCTCTTTGTTTATGTTCTTGCATGTGTTTGTATCAGTGCATGTGTAAATACACAAGCGAAATTGGGGTGTTTGAAACCCACCCTTAACTATGCCAATGAAATTGACTTACAGTGTAGACCGCTTATAACGTAAGTCACGGGAGTTGTAAAAATCCGCGCTATAAGCGGTACCGCGTTATAACCAAAGCATGCTTTTTTCGGCCTTTGCCTATGTCAAAAGGGCAACCCACCTTTCAAAAGCAATTTTCTACACTTTTCACTCGCAGACACATTCAACACAATCACAACACCGCACGGAAACAAAGTTCTCAAGTCCGGCATCAGCGGAAGAACGCCGTTATTTTCGTCTGGCGATGCTTGCGAACAGCGCTGCGAACAATTTCGTCCTCCACAAAGCTTAGGCACTGAAGCGATTTCTCGCTCAAACTGTTTTTCGCGCACTACGTTTTCACTTTAGCGAGGTATTCCCAATGCGTCTTTGCACGGGAAATCTGGTTCTGGCGTCAGGTCGACATCATCTTCGCCGTCCGACTCGTCGTCCGTTGCAACCTCCGCACTACCGCGCACCGCTGCGACGATCGCGTCATCTGTGCTCGCTTCCTTGCAGACAGAAAGCTCCGACTCCCCAGCATCGACAAATTCTTGCAAAGTGTCGGTGGCGGTTACAAATTTGCTGTCAACGAGGCAGAACCACACGTCGTCATTGTTGAGGGTCTCATCGGCGAGCGACGTGTCGCTCTGCTCATCGTCTTCCAGAGCCTCTGCATTGCGCACGAAGCCTGCCCTCTTGGAACACTTGCTTATGGTATCGGCCTTTACCTGCCACCATGAAGCGACCACCATGTCAATTGCGCCTCTTAAGTTCACTTTAATAGGCTGCTGCTGCTGCATGCTCAGCAAAACTCTCTCGCAAATGCGCTTTTTGTACAGCGCATTTACGGTTGCGATGGCACCCTGGTTGAAAGGTTGACTTTTTGCTGTAGTGTTGGCAGGCAAAAACTTTAGGTTGACTGCGGTCAACTTCGGCTTGACGTTGTGGGCCGTGCAGTTGTCGAGGATAAGCACGGCCCGCCGCTTCTCTGCCACCATATCCTCATCAAACTTGCAAAGCCAGCTGGTGAACAAATCCTGCGTCATCCACGCCTTTTTATCGGCTTTGTAGGTCACTGGCAGGCACTCTCGCTTTTTAAAGCAACGTGGCCTTGCCGATTTACCTATGACAAAGAGGCAGCTCTTGTCGCTCCCGTCCAAATTGGCGCAAAACAATACAGTTATCCGCTCCTTTGAGACCTTGCGGCCGGAGCAGGCTTCGCCTTTCAGCGCAAGCGTGCGGTTGGGCAAAAGGTTATAAAATAAACCAGCTTCGTTGGCATTATAAATGTCTCTGTCAGTATAGGTCGACAGCATACTCTCCAAGTTCAAGCGAAGCCAGACTTTGATAGACTCGTCGTCGACAGCACCGCTTTCTCCGCGCACCACTTTGCAGCTGATGCCATAGCGATCTTTGAAACGCTGAATACACCCGTTGAGTGGATTGAAGTCGTCGTGGCCTAAAAGAGCTCCGGGACACTTGGCCTTTTGTTGGAGCATGGGGCCACTTACTGGGATGCTCTGAGCCGTAACTTCGCGGAACCGCCTGAACAGCGCTGCGTCCACGTCTTCGTATTTTGACGTACGTATTCTCTTCCATGACAGGGAAGACGAATCTTGCTGCAGTTGCTGCTGCAGTTTGTCCTTGTTTTTGTAGATGGTCGACACAGTCGTGTCGGAAACGCCGTATTTCGCCGCCACCGACGCCTTCTTCAGGCCACTCTCAATGTCCCTTATGACGCATTCCTTAATCTCCAGCGATAAGGCACGGCGTTTTTTCACACCGCTTGAAGACGCCACTGACGCCATGGCGACAGGAGCTACGCAACACACGTGCTCTGGGCTCTCAGTCGGCAACGACACGGCGAAGTGCACACAGCAAATCCAAACAGGCAAAAGAAGGAGGTTGAGAAAAAAAAAAAGCATGCTACTGCTTCTCTCCCCCACTCCGCGCAGCGCGCACCCGGATTGGACGCTGCCACGGTCGCCACGGTGGCGAAAACACGCTCCCTCCTTCCAAGGTCTCCCCGACTCCCTCCCTACTGTACCCTCTCTTCTCCTCCGCAATGTTTGACTTTTCGCGGCGGTTTCCACGTGCGCCTTTCCACTCACACTCCCAACGTTCCGGCGCGCCGGGAACACCGCCAGGAAACCGTGCCGACTGTGCTCCGTTCGCCGATTTTATGGTCGCGCGCCTAAAAACTCCGCGCTATAACCGGTATTCTCCTTCGCGCGCCTACGGGTCGGCCTATACATTGAGTTCTATGGGCGACATATCGGTGGTAAAAAAAACCCACGTTATAACCAGTCCCGTGCAAAAAGCAGTTAGATTATAAGTGGTCTGCATTGTACCACCATGTTGAGCCAAGTCTCCATCTTTCATGCCTTGCGTGGTTCGAAAGCTTTCGGAAATACTAAAGGAAAGGAAATTCCAGGGGGAGTAAATTTAACAAGGGACTGTTTATGTATTGCTCTTTGGATACAATAACGACATCTTGCGGAAATGCATGGATTATTTTTCGTGATTAGACACGCTGAAGTATGAAATATCTATGACTTACAATGAAAGGATGCCGGGCGCATGTTTGTGTGGTGCGGTGCCTTGAGGCCTATGTTGTTCGCAAATGCGATCCACGAAACCAAGGTGCTTCCAACCGAATGAGTGAGAAAAGGTGTCCAGCGGGCAGCTGCACGAAGGTATAAGAGAAGGCTAAGGATGAAGGCTGGGCATGTTGGTAAAGCATGGCTGTAAATTGTATAGTGCAACTAAAGTCAGATACAATTTTGGAAGTCGGGGACAACCGAAGACAACCGAAGCGTGACAGCTGATCACCTTCAGAAGTAACGAAATAGTCCCACGTCGTGCACTCTGAAAGGGGGTTTTTCCAAAAGGGGAGGTCACCAGCTGCCCTACTCATGACATCAGTCTGGAGTGCACACCCATTGGTGAAGACTTGTATGCATTCACCTTTGAAGAGGGAAACGCCCCTGACTTCTAATCTATAGTCGACCATTGTCGACAGGGCATGAGAAAAATGTATGTATAAAGTACTTCTTTATTCATTCCATGGAAAAGGAAATACAGTTCATTGTTAAAAGTTTGTACTTTATTGTGTGTGCATCTTTCTTGTTTCCTATCGATTAGCTGCACTTTGCAATCTCTAGCAGAGTAAAGACTAAAAGTTGCTCTAGACAAAAATTCTGCAATTGAAGAATAATTCATCCTGGTGTTCGGCGAACTTTTTTAATCTAACCAATAGACAGATGACTTTGTTCTTGGAACTAAAAGGATCTGACAACATGCCCTAAAGTTTGTTTTCATATTGTTGAAATAATCGTTTAGTCAATGTCTTTTGTCTTGTTTGCATTCCAGGTGTTGCAGAGGATACAGCAGCAGGCGGGTTTCATCGAGTTCTCCAACTTGCAGTTTGCTGAAGCTGAAGAACTTTTCCAGGAAGGAGGCCTGGACGTCAGAGAAGTGAGCCGCCAGCATTCATTGCAGCTAAGAAGTGATTTGTGGGCTGTACACAGCATTTTGTGATGATTGCACCCCAGCTTCAATGGGGGACATTAGTCCCGCTACTCACTTCATCTTGTATATACTCTTATGGGGTTTTATAAGCTGTTCATGATGTCATTCTGTGGTGAGTGCCCTCAAGCAACGAGGTCATGCACTGCCGCAGAGACGTTGCGCGGTCCAAGGATAGGAGCTGCTTACTACCCAGGGTTGGGGAACTCCCCAGGGACGGGAAGAGGAGGCTTCTTCCCCAGGGGTACGTAGCTCACGAACGTACGCTCCCCAGTTTCTCATGGGGAGCTCAGAGGGACCACACTACATGACAGCGGTGGGACGTGAAGTTCAAATGGTGCGCTTCAGTTTTAGCAGGTGGCCAGAATATTTCCTCATGCTAATACACTCAAACCTCATTATAACCTGGTTGCATCTAACGCAAAAGTATATTCCAAAATCTTTATACAATGCAAGACTAATCTTCATTGACTTCGTTATAACTCACATTTCGTTATATCCGGGTTTCTTATATCGAGGTGTAAGTGTGCACCTTTACAGGTGAGGCAGTGTTACACTCAAAGCTTATTATAACAAAGTTGCATTTTACGCAAAAATAAGTTCGTTATATCTGAAAATTTTTATAAAGGTTTGTTCTTAACACTTAACATATTTCAAGACTAATCTTCATTCACTTTGTTATAGCCAACATTTTGTTTACAATTAGCTGGCAATGACATCGTGCCACAGGTTAACATTTTTTTTTCACCAAGATCTCTTAAGTTAAAGAATCCCTAATGCTGAAACACTAGCCACAGTTTGAGATAATCCTAACATTGCACAACAGTCTTAACCTCTTCACCGGGTGTTACCGGTGCCAGTTTAGGAAGCGGTGTCATTTCCTGGACTAATACAGTCAGCCCCTGGCAAAGAGACTGGACCGGTACCGGAACTTGGGGCCGTCTTAAAGTGTGGCTGGTGCCACTTAATAGTAAAAATAGGTCTTTTATAATTAGGTGTGGGATTCTGGGATAAAAAGTGGAGACATTTTACGCAACACTTCACGAAAAAAGCATACATATATGTATGCTCGTCTTGGAACAAACATTTATAGCTGATGTAGTAAGTGCTTGTAGTTTATCCATTCTGTATTTGTCCTTCGTAAAGTGTTCCACTACCTAAAATGATGAATCATTACCGACTAGCCTGGTCGAAAACTCTGGGCAGTTTACATGGAATCATTGCTAAACTATGAAAGAAAATCAATAAAGTGGATAAACAGCAAAAAAATTAAAAAGAAGAAACATGTAGTAACGGGAGTGTCGGCAACGATACGACACGTTTTCGTTAGAAATACAAATGAATAAGAACACGTGGCAGCAACTTACATTACGGAAGAATAACAATTGTACCTACATGTCATCATCAAGAGCCCTGTTGTTCAAGTAAGTGTTCTCCTGTTGCTTGAAGCAGGGTTTGCTTAGAAGCCAACTTACTTCGGTTACCTATTTCGCTTCTGCTATGGCACCTCTTGTTTTTCAGTGCAAAGAACGCCCACTTACTATGTTCCTCTTTATGCCTTGGTTGCAGCTGATCAGCCTCTACCCAGAGCTGCTGCCTGCTTCGTCGAACTTCGAGAGGGCGTCCCCCAAGCTGCACGACATCGATGACGTGGTGCAGATGTGTGACGGTGATAAGGACAAAGTGGCCAAGTGCCACCATTTCCTGGCTTCCTACTTAGAGACTACCAGGCAGCTTTTTTCCGACTCCAGAATGGTACGGCAGGCACATTGGCTGTGCCTCTCTTTTGCTCAGCTGTGCCTTCTGTCTTTGCTCATTGCTTAGGTGAGCATTGTTTGTACCGTGCTTATGAATATAAACGTGGCATCAAAACGTTCAACATAATACGGTAGACTCATGATAATTCGTGTTTTTGGTTAATTCAAACAAAATTAAATTTTTTGGTTGGCCCTTTATACTTTCAATGCGCTTGAAAGCCTCTTAATTCAAACTCATCATTTGGTTAATTCATACTTTTTCCTAATTCATACAGAAAAATATCTGTTGCTTTCCCGCTACTATTCAAAATTTGTGTCCTTATATAATCCTAACAGTCTAAATATGAAAAATAAGCACCTTAGGCCTTTGAGGAAAAAGATTTTGTTAGTAAACAAATGGTGTAAATTAAGCATACGCACGTTAAACAGTGATGCTTCTCAACTGGTGTAGAGAGCTTTAGTGAAGAGAGCTTTGGTATAGAGAGCTTTGGTATAGAGAACTGGTATAGAGAAGCAGTTGGCAATTCGCGATTTTTTTAAAAGGTCTGATCAGCCGTAAATGACCAATAAACTTGTGGACCTTACACCTTTGCTCTGTGTTCATTGGGTGCAGTTAGCTCAAGAAACTTTTAAATGTGATAAAATCAATGCCTAATCATAATGTGTGGTGCCACCTCACCCAGAGTCGTCTATCTGAGAACTTCTGATAAGTCAAAGTTTTTGATAATTCAAACAAAATTCAAAGGTCCCTTCGAGTTTGAGTAAACGAGAGTCGACTGGTGTGTGCAACAATTCTATACAACCTCATCACATCACTATGAATATAGCTGCTGAAGGTAATTTGGGCTCTGATGTAAGCATTCAAGTTTAAAGTAGGTATAATAACATCCTTATGCAGAACGATGTAACGCTGATATGGCACGTTCAACAGGAGAGCGAGGGCTTTGGTTCGGTGAACATGATTGCATCGTTGTGGGCAACTCTGGGCAACACCTGGGTATCCGATAAAAATTTGTGGAGGCAAAATAGTTGCAGTAGCTTAGCTTAACCTAAACTATTACCACAGTGCATTAAAGTTTCATTACTTTTGGCCTTAAGCATAACATATTAGTGTAAGCCATTTTTTTCTTTTTCTTTTTCTTCATTGACGTTTTTTTGCCAGCTACAAAAGTTTTCTGCACCTAACGTTGCTTTTCACTGCATCTGTGGTTGGTCCATCTTTCATCAGGCGACAATGTCTTGTAGTGACGTCGGAAATATTGGTGATCTTCAGTGTCATGAAGACGTCATATGGTGGTGTTATCACATGATGACATGATGATGGTGTTTTTTTGTCACTCGTGTTGACATCAATGTGGACAATGATTAACACTCGCATTTAATGAGAGATCTATGGCTTTTGCCTTAATAATAGAAAGATCTCGGGATTTTTGAATGTAAAATTACTATTGTATGGCGACTTTTTTTTCTCCGGTGTCATGTTTTGGGGTATTTGAAGTGATGGAATTGAACATTAGCAACGTACTGGCTGTTTGACACTCGAGCCTTACTATAGCACAGCCAGCTCATTCGACCTGGCCCCGCGGCGCCCCCGGCTTGCCTCGGAGCCGCAGGTTGTGCACCTGCAGCAAGGAAAACGCCTCCCTCCGACAGCAGGTCACTGCACAAAGCGCTCAAATTGCAGCTCAGAAGACCCCAAATTGATTCCCTCCAAGCGAAACTGCAAGCTCTTGAAGAGAAGCTGGAATCAGCCATCACAGTGAAATCCTCTCTGCCCTCACCATCTGCTCCTCCTCCGACATGGACGTTCAGACTCCCGAAGGATGCAATGGCAAGCGCGTCGACCCAACACTCCCTTGAATCTCTCACCTTTCTGAAGAGGTCCAGGTATCCATCAAGACGGCCTTGGTGGATCTTGAAAAGCGGTTGGATAGCCGCTTCAACTCCCGTCCACCAGCTTCTCACTGCACAGCACGAAGCTCTAAATTCCCTGCGCACAGAACTTCGCCGCCTAACCCCCCGCCACGTCCCTTCCAATCTCTACAGTCAACAGTTGATAGCCTACAAACTGCCATGCTTGGAAGCATCCGAGCAAAGCCACCCCTCCATGCCCGCACCACCACCTCCTCCGGCGCCGCCCGAACCTCGCAAACACCGGCCGAGGCAACATCTTCCGCTGTTAAAATGGCTGACCGATCCATCGTCACCATTTGGCAGTGGAACTGCCGTGGTTTTCGTCCCAAGCGTAACCACCTCCTTCTCCACCTACAACAACTAGACCCCTCGGACGCGCCTGATATCATCGTACTACAGGAAACTCACGCCGACGTCTCCCTCTCGGGTTACGTCGCCTACAACCAAGTAACTCACCATCCTCTGCCCCATCCCGTGACGGCCGTCCTCACCCGGCGGACGCTCGCTGTCAATCGACACGATCTACCCTTCCCTGCAGTCCATCACGTCTTTCTCGAGACACTACCTCAGCAACGTGAACAGCCCTCTCTGTTTATTCTCAACGTGTACAACCCCCCTCGCTCCACTGAAGACGCGTCTCTCCTAGCCTTGCTCCGTGCCGCTGCAGCGAAAGCGGCCAAATCACCCCTTCTTATTCTCGGCGACTTCAACATCAAGCATCCGGACTGGGGTTACTCGAAGGCAGATGGCCCCGGAAGGAGGCTGTGGCAGCTCGCTCACGATCTCAACCTTTCCCTGCTCACCGACCCCACGCAACCAACGCGCATCGGCAACAGTGTGTGCCGCGATACCACCCCGGACCTCAGCTTCTGCCGCAGCGTGCCCGACGCGCGCTGGTATAACACGCATCAGTCCCTCGGCAGTGACCACTATGTCCTCACCATTCAAGTTCTCACCTCCCCCAGCAAGCCGCGCCCACACACGGCCCGCTATACAGACTGGGACGCTTTCCGAGAACGCCGGTTGCACTCCGCCACTTCCAACATCGAGGACCTCTCGACGTGGACCGACCAGCTGCTAGCGGACCTCGACGCAGTCACCGCCTCGATCCCCACCACGAAGGACTATCCGGCAACTGACGCCCGTCTTGCCCACCTGTGGGCCGCCCGCACCGGCCTTTGCAACCGTTGGCAGAAGCAACGTCACAACCGTCGCTTACGCCGCCGCATTGCGCACCTCGATCGTACGATCGAGCAACACACCACCGCGCTCGCCCGCCAACAGTGGGAGCAGCTCTGCTCGGGTCTCTCTGGTCAGTTGGGCTGCAAACAGTCCTGGCATCTCCTCCGCCACCTCCTCGACCCTGCTTCTGCCAAGTTGGTCGCTCGGCAGCAGTTACAACGAGTGGTCCGGGCTTACCCCGGCGACACTCCGTCGCTGATGGCAGACCTGTCCGCCAAATACCTTCAGCTTCTGCCTCCTGGCACACCTCCTCCCCCTCTCGCGTCCTACTCTGGGGCCCCCAACCCAGTACTGGACGCCGATATCACGGAAGCGGAGGTCTACGCGGCATTACAGAAGCTCCGCACCACTTCCGCCCCCGGCCCAGATCGCATCCCCAACAAGCTCCTCCGAAACCTCGACGCCCCTTCGGCTGCTACCCTCACTTCGTTCCTCAACGAGTGCTGGCGCTCCGGCAACCTCCCCCAATCATGGAAACACGCTCGCGTGGCTTTCATCCCAAGCCAGGCAAGAAACTCACAATCGAGAATCTCAGGCCCATTTCACTCACCTCGTGCGTCGGCAAGCTTCTAGAACATGTCGTTCTCGCTCGCTTGCAAACGTACACGGACGCACACCATCTCCTTCCCCACACCATGCTTGGTTTCCGCCCCCACCTATCCACGCAAGATGTCCTCTTACAACTCCACCATGATCTCCTCGACCCACCCACATTTTCAGACACAAAGGCTCTCCTTAGCCTGGACCTTCACAAGGCGTTCGACCACGTCTCCCATTCGGCTATCCTTGCCGAACTCGCAGCCCTCAATCCCGGCACCCGCACCTACAACTACATTCGCGCGTTCCTCACCGCCCGCACGGCCGAAATCATCATAGGGGACCTCCCGTCTCCCACGTACGAGCTTGGCCCTCGTGGCACCCCTCAGGGCGCCGTCTTGTCGCCTTTTCTATTCAATCTTGTCCTCCGCTCGCTTCCTGGCAAGCTGGACCGTATCCCCGGTCTTAAACACACCCTGTACGCGGACGATATTGCTCTCTGGGTCACGTCGGGCTCTGACGGCCATATCGAGCAGACGTTGCAACGCGCAACCGACGTCGTCACGTCCCACGTGCACGCGGCCGGTCTTACTTGCTCAGCGGCCAAATCGGCCCTTCTTCTCATGCGGCCTCCCGACCGGCGTCGCTACAAAACTCCCCACCCCACCATCACGGTTCATGCCAACTCTACTCCTGTCCCCGTCGTTTCGCATCTCCGCGTGCTCGGGCTGATCCTACAGTCCAACCGCCATAATACACACACCATAGACAAGCTCTCGCTCTCGGTGCAGCAGACCGCACGTATGCTCGCCCGTGTCCGTGCGCGGCGTGAGGGCATGCGAGAACACGATCTACTTCGCCTTGTCGACGCTTTCGTCGTTTCCCGCCTCACGTACGGCCTCCTTATACACGTCTCCTAAAATCGGAACGCGATAAAATTGACGTCCTTATCCGCCGGGCATACAAGACTGCCCTCGGCCTTCCCCCCAACACGTCCACCGATCGTCTTCTCCGTTTGGGTGTACACAACACGCTCGACGAGTTGATTGAGGCTCACCGCTCCGCTCAAGTGCAACGCCTTTACCGTTCGCCGACCGGTCGCCACATCCTTTCCTCCATCGGCCACGACACCTCCTCCCACCCTCCGGATCTGGTCTCATTACCCCATGCTATTCGAGCGGCGTTCTACATCAAGCCGCTACCTAAGAATATGCTGGCGGGCCACCACGACGCTCGCCGCCAAGCCCGTGCCGCCATGCTTCAAGCAAAGTACGCCGACCACCCGGCCGTCGCCTACGTAGATGCGGCCCGATACAATGCACGCAGGGACGCCTTCGTAGTCGTTTCCGTGTCGCCCTCCTCAGCTCCTTTGGGGCCGACCATCACGGCTGGCACCGTCAGAACGCCTTACGCCGTCGAGGCGGAGGAAGTGGCCATTGCTTTGGCCGCGACCTCGGCTGACGCAAGCGTCATAATCAGCGACTCGAAACAAGCCATCTCGAATTTCGCGCGAGGTCTCGTCTCGCCTACCACCTTACGGCTACTTCGGCCCCTACTGCAGCAAGATGAGCAGTGCCGCATAGAACTGATCTGGGTCCCCGCCCACTCGGGTCACCCCGGCAACGAGACAGCTCACCAACGCGCTCGAGGATTCGTCGACCGAGCGGTGGGCCACTCAGAGTCGGACGCCCTGGTGCCGGAGCCCCTGGTCACCTACCACGACATCACTCAGCACTATCGCCTCGAGCGATATTTCTATTCACATCCTCACAGCAGCCTTCCCAAGCGGTCCGAGATCGCCTGGCGTCGCCTACAGACCCGCACCTTCCCGTGCCCCCTCGTGTTTTCATACATGCACCCAGGTGCCATCGATCCACGCTGCTGCCTGTGCGGCAACGTTGCCTCGTTGAACCACATCCTCTGGGGCTGCCCGGAGGATCCCCCGCCCGCCGACCTCCTTTGCTCACCCCCCACCGAGGGACAATGGGAGGCCCTTCTCTCCAGCAACGACATAGACATCCAGACACGGGTCCTGAAACGAGCGGAAGAAGTCATCGAGAAGCACAGCCTGGCAGCCTTCGTGGCTTAGCCTCCTTTACCCCTCACCCCTTCGACTAATAAAGTTGTTACTCACTCACTAGCTTAGCTTAACCTAAACTATTACCACAGTGCATTAAAGTTTCATTACTTTTGGCCTTAAGCATGACATATTGGTGTCAGCCATCTTTTTCTTTTTCTTCATTGATGTTTTTTTTTTCCAGCTACAAAAGTTTTCTGCACCTAACGTTGCTTTTCACTGCATCTGTGGTTGGTCCATCTTTCATCAGGCGACAATGTCTTGTAGTGACGTCGGAAATATTGGTGATCTTCGGTGTCATAAAGACGTCATATGGTGGTGTTATCACATGATGACATGATGATGGTTTTTTTTTTTTGTCACTCGTGTTGACATCGATGTGGACAATGATTAACACTCGCATTTAATGAGACATCTATGGCTTTTGCCTTAATAATAGAAAGATCTCGGGATTTCTGAATGTAAAATTACTAATGTATGGCGACTTTTTTTTCTCCGGTGTCATGTTTTGGGGTACTTGAAGTGATGGAATTGAACATTAGCAACGTACTGGCTGTTTGACACTCGAGCCTTACTATAGCACAGCCAGTTCATTGTTTGCAGCACAGTCTGATGCAACAGTCATGTTTGTTGTGGCAGGAGGTGAACAGTGCCCTGTTGAAAGTCTATGCTCTATCCGGGGACGATGACAAGCTGCTGAGGTTCCTGCAGAGCAACGGTGGCATTTGCTGTGATTTGGCCGACTGCGCACAGTTCCTCAAGCGTCACGGACGGCCACATGCCGCTGCGCTCTTATACCATGCCCACCGAGAGCATGAAAGCAGCCTGCGTCTCTGGGCAAGGTCGGTGAATGTTACAGGGAAATGGGAATTCGTACAAGGAATACAGCATGTAATAGAGTTGTCGTGTGTAATGAAGTTAATCTTATGTGTTTCTGGCCAATTACAACATGTAAGCGTATGCTTATAAATAGTGTTGCATGAAACAAAGGTATTTCAAAGGGACGCTTCGGTGGTTCACCAAGTCATTTTACATTTCTAAGTTAATTTTATTGTTTACTTCTGTTGTTTCTACTGTTTACTTTTGCATCATAGGTTCGATATAAGAAAATAAAGCAAAGATCAGCTTCATTTTAGTACTTTGAGCGTCAGCACCTCTGCATCTTCGGGAGGTCATTGATTTTGTTATGTTTTTTTTTTCACATTTTAGCCATGTTCGCTCACTAAAATTTTGTATAACTCGCTATAGTACAAGCTCTCTTTCTCACATAGGACAAAATGTAGTTCATCTTTATTAACAAATTGTGTCAGCTCTAGCAAATACTGTCATAATTAACAACATCACAGTGAGTTGGGAATGTCCAAAGCATGGGCACCACCTCACATGATATCTCTGCTCATTTTCCTACTTAACAAGCATCTTATGGGGAGTACAGTGGTCATTTGGCATTGCGGAAGGGTAAATTACTAATGCGAGAAAAATAGAAACTGCAGTTTGACTTGTTTTAAAGTTGGCTTGACTCTTTTATGATAATCATTACTATGCCAAGGTTGTGCTAGAAAGCACAGGAAACAGCAAATAGATAAAAATATGCAGTACCCACAAGTAACTCTGAATGTGCGCCCATTTGTTCACATTTCAGTCGTCCTGCGTGTTCAACTGCAATTACATTGCCAAGGCTGGTATCATCAAAACTTATGGTTAATCTGAATTGTGGGGTAATTAGTACTGTCGAACCTCAATTTACCAAAATGTTGTTTCTAATGAAGTAGAACAATAACCTTATATGAACAGATGAACACAATGATACAAATATGCTTTAGCGAAAAAATTTCAGGTAAAGGGAAGTTCTTCTTGAAAGAAAATGTAACTGTACACATTTTGACAGGGACCTGATCACAATGCATTGTTTGCTATGTATTCCTTTTTCTGACATCTTGAACACGCTGCCAAGTCACAATAAATTGAATATGTAGTGGAGCATACGCACCAACGCGTATGCGCCTTTGGAAGACAACGAAAAGCCCAAGCTCTGCTTGCGCGAGAGTTTTGTGCCGCCTTTGCCAGACTTTCCGTACGCCCACTTTCCGTTGCAACCTCGTTGCGACTTCTCTGCTCGAATAAACGTCATCACATTTGGTGGAGGCTGCTGAGATCCCCGAGCAGACCTGGAGCTCCGCTCTCGCAAGTTGCCTGAAAGACTACCGCCAAACATGACTGACGCAGTCGCCAACCAGCCCGTCCCAGCCCAGCCAGCACCATCGGCTGCCCCGTCTACCTGCCCCGGCGCTACTCGCCAGCGGGACCCACCAATCTTCAGCGGAAGTGGTGAGCAAGACGTCGAAGACTAGCTCTCCTTGTACGAACGCGTAAGCGCCAGCAACAAGTGGGACGACGACTCTAAACTCGCCTACGTTATCTTTTACTTGGCAGACGTAGCTAAGCTTTGGTTTACCAACCGCGAAACCGCCATCGCCAACTGGTCCTCCTTTAAGACCCTCGTAACAGAAGCGTTCGGCCGACCAGAGGTTCGCAAGCTCCGCGCTGACCAGCGTCTGCGCCACAGAGCCCAGCGGCCTGGCGAAACGTTTACGAGTTACATTGAGGATGTGCTCGACCTCTGCAGGCGTGTTAACCCATCTATGCCCGAGGAAGAGAAAATTCGGCAGATTCTCAAGGGCATTGAGGATGGCGCATTCCAGATGTTGCTAGCGAAAAGCCCGACCTCGGTGGCAATCCTCGTAAGCCTGTGCCAGAGCTTCGATGAATTACGCCGTCAGCATTCCATCGCCCGACAGAGTGTCTCACCACCACATTCAATATCGGCTGTCGCACTCGCAAATGCCAACGTTGGCCAAGAAAGTCTGTCCAACCAGGTCAAAGACTTCATCAGGGAGGAAGTCGCCCGACAGCTCTCCCTGCTGCCGCATAGCGACGCGCCCACCGCAAGTCTGCCTACGACACTGCAGCAGGCCATACGCACTGAAATTTGCGATGTCCTACCTACAGTGCAGGCCCCTTACGCATGCACTTCAGCAGCATCTAATCTCTCAGCTGTCAGCTACGCACCACCTGCACCATCTTCACCTTTCAGCTACGCAGCTGTGGTTGCGCGGCCCCCACCGCATCCAGTATCCTTATCGGCTCCACCTCCTCCGGCAGCGCCTCCGGTTTACAGGCCCTCACCTCGCTTTGTCCGTCCATCTAATGAGTGGCGCACCCATGACAACCGTCCTATCTGCTTCGCGTGTGGCATCGCTGGCCACATTGCACGCTACTGCCGCCGCCGTCCCACACCTGCGTACGCCTCCTTTGGAACTCCTACCTATGCGTCGCAGCAGGCCACCACGTCTGCATACGAACAGAGGCACTCTGACTCGGATCATCGCCCATCAACTTCTCGTTTCCCATCTCCTCGTCGCCGATCGCCATCTCCTATGCGTCGTAGACCACCTCCTGAGGAGGGAAACTAATCAGTGCAGTTCCAGAGGCAAGAACTGCAACTTCTGCGCAATTATCAAGGCCTCCATTTTCGCCGCAAAATGTTGTTGATGTCAATGTTGAGGGAGTCGCCACACGAGCGTTAATTGATACTGGGGCCGCCGTTTCTGTAATGAACGCAAAATTTGGTCGCAAACTGAAGAAAGTGACCACATCTCTCTGTGGCATCGTGCTGTCCACGGCTAGCGCGCAACGCATTCAGCCCTCGACTGTGTGTACGGCGCGCGTCGTCATCCAAGACGTTTTGTACATCGTCCAATTTTTTGTACTATCATCTTGCTCTCATGACCTCATCCTGGGTTGGGATTTCTTATCAGGTCATGAAGCTATCATCGATTGTTGCCGTGCGGAAGTGTCCCTAGTGCCAAGTTGTGAATTTCCATCGCCCGACCATTCACCACTGCTCTGCAAACTCATCGCTGACGACGACATCACCTTGCCTCCAGAAGCTTCCGTCCCTATTAGCCTTTCATGTGTGGCGCAACCTGACGCCACGGTGGTGTTTACGCCATCCCCTGTTTTTACTGAACGCAAGGGCATCGTGCTCCCATTTGCCGTTCTTACGATTGTGTCTGATTTAACTGTAATGCTGGTTACCAACCACTGCAACTACCTCATTGGCTTGCTTCGTGGTGAAACGTTAGGATATGGGCAACCTGTCGACCATATCAATGATATTATTCTTCCCGACGAAACGCCATGTCACATTGCCGCAATCACTCAAGCGTCTGAGCCATCAAGCTCGCCAGCCTTCGACAATGCTATTGACGCAGACCTTCCCCCCTCGCATCGCAGCCAACTTGTTGCTCTCCTTAACAAGTTTCGCTCTTCTTTCGACTTTCAGAAACCTGGTTTGGGCCACACCACGACTGTCACTCATACTATTGACACCGGCTCACATTCGCCTCTGCGACAGCGTCCTTACCGCGTTTCTGCCGAAGAGCGCTGCGTCATTACGGAGCAAGTAGATGACATGCTTAAACGTGGAGTCATACAGCCTTCTCAAAGCGCTTGGTCGTCACCCGTGGTTCTGGTAAAGAAAAAAGATGGCACCGTTCGATTTTGCGTGGACTATGGCCGCTTAAACAAGATTACAAAGAAAGACGTCTACCCGCTACCACGAATAGACGATGCTCTTGACTGTTTACAAGGCGCCGAGTACTTCACATCCTTGGATCTGCGTTCTGGGTATTGGCAGGTGCCAATGGTTGAATGTGATCGCCCTAAAACAGCCTTTGTAACGCCGGATGGCCTATATGAGTTCAAAGTCATGCCATTTGGGCTCTGCAACGCGCCTGCGACGTTTGAGCGCATGATAGATACCATATTGCGGGCCCACAAGTGGAAAACTTGCTTGTGTTACCTAGATGACATCGTAGTCTTTTCAGCTGATTTCCCGACACATCTTCGTCGTCTCCACGAGATTCTGACGTGTCTAGCTTCTGCAAGCCTACAACTTAACACCGAGAAGTGCCACTTCGCAGCCCGAAAACTAACCATCTTGGGACACGTCATCACAAGAGACGGTGTTCTTCCGGACCCCGATAAGCTTCGAACTGTCGCTGACTTCCCGATGCCCACATCACTGAAAGCCCTAAGAAGTTTCGTTGGTCTTTGCTCTTACTTTCGTCACTTCGTGCGCAGCTTCGCGTCCATCATTGCACCTCTGACTAGTCTGCTTTCCAACAGCAAAGGTATATCTGCATGGTCACCTGCATGTGACGACGCATTTCACCAGCTGCGCCTCCTGCTGACCTCGCCACCTATTCTTCACCACTACGACCCCACTGCTGCCACAGAAGTTCACACTGATGCAAGTGGCGTTGGTCTTGGCGCAGTTTTGGCACAACGGAAAGGCACCCAAACTGAATACGTATTCGCTTATGCAAGTCGCGCTCTTAAGAAGGCTGAATTGAATTACTCCGTGACAGAGAAGGAGTGTTTGGCCATAATCTGGGCGCTTACGAAGTTTCGCCCGTACCTTTACGGCCGTCCTTTCGACGTGGTCACAGACCACCACGCTCTATGTTGGCTGTCCACCTTGAAAGACCCGTCCGGACGTCTGGGGCGTTGGGCACTTCGATTGCAGGAATACGACATCCGTGTCGTATATCGTTCCGGTCGCAAGCATGCGGACGCCGATGCACTTTCCCGATCGTCATTAACACCAGATGTGGCTTCTCTGTCACCCCCTTTTACCACCTTGTCACCACTCGACACCACTGATATGCTTTCGGAGCAGCGTAAAGACTCATACCTTGCCTTGTTAGTCGACTACATTACCGATCCGTCTGCTGTCCCTTCCACGAGAGCGCTACGCCGGCAAGCAGCCCACTTTTCCTTACGAGACAACATTCTGTACCGCTGCAACTACATGCCTGGTGGTCGGAAGTGGCTCCTTGCTGTCCCAACTCATATGCGCTCTGACACCTGCATGAATTTCCATGCAGATCCCCAAAGTGCTCACGCAGGTGTCCTGAAAACCTACGAAAGGCTGCGCCAACGCTATTACTGGCGAGGAATGTATCCCTTTGTGCAGAAATACGTTCAGTCTTGCACCACTTGCCAACAGAACAAGACACCTCCGCGGCACTTTACTGGCATGTTACAGCCGCTCCCGTGCCCGGCTCGCCCATTCGACCGCGTGGGTATAGACCTCTATGGCCCCCTCCCATATAGTAGCTCTGGAAAACCGGTGGATTATTGTCGGAGTCGATCATCTGACACGCTACGCTGAGACTGCAGCTCTACCGGCAGCGACCGCCCACGAAGTTGCACTCTTCATTCTCCGCAGCTTCATTCTACGCCATGGTGCTCCGCGGGAATTACTCAGTGGTAGGGGTCGAGTGTTCCTGTCGGAGGTCATCCAAGCTATCCTCGCTGAATGCAACATTATCCACCGGAAATCTACCGCATACCATCCACAGACAAATGGTCTTACTGAGCGGTTCAACCGCACACTTGGCGACATGCTGAGGATGTACACCTCCTCCGACCACACTAACTGGGACGCTGTATTGCCCTTTGTTACCTTCGCTTATAACACCGCGACGCAAGCGACTACCGGTTTTTCCCCGTTCTTTCTATTGTACGGCCGTGAACCTTCCCACCCACTCGACACTATACTACCGTACCGCCCTGATGCATCTGAGTGCTCCCTGCTTTCGGAAGTCGCCAGATACGCTGAAGACTGCCGTCAGTTGGCTCGGTCTCTGACAAGTGAGGCTCAAGGTCTACAAAAGACTCGACACGACGACGCACACCGTATAGCTCCTACATTTCATGCTGGCTCCCTTGTGTGGCTTTGGGTGCCCCCGCACGTTCCTGGCCTGTCTTCTAAACTTCTGGCCCGGTACCATGGTCCGTACCGTGTCACTGACGCGACCTCCCCGGTGAATTACATCATCGAGCCATTAACACAATCACCAGATTTGCGCCGTCGAGGACGCGAGACCGTCCATGTCGACCGTCTCAAGCCCTACTACGACCTCCTCATTGTTCATTGTGCCTACTCCCTGAGTCGCCAGGATGGCTACCTTTCACCCTGGGGGTATTGTAGTGGAGCATACGCACCAACGCGTATGCGCCTTCGGAAGACAACGAAAAGCCCGTGCTCTGCTTGCGCGAGAGTTTTGTGCCGCCTTTGCCAGACTTGCTGTACGCCCACTTTCCGTTGCGACCTCGTTGCGACTTCTCTGCTCGAATAAACGTCATCACAAATATATATCACTGAGCCTTCATGAAACCTCTCGAATCAAGAGAGTACGAATAGAGCTGCATCATTCGCTCATTAACTGCATCTGTGAAACCTGAATCTTTAGCTATTGGCAGCACATAGTGTGTGCTTCGAAAGTGCTCACTGAGATATACAGTAAACCCCCAGTAATGGCAGAGCATGTGTGTGACAACAGTGACAATTTAAAACGTAGAAAAGGCATCACAGACTTCTTTGATTTCACATACAGTCTGTCCTTGATGTAACAATGTTCGCAATGTAGCAAACTTTAGGTGTTGCTGTTTCTTGTGGTCACTGAACTGTTGGTATTGCCCTCACTACATTTGTAGATGTAGTGTTGTGCTGAAGTTTCTTTATAACGAAGTTTTGGCAAGCACAAAAGCAAAGCACTTAGTGTAAAAGTGTCAAGGTATTTTGTATAAACTCTCACATGTCATTTTTTTCACTCCCGCCAACCAGACTTTTCCTCTGCTCATCATTTTTTTTTTCTTGCTGGTTGTCTCGTGCAGCATTCTGTCTGGGGAACTGCAAGACGAAACATTCCCGGGGCTTCAATATTACGTTGACTACCTCTCTAAGTGAGTTGAATGTGGCTTGCTTAATACGTTTTGAATGCTTATTTAAAAACTTTGCCCCGAACTTTCCCAACGACATGCATAGATAACAACCTGGAGCCCAGTTCTCAACATTAATCTTCACTTTAATCTTCACTATACTCGGTTACAATCTAAGAAAAATATGTTTCCATTGACAGAACTGTGGTGTACATGTCACTCACCCGCGAAAGACAGCTGCCCGAGCTGGTTCCTGCTCCGAACCATACATACCGTTTCTCGGCTAGTGTAAGCACTACACTTATTAACAGTTAAAGATTTGTATTAACAGTTAAAGATTTGGAGGTGAGCGGTGTCAGAATCTCTGGCGAAATTTACCAGGACCTTCAACTTTACAATGTAAAACCAGCGACCCAAACTTGTGTTTGCATGAAAAAGTCAACCATCTGAGGCACGTTTAACATTATCAAATTGAGGAAGCGCTATTGGATTAGACATTTATGCAAGTTTCCTAAGGGAGGGTCAGCAGAGCCAACATCGTTTTTCTTCTTAGGTTGCAACCAAATATGACTGTTGGTTAGGTGTGCGTGCATTGAAGTGACATAAGGTAGACCAGAAGCAGTGACGTAATCCCGAGATTGTCTCAAGTCAGTCTTTGTCCTGTGATTTAGTTGTTTATGAACTTAGCTTATATTAGCGCGCTGCATATAAGAAGGAAAGATAGCGCAGATGTTAAAAAGGTAGGCACTAAACTACTAACTGGGTTGCAAGTTTAGCGATCCCCTTTATTTACCTCTGTGTCGTCTTTCCTTCTTGTATGCACCGCACTAATACAAGCCAAGTTCATAAATGACCAAATCGCTTGAGGTAATACACTTCGGAACTTCATAGTTGTCTACGTATCTTTTTACTCACGGACAACCTAACCAATTGCATTTTGCAGACTAAGCAACCACAAGCTGTTATGGTCGTTTGCGGAGCTGGCTCTGGAAAAGGACCAAGAGATGGGAGTCAAGGTGTGTATTTCGTGGCACAGCTGCTGAGCAGCCTCATATCCTGTGCAATTGGCGTAGAGAATCGTATTTCTTGGTGTAGGAATGTCAGCGCTGCCCACGTTGACGGTGCAGTGGACGTCAGCTTAGTGTGGAGATAGCGCTAACTGCAAATGTGCTGTCTGACCCTTTTATAAAAGACACTAATGCAACAGACTAATGGATGTAAGAGACACTAGCGTGCCTACATTAAAACAGGGGTTGATAACAAAATGCGTACGTGCTACCCTGCTTGTGAAAGAAAAGGGTTCAACTGTATTCATTTTCTTTTTGTCATGTCTTCAGTCCCTGCTTTTGTGTTAGCTGTGTCCAAACATGTGAACCCTGATGAGTTAGTGATAAATTGCTCGTTGAGTTGGAGCAGTGCAAAGGGCGCTAAGCAAACAAAAATTTTTAGCATGCACTTGAACTTTTGCGTGAACTTGAACTTTTGGGAACTATGCAACCTACACCTATAGATAAGCCACTGTCATCAGTGCAACCAACTTTCTACTGGCTTCTGCTGTTTGTTCTGAAAGGAATTGTTGTGTGTGGCCATTGCTAAGATATAAAAACAATTGTGTTATGTTCTCTTCTTTAGCCATTGCCTTGTCTATAGCACCACATCTTCGATACAAAGCACAGAGAAACGAAAGCTGTTAATAAGTGCAGTTTACTCATAATCACTCGATTTGATGCATGATGAAATTTGTTGGTTCTATGTCGCAACTTGTGCAGCAGTGAATGGTAGTGCATGTGCATGTTTTCCCTATGGCAAAGAAACTGCTTGACCAGAACTGTGCCCGTGACAACATTTCGCTCTCGCTTCCCAGTCTTGCCAAATATACCAGAATTCCTGGTTTGTGTGTATCAACCGGTTGGTATAATTTACTGACAATTCATGTGGTGCACGATCCCTCCTTTGTCGAAGTACTTTTAGATGTGAAAACCAGATGCTTTACATTTTCATGGCCATAGCATAAAAAAAAATCACAGCATATTTACGGAATGAAGGATGATGAGTGGGGCGAAGCGTCCGTCAGCCCATCCGTGCTTCCGTCTGCCCATTCGTTCTTGCTTTCTTCCTTCCGCGCGACCATCCATGTGTCCATCCATGCATCTGTCCGTGAGTCCGTCCGTCCGCACATTCGTCCATCTGTCCATCGGTCTTCTAGTCTGTCTGTCCATCCGTTCGTGTGTCCATCTAGTGAACACTCCAAGTACTTCCATCTTGCATCCTCTGTGGCACATACCTGCTCTAAAGTGGGTATGTGCCACCGGTGGCTACATAAGACAACGTTGGCGGATGTACAGATCCACGCCTTAAGGAGGTTTGCCCCTAAAACTAAATTTGCCCAAAATATATTCATTGACTTTCTTTTTTTTAATAAGCCAGATATTAAGAAATCAGCTACTGTGATTGAGGTTGTTGCAGAAGGACTCGACCATACTTTATGTGCAAGGTGGTGTAAAACATCTGAAGAGGAAAAGAGTACATTTTTAAATATTGCTTGTCTGACAGCATTTCATCAGCTACCATTTTCTAGTTTGCCCTGTCAATTTACCTTGCCCAGCAGCCACACTTTGGTGTGTCTGTCTTTTGAATCATGGCACCATGAGCACTTAAAAATAATTAAGAAAATTTAATGGGGGACATGGTTCTTAGGGCTCTCTTATTTATTTTTGAACCAAGTGTGACAAAACTTGGCATGCTTACTTAGTTGTTCTCCGGATTCTAAAAATGTAGTTATTTTTTCTGTAGCTTCATCAGTTAACTAAATAATCAAGATAACAATTTCTATTGTTCTTACCATAATAGAAAAATAACCACCTGTCAAACATTTTAAATAACATAGGGATTGACAGTAGAAAGCATAAGACATGCAACATAAGAAGCACTTTTTTGAATGGGTCAATATTTCTTACTTTACAGTACACTTAACTTCACAGCCCTGAATGTGGCCATTGTGTGGTCACACAAAATACTAGTTTGAAAAATTTGCAGCAAGAGAAATCAAAATCTGCTTCTTATGTTGTGTGCTCCAAACATATAGCTTCATGCTGCAAAATAAATTTTCTGCTATCTGTAATAGTTTCAGATATATTGCAGCAATTTTCATGCAGGGTGTACAAAATTGCTATTTTGAGAAAATGAAGAAAACAAAATTCTAACATTTTTAACTGTAAAAATGTATGCACTTATAATTACATAGCCATTGACATATAAATAAATGCTAGAAATTCTAAGGAGTGCAATGCTTCAAGCTGATCGAAAATCGAACGAGTACTTCTCGAATTACAGCACAGTAAAGTTCATTGCATGTAACCAAATACAGAAATTTTTATATTAAAATAAAAAAAATGAAGCTGTCCATTAAAAATAGGCTCCCAGCATTGTTTTTGTGCACATTTAGGTACATTGTGCAAAAACAATTACAGCTCTAGTTGTCCTAAGTTCACTTTTACCGAACAAGCAAAAGAAAGTGGTCAAAATCTGTGCTTCGAAAATAATGCTGTTAAAACTTAATTTCGTTGTTCCGAGGGAAAAATATCATGGCACACATACTTTTAGTCAGTTAATATTCACCGAGAGTGTAATAGGACTGATTGTTTGTACGAGCGTGTCGTTTCTTCTAGTTCTGTAGCAAGTTGTCGCCGTGTGCTCGTCTGTCGCGAGGCCGCTTATCAGTTCGGTGACTGTACTGACGGTGATGTGCGACAAATGTGTGTGCGTCATCCATGATCCGTCAAATAATGCGGCGATGTTTTCCGGCTTGTCCAGAATAAGTTACCCGTAAGTGTCGCGAACCAAAGTTGCTCCCTCGCTCATGAATTTCAAGGCTGCACGAGTGCCGAGGTGTTAGTTTCCTTTTCACGTAAGACTGCCGCATTTTCGAGCGGAGATCGCGACGTTGTGAACACCTCGTTAAAAGCAGTCTACCTGTTGCCAGTAGCCTCCATTGCGAGGGCCGCGAGCATGTTCATTGCGAACAGATCGACTTTCTGTTGTTGGTCGACGCGCGGCCTACTCCACTCTGACAACCCGTCGCGCAGTTCAAGGTCCTTTCGTCAGGCAGGGGGAACCACAACATCGGCGGGTTTAGCGATAAGACTACACTTCCGTTCCGTCTCTACAAAATTGATATCTCTTGTAGCTTCACTTCTGCTTTTTACTTGCCATCCTCTAACTGATGAGGCTGCAAAACACAGCCGTTCTCAGTAAGGTTGTCGGCAACCAACGAGCTCGTACGTGAGTAAGGCCTACACCGGTGACTCGGCGACCGCCGTTGACCGCGTCGAGTTCGTTATCCTCGTTGTCCTGAGCCATAGCGGGGATCTTTCTGAAGTTCACAGCGAACGAACCATCGCCACACCCGCTTCACAAATTACTGTAGCACAGAACTTCTTTACTGCCGCAAGCAGTCAGTAGCACCATGACAAAATGGCGCATGTCTGTGCGCGTCACGATGGTGAAGCAGACGCTGAAAGCGCCCCTTGGCCAATCGCATGCCTAAATTTGGTCACGTACCCCAATCAGCCAATTGAATCTCAGGCTAGTGCCTTTCGATGACGCGTTTTTGCTAAAAACTAATGAGCAAGGTGAGCCAGCGGTGGCGGGATGAAGAACGACCCTTCCAAACGAGACCAAGATGAACACGATAGCTCGTGTGTAATGGCAGCAGTTTGGCGCAGAAAAAGCGCGATTATAGCGTCAATTTGCGCTCACATTCATCTCACAAGGATGTTATAAATTGATTTTGCGCCAAAAATAATGACGCGAGAAGCTAGAAACTTCTCAGAGAAGTGCAAAAATAGGCGCAGATTTTGAAAATGTCAGCTTAAAAAACTTGATTTTTTTGCGATTTTTGGCCTTCTAAGACCCGTGTACCCCCTTACCTAATCCCCCTGGGAAACTGTAGATGTAAGGCTGAAGTCATAAACGAGTGCCTGTTCTTGTTTCCGCAACAGTTGTGGAGGTGGGAAGCAGATTTAATGCGACAGCAAAAGCACCGCCATCATAGTGCTTCCGTGGTATCAATGCACATGTTCAACTCACATGTAGAGCGTCAAAACGTATGCAATGCATTTGATTTATAAAGCAAAAAAAGCAAACGAGTGCCCTGCCATTCTTAATTCAGCTGACTGAAATTACAGTTAAACCAAGTACGTATGGCTTGTGAATTCTCTAGCATGACTTCAGCAATCACTGTAGGAGGACTCTGCCAGAATTTTCGTACATTTCTTGCACCCACAGCTTTTTATTTCGCTAATCGTGCGTTTATTTCGTTTATTTGCAAGTTTCGTTGAATCAGTAGCTGACACTTGCATACGTTGAAAATTGACTCAGTGGCCATTACAAATTATTTTTGTTGGCCTCCTGAAGTGGTCTAGTTATCATACTGCTCTACTGCTCGCTTGAAGGTTGTGGGATCCTAGCTGCCACAATCACATTTCAATGGAGGCAGAAATGCTTGGGGTCCCTGTGTGCTTAGATTTGCACACATGTTAAAGGGGCTATAACATCCAATTTTCACTCATAATTTGTGTTATGTGGCTTACTTCATAGGTGTTCACAAACAAGCTGGCGTAATTTCAGTGCATTTGGTCTATGACTTGACCTATAACAAGCATTCTTATAAACATGTGAGCTGCCTGTGAGTCTGGCAACACTGGTGTACTTGCAAGTCGTGCCGTAACAGGTCGCTTGTTTTGCGAGCATCTATATTCAAGTCAACGATATTGTTTCGTTGTCAGTTGCACATGCAATGAAGCTATTAGAGCTTTCTTAGGTTCGGCATTGAAAATTGAACGGTTTTCAGCTGCTGAACTTAGCCAGAAGACGACAGCTCCACTCAATGAAGCACGTGGCGTCGCACATGCCATAGCAAAATGGTGGTCGCTGGCAGCAGGTGGAGTTTATAGCCAATGACTTTTAGGGCTCACATCGCAATGAAATATTCTTTTGTATTCCATTTTTTATATATGTACCCGGGCAATAGACCGTCTACTTCTATTTTCTGCTGAAAACCACAATTTGGTGGGTGACTGTGTCATGACTCCTATAATAAAACCGATCGTGGAACTCTCATCTACCACATCTTTCATAATAATATCGTGGTTTTTGGAAGTAAAATCCTACAAATTATTATTTAAATTTATGGGTTCTGATCCAAAAGATCTCAGGAATTTTTTTCTAATAGCCAGCAGTGCTGCCTGGCGGAGTGGTGCCTCGGGTGTAGACGTTAGTGGGAGATCTATGCTTCAAATTGAATTTGATTTCAGTCGCTTGTGAGTAGTTGTTGAGGCAGATCAAGCCATTGCGCAGAGCAATCTACTACACCCTCGTTCAGAGAAAAAAATGGATGAGTTTTTAGCATTGTCAAGCGATCAAGTTTTGCGTGAAATGGGAATAAAGACAAGTCGGAGGTGCTCGAAATGTTTCAGAAAGCCTATGGTTACAACGCAATAAAATAAAGCCATAGTTTGATGGGACACAGGAGGTTCCGGGAAAGTCGGAAGTTTCTCAGTGACAGCGACCACTCTGGACATTCATCAAAGTCACACCAGGACGATTCGGTGCAGAAAGTGTGCCAAGTATTAGACGACTGGTGATTAGATGTCAAGATGATTACGAAGGAGTGTGTAATGCCCAAAACAATCGTTCATTGGGCTTTGACGAAGGATTTTCCAACAGGAAAAGTTTGTGCAAAAGTGGTGCCAAAACTTCTGATAAGTGAGATAAAAGAAAAGTCACACCGCGTTTATTGTCTCCAAGTTCCAGGTCACAATGAATGTTGTAGCACTGCTCAAGTCACTCACCACCAGACTTCTTTTTGTTTCCGATGATTAAAAAAAAAAACCCTAAATGAGACTCTTCATGGGGTGCTGGAGACTGTAAAAGTATCTTCGACGATATCGTTAAAGGAGGTTCTCGTTGGTAGCTTTCAGGGTGCCTTCAGTAATTGGCTCAAGCGTTGACAATGGTTCTTTAAACCAGCAGAATAATACTTTGAAGAGTTATGAAAAAACTGTAAACTCATATGGAATAAAGTATCTATACAATAAAAATTTCGGGAAGACTTTGGACAGACTGTGTGTTTTTTGTTGCTGCAGATATTCACGGACAGGCCTTCTGACGAACCCAATTCAGACGAGCTCAAGCCCGAAAACGTGCTGGAGTATTTGCACCGTTTCGAGGATGCTGTTGTCCTCTACCTCGAGCATCTTGTGTTTGGAAAAAAGCTTGAGGTTGGTGCTAAGCTCGTCTCGCTATTTTTGCTGGACAGTTTACAAATGTTCATAGATTGAAATGTGACTTCAGAACTTTAGGCACATCAACTTGCGTAAGGACCGACTGATATAACCATGTCCTGTCATGGCGAAGCCGGCTGCTGAAGGTCATGTTTGCTCTGATTTAAGCAGCGATAGTTGCGCCAAAGAGCAACAGCAGGACGCACGGACACGAATTTGTTTCCCATGTGCCACTTTTGCGTGATGCCTGCCGCTCCGATCAGCAGCCCGAGCTGTTGTCCCAGGCTGCCAAGTCAGAGCGAGTTCTTCCAGGCGTGTGAGCTGGCTCCTCGGCTCTGGCCCAGCCGTCACATGATTGCCATGTCAATGCTCCCCCATTATTTCACGTTGGGCAGACCCTTTGCCGCGAGTGAATTTTCCAGCTGCGGCGATGTTGATCACGCCGACTAGTAAATGCTTTGGAAACCGGTTTTGGTCTCGTGCGACGGCTGTTGCTGTGTTCTTGGGGCAAAATTGCTTGCATGTGATACACGCTTCAGTATACAAGACTGCATTACACCGATTGGACATGAATGTAATTGGAAAAAATGTGTGTGCATTACGTAGCCCTGAATAGACATGTTTCATTCTGAGCGTAACACACATCTTTAACATTCGATTCCTTCCCAGTAGCTTGAATGTACACTTAAGGATTTTGTGTTGATAATTCTTCTTTATTATCAATATTGTTATTGCAGCTAAACCTTATCATACCAAAATATAAGGGGCACTGCAATTGGCTAGTTGTACAGCCGATAATTCATTACAGCAGGCATTTCATGCAAATATTATGAACTGCACTTACCCAACACAAATAGTAAGAGAAATAGCACCTTTTTGCATGGTGGGACACCAGAAAAGTCATGCACCCACTTTATCACAGATCAAGATACATAACTGCGTCTCTCATAACTATATGGTGGTTTTGGGACGTTAAACCTCACAAATCAATCAATCAATCAAGATTCATAACTCATATTTCAAACAGACTTAGCTTCAAAGAAGTCTGTGAACGAGCGTTGATGCATCTTTCTCATGTGCACGATAACTCCCTCAGTCGTGGCCACTGTGTTTGCACTATCTTTCCTTCCCCTGGGAGTGGCATTGTAGCAGTGTTTTTATCGTAGTCATCTTCTGGTGGAGCGTTATACCAGGGGTGTTAAGCTTACCTGAGCTAGTGTACTGAAGTGATGAAATGTAGCAACAATACTGATTTTTGGCCTAGTTGGTATTTGCCTGATGAGATGCTTTGGCAGCAAATAACGCTTTGTGTGTGTGTTATTTGCGACCAAAGCATGTCATTTATGAAATGTAGCCTCGCAAGGGCCTTGACAGTGAACAAAGTCAAAGAGGGGGTGGCGGGTGTGTGTGAAGAGACACTGACAATAGTGATTGGGCTCATTAGCGCAGTATCGTCAAACGGGGTCAAAAGCAGCCAATATTGGTGCAAAGTAGCCACCATCGGTGACCCTAGTTTGGAGGGTGAGCCAGATATACAATATGATTGATAAGGTTTGTAGTGTTGTTCTTTGTCAAGTGCTTGACTCATTTGGCCTTCTTTTTCTACATCGTTCTTTTGTAGAAGGAGAAATATCACACCTTACTTGCGGTGATGTACCTAGATATGGTGTTACGTCTGCTCAAAGAAAATGGTCCCAGCGGTGATTCGGAGAGGCTGAAGACGATTCGGTGAGTGGGACAAATTTTGTGAGCACTGCAGCATGCATTGAGTGGATTTATGCAAACAGCAGTCTGTCATAATCTCGTAGTCATATTAACGACATCATTCACAAGCAGGTATATATGGGCACAGCAGTGAATTACCCTGGGTTGAAAGCAGTCCAATCAAGATAATCGACAAGGTTTGTCGTGTTTAGAGGATGAGCCAGACATGCAAACTGTTTAGATCATTTTCCTGGCTTGTCTATTTTATTGCCAATGCTACAATTTGTTTAACTAAAAAAAGCAAAAAAAATTGGCACAACTTGCAATACTGGGTCACTTCACAGCTGTTGGGCACCTAGCCAGTCTTGGCTTGGCTTGGCTTTTAACCTGTCACCTGTCTTCCCACCCTTGCTATACTATACTATATTGCATATGGTTGCTCTTTTTGTAACTTTTTTCACATGAAAGTATTTCATGCTGGGCTCCACCAAGAGTTCAATGACTTATTTACGTCACGGAAATGATGACAAAAAAATGAACACAATCAATTGATTGATTTGTGGGGTTTAACGTCCCAAAACCACCATATGATTATGAGAGACGCCGTAGTGGAGGGCTCCGGAAATTTTGACCACCTGGGGTTCTTCAACGTGTGCCCAAATCTGAGTACACGGGCCTACAACATTTCCGCCTCCATCGGAAATGCAGCCGCCACAGCCGGGATTTGATCCCGCGACCTGCGGGTCAGCAGCCGAGTACCTTAGCCACTAGACCACCGTGGCGGGGCATGAACACAATCAAATGTCAAAGAAAAAAAAACGTTCCGTGAACAGGCATCGAACCAACAACCTTGCGGTTCACAGCAACAGATGCCGGGTGCGCTATCCCCTGCGCTATGGCCACAGACTCGTAATGGCTTTACAAACACGCCTTTTATACCCGATCGAGTCCACTTTCCTCTCGCAGTACTGTTAATCAGCGGTACAGCGTCGTCCTCTTGGAGCAATTTCATGAAGTAATTCATTATGACTGTGGTCTTCACTATCAGTACTTGCAACGTGTGTTGCTATGCCTCTGTCCATTTTTTTGTCAATGCCCTAAAGTGGCGACCTCAGCCAAAGCGTCAGCCTCGCTCATAGCGTCCATCCTGCAATGCCCACCTGCCTCTGAGAGCTGATACTGCGAAGAATCGTGGCCGGGTTACTGGGGCAACACGGTGCACTCAGCGTTTCCCTCCAGTCAGACCGTGGTGTTCAATCAAACTTCAACATGCTGCGGAATGGTGACCTTAGGTAATAATATTAATACTTGCTGGGGTTTAATGTCCCAAGACCACCATATGATTATGAGAGACGCCGTAGTGAAGGGCTCCGGAAAGTTTTACCACCTGGGGCTCTTGAACGTGCACATAAATCTAAGTACACAGGCCTCAAGCATTCTCTCCTCCATCGAAAATGCGGCCGTTGAAGCTGGGGTTCGATCCGGCGAACTGCGGTTCAGCAGCTGAGTGCCTTAGCCACTAGATATCTGCGGCAGGCGATGGCGACCTTAGTTAACACTTGCTATATAACAGTTGTTGAATTAGCTGAAAATCTGTGTCCAATATGCAACACTCCTCTGATTATTACGCCTCTTTCTCTGGTTACACACTCTACAGCTACCACAGTGGTTCGTTTAGTCATCGATCATGGGCATTACTTGTCGGGATGAAGATGTGCCGCTGCATATTGTAACGCACAAACAATCTTTGAATGTATGTTGTGTGATTATATAAAAAAAAGCTGCACATTTAATTTGGGTTAATGCATTGCCTGGCTACATCTCTTTAGTTTCTTTGATGCATATTTTGCTCAAATTGTCGTACTTCCTTTTGCCTATTTTATCATTTCTTTAGCTTGTTTGAATTTATTTGCTTACATCAATGTGTGTGTCGTGCAGGGAAAAGCTGCAGCACCTGCTGCGGACGTCGAATTCCTATCGTGTGCAGCTGTTGCTGGGCAGGACACTGGAGAATGGCTTGCACCAAGAGTGCGCAATTCTCTATGGCAAGGTCAGCAACTCCACTCACAGTTTGATAGCAAAAAGCAACTTTCCATTGGTTGATCAGATGTAATATTCATCTAATGTGTATTTAATATAATGTGCAAAATGTGTTGGCCTTCATATACAGTAAAAGCTCATTAACTTGGATTTTATAGGACTGGATGAATCGTTTAATTTAACTCAATGTGGGATGATTGAAAGCATAAAGAAAGTTACTGACTTTATTGAGTAATACAAAAGTTCAGCACCCATTTTCCAAAAGAGCTGTGCAAGCGACAGTTTTTGTCATTCACAACTTTATAATGTGACCGCAGGTCAAGGCCACGGTGTCTTAAGTCGAATTGTGCTCTGTATCCATGCTTATTATCTACTAGCAATGTGATTGTAGATGGAAACCACACCTTTGGAAAACCCACAACAGTTTTAGCTGTCTGCGAACGCTCTTTTAGTTTTTTTGCATGGCACATTTTCAATGCTGTGGGCTCAGTGTGCTCCCAGGATTATCTTAATTAACCAGGTTGCAGCCAAATACAGCCAATGAACAATAGTTTGATGGCATTAAAAAACACGTATGCTGATTGTGACCTCAGACCACATCCAAATGATCCAATTTTCCGAATTAATGAGTGTCAAGTTAATGAGCTTTTACTCAAGGTGGGAGTGAGGCACACATATTTTAGCTGTTATGACAAACAAGCCTACATTCCCCTGCATAGTAATTATGCTTTGATCTTATAACTACATTCTTTAGGAAACCATATAAAAAACAGGGGTCCTATAACGTAAAGTATAACATGCAACATTTTTTCTGAGTGATTAAAATGTGAATGGCATGTGAAAGCACATATCCTGTGAAAACGTAACAAGCAGGAGCATATCATCAGCATTTTACTGTAGTAATAATTCTATATGCCGGTACTTCATTCACATTGACATTAAACGAGTGCTGACAAGATTTTCAGCCACTCAAAAGAGAGACATATTTCATTTCTATTGCATGCATTATTATTACCTCCGCATACTGAAGCCAGAAAACTCGTATAAAATATTTTACCGCGATACCAAAGTTTTCATCTGCAAGCCTGCCCCTCCGTAACAGACATTATCACAAAGTCACGACAGTTCACTGGGTTTGTGAAGTCTGCACCCTAAATGCAGCTTAAATTGAAAAAATTGCTGTCGCAGTCGCCGGACAACAATTCAGTTATCGTTGTTTACATGAATCACGTGCAATTCACACCAGCCTGACCCGCGTGGCTAAAGTATGTCGCCAGTTGCAGTCTTCCCCTGATGTCACACATGTGTTGACACGTTACTGTGAAGATTCCCCCACCGAAAGGGCATATTTAAAGTGGCTGTATTAAAAATATATTCAATCCACTACAACTCTTCTTTTGTGCTTCTCGACACCCATGTTTTTATTCAATGCTTACTAGTAGGCATGTAGTCAGGTATTACACATTGGCTGCGGCGGCTGCATTTTCGATGGAGGGGAAAATGTTGTAGGCTTGTGTGCTAAGATTTGGGTGCACGTTAAAGAATCACAGGTGGTCAAAATTTCCGGAGCCCTCCACTATACAGCATCTCTCATAATCATAGTGCCACCTAGAGTTGTGAGCCGGCAAGCCCTAGCGAGCCAAAAAGGGCAAAGAGATTGAAGAAGAAGTATGGTTAGCGCCTTGTTCTGAAGATACACGCTCGTGTTTTTCTGCCCCACTGTTCCTGTCTTGTCTCTACGGCTCTTGGTGCGTGACAAACTAGTGGACGTGCTGGGTAATCTATGCACTGTACCCCTCCGCATAGCAGGAACACAAGCGTCGTACCGGTAGTCACACCTGTGCATCGCGCCAGCAGAAGAATCCGAGGGCTATCCCCTGAGTTTGGACTGCTCACAAACAACATGGCAGCTCCAACCAGCCCTACCGACACCAACCCAATCAGTACGAACGGCACAACGCCGCTTCATTGTACCTTATTCACACCGCGAACGCCAAATCCCTTTCATGGCACTGCACTTGAAGATGTAGAAGATTGGCTTGTTCATTACGAGTTTGTTGCCGTGCACAACCAGTGGGACGACGCAGACAAACTGCGGCACGTCTATTTCAGGCTTATGGACGGCACACGTGTCTGGTATGAGAACCGGGCAGGTATTCTCACATCATGGGAAGACTTCAAACGCCGACTTCTTGGGACATATGCCAGCCCTGACCGTCGGGAGAGAGCTGAGCGCAATCTGCAGTCCCGCATACAATTGCCGTACGAAAGGGTTGCGATGTATGTCAAAGAAATGACGCGCCTTTTCCACCGAGCTGACCCCGGCATGCCAGAAGAAAAGAAGGTACGGTACCTCATGCGCGGAGTGAAAGAGCAGCTTTTCGGTGGGCTTGTACGCAGTCCACCCAAGACTGTGTCAGAATTTCTCACGGAAGCCGTCACCATAGAAAGCACTCTTAGGCACCGGGCCCCGTCATACGAACGGCACGTCAACGCTTCAACTACGGACTACTTAGGAGCTTTCGGTGGCCAAATGGATTTCTTCCGAGAGATCATACGTTCAGTCATCTGCGAAGAACTCCAGAAGCTGTCAGTGCCCTCGCAGCCCACTACCTCCTCGTTGTCCAGCGTTGTCTGAGATGAAGTCCAGCATGCCTTAAGAGAACCGCCTTGCATGCAGGATTATCAACCACCTGGTGACTTTCCCCGCATGTCGTATGCTCAAGCTTTGCGGCAACCTGTTACAGCTGCAGTTCCCCATCCCATCGTGGCCCCAGCCATGCTGCAGACGGTCCAAGCGGCGCCATATTACAGCGCACCTCGCCTGATCTCGCGGAAGTCAGACATCTGGCGTGCGCCAGATCGACGTCCTCTCTGCTTCCACTGTGGTGAAGCTGGGCACCTGTACCGACAGTGTCCTTACCGACAACTTGGACTACGTGGATTTTCGACGAACTCACCACCACCGAGGTTCGGTCAGCGGCCCCCTGAAATTGAAGAGTATGTGGCTCAACAGCGCGGAACTTCGTCATCCTTGCACCAGTCACGCTCCCCGTCACCGCAGCGATTTTCTCCTAATCGCCGCACCTATTCGAGCGTGGCGCAGGGTCGGTCACCCAGTCCATGCCGGGAAAACTAACCACAGCGACCTTCGGGGGCGAGGCCGCTCATACTGGACAAGCTCAAGGCCTCCTACCGATGCTTCCGCAAACTGACGATTCTCCGACGACGACACCAGCTGGTTCCGCAAAGATTTCATTAGACATTCCAGTGCTGCTCGACGGTCGCAAAGTCAGTTCTTTAGTTGACACGGGTGCGGATTTTTCTATAATAAGTGAAAAACAGGCTGCTCTCCTAAAGAAAGTGACGATGCCTTAGAACCTCAGGCCAATTGGTACTGCTGGCGGGCACATCCTCATGCCACTCGGCGTTTGCACAGCACGAATACCGATTCGTGGTTCTACCTTCGTTGTCAGCTTGAGCGTTCTTCGTCAGTGTTCTCGAGACCTGATCATTGGCATGAACTTCCTGAGGGAGCACGGTGCTATCATCGACATTCGACAACGCCTCGTCACGTTCTCGACAAAAAGCGCCACACCAGAGCATAATCCCAGCCATGATCGAGTATGTCTGCGGGTAATTGACGATGCTGTGACGATACTAGCCTAGTAGACCTACAGGCTGGCCACTGCGAGGTACTTGTTACGAACTTCAGCTACGAGCGCCGACACCTTTTTCCTGGTACTGTCATCGCCTATGCCTACCCAGTAACAAATGTGACTGAGTGTTTTGCTTCCGAGGCAACCGATAATGCCGAAGCACCTCTCCGGGGCACCGATATAAATCCAACGCTTTCTGACGAAAACAAACGAAGGCTTAATGACCTGTTGATAGAATTCCACACCTGTTTTGCACGTTCATCGAGAATCCGTCAAACGTCGATTACCAAACACCGTATTACCACCTACGGTGACGCGCACCCTATGCGGCAACAGCCTTACCGCGTTTCACCAACTGAGCGACGCGCGATTCAAAAGCAAGTGAAGGAAATGCTTCAAGACGGTGTAATACAGCCATCAAGCAGCCCTTGGTCATCGCCAGTGGTCCTTGTAAAGAAGAAGAATGGTACACTTCGCTTTTGTGTCAATTATAGGAAGCTGAATAACGTCACAAAGAAAGACGTGTACCCGTTGCCTCGAGTGGACGATTCTCTTGACAGGCTGAGGCGAGCAAAGTACTTTTCCTCAATCGACCTCAAAAGTGGTTATTGGTAAATTGAAGTCGATGAACGTGACTGCGAAAAAACGGCTTTTGTAACTCCTGACGACTTGTATGAATTCCGAGTGCTCCCGTTCGGCCTCTGTTCCGCTCCGGCCACATTCCAACGAATGATGGATACCGTTCTCGCTGACCTCAAGTGGAAAAGTTGCCTCGTCTATCTAGATGATGTCGTCTTTTCAGAAACGTTTGACTAGCATCTTCGTCGCCTACGGAGTGTTTTTGAAGCCATACGATCTGCTGACCTTACCCTCAAGCCTGAGAAGTGCCATTTCAGCTACAACGAACTGAAGTTCTTGGGTCACGTTGTGAGCGCTGCAGGCGTTCGGCCCGATCCCGAGAAGACTGCCGCTTTGGCCGCTTTTCCAGCTCCGACAGACAAAAAAAGTCTTCGGCGATTTCTAGGGCTCTGCGCCTACTATCGCCGCTTTATTGAAAACTTCTCTAAGGTTGCGGAGCCTCTCATTAGACTTACGCGTGACGACACCTCATTTCAGTGGACTGACGAACAAGTGACTGCCTTTGCGGAACTGCAACATCGATTGTCATCCCCTCCTGTACTCGGTCATTTCGATGAGGACGCTGACACAGAGGTGCGCACTGACGCAAGCAACATTGGTCTCGGAGCTATCCTGGTGCAAACACAAGATGGGATCGAATGTGTGATTGCCTACGCGAGCCGCACTCTATCACGTGCCGAAACCAACTATTCAACGTCAGAGAAGGAATGTCTCGCAGTAATATGGGCGATTACAAAGTTCAGGCCTTATCTATATGGGCGCCCATTCAAAGTTGTGACCGATCACCACGCTTTATGTTGGTTGGTTAACCTCCGAGACCCCTCTGGGCGATTAGCATGGTGGAGTCTGCGACTTTAGGAGTTCGATGTCACCATCGTATACAAGTCGGGTAGAAAGCATGAAGACGCCAGCACGCTATCACGGGCACCTCTGGAATCCGACCATACAGCTGTAGAAGACAACAGCGCCTTCCTGGGGACTCTCAGTGGCGCGGACCTCCTCAGTAAGCAATGAGCGGACCCCGAGTTAAGGCCCATCATCGATCATTTAGAAGGCAGCACCGCGTCTGTTCCTCGTCCACTTTCCCGTACGTTGCCATCATTTTGCTTACGACACGGCATATTATACAAGAAAAACACCGGTGTTGGCGGCAGATCTTATCTTCTAGTCGTCCCTCAAGACCTTCGTGGTGACATCCTATTAGCCACGATGAGTCACGATGAGCCACGATCATCCTGCCACGATGAGCCGACATCCGGCCATCTGGGATACTCACGGACGCTCGACCGGGTTCGACAGCTATATTTCTGGCCAAAACTTGCAGCTTGTGTCAAACGCTACGTGAAAGGATGCCGCGAATGTCAGCGTCGCAAGTCACCACCTGTAAAGCCTGCAGGCCTCTTACAACCCATCGATCCACCGCGTACGTCGTTTAACCAAGTTGGGATGGACCTCCTTGGACCGTTTCCTTTGTCTCACTCCGGAAACAAGTGGATCATCGTCGCAACTGATTACTTGACGCGTTATGCTGAAACGAAGCCATTGCCATGCGGTACAGCATCTGAAGTCGCCCAGTTTTTCATGCACCACATTGTGCTTCGTCACGATGCCCCGTCATTCATCATCACTGACCGAGGGACAGCGTTTACGGCAAAACTGTTGGACGGCATCTTCAGGCTCAGTTACACGAACCACCGCAAGACAACCGCATACCACCCCCAGAGTAACGGCTTAACAGAAAGGCTGAACAAAACGCTGGCGGACATGATTTCTATGTACGTGGATGTGCGGCATAAAACATGGGACGAAATCCTGCCATACGTAACATTTGCGTACAACACCGCAACCCAGGAAACGACAAGGTTCCCACCATTCCGCCTCGTTTACGGTCGAGACGTGCAAACCATGCTAGACGCTATGATTCCTTGTGACATCGACCAGGAAGAGCTACTAACTCCTGATGTCGACGATTACATTCAGCGTGCAGAGGAAGCACGTCAATTAGCTCGCATGCACATAAGATCGCAGCAATGTGAAGACGCCCGAAGGTACAATATCCACCATCGACAAGTCTCCTATCAACCTGGCGACCAAGTGTGGGTTTGGACTCCTGTTAGACGGCGAGGTCTCAGCGAAAAACTCCTGAGCAAGTACTTCGGACCCTACAAAGTACTACGGCGGCTGAACGAGGTCAATTACGAAGTTATTCCAGACGGAGGCTTGGCAACGACCCAACGCCACTCACCACGAACAGAGATTGTGCATATCGTCCGCCTAAAACCTTATATTACGCGGTGATACTCGCCTTATTGTGCCCGGGCAGCAAACATTTCCTTTTTTTTTTGACATTGTCTGTTAGGTCTCGAATGAACTGTGAACTCAGCTAATGGTTTTTTCTCTTATGACCAACTTCAGACAATTTTTTTTTTGCACCTGCATATGCCCTGTGCACTATAGGTACCGTTTCTCTCTCTCTCTCTTTTTTTTTTCCTTATCGGCCCTGCCGTCCCCTTGTGTATGAGCATCGAGTCGATGCTCTAATGGGAGGGGGAATAATGCCACCTAGAGTTGTGAGCCGGCAACCCCTAGCGAGCCAAAAAGGGCAAAGAGAACGAAGAAGTATGGTTAGCACCTTGTTCTGAAGATACACGCTCGTGTCTTTCTGCCCCGCTGTTCCTGTCTTGTCTCTACGGCTCTTGGTGCGTGACAATATGGTGGTTTTGGGACGTTAAACCTCACATATCAATCAGGTACTATTACGCGTTGTTCTTTGATTATCTCTCATAACATGAAGTCAAAATGCACAGGAGGGGCAGAAAGGATGTGTTAGTAGAGAGTAACATCTTAGTTTGGTTTATTGTGTCAATGCTAAGCTAAACGTGGCATACAACTTCGCCCTTGATGCTGATACATTATCTGCTGTGCACTTTACATGTTGCACAAGTTTCATGAATAAGCCGTTTCTTAAGGGCCTAACTCCTGAGCTGAAGGACTACAGTTAATTAGTAAACCGAACGCAATGGGTCCTTGTTCAATTGTGACCTTTCAGTTTGGTACGAAAGATGAACCACCCATCTCCCAGCAAGATGTCATCAATAAATATAGATTTAAATCTTGTAATGAAGTTCATAATCACATTGATTGATCAACCGTGCTGGCAGCTGGAAGACCACGACAAGGCACTTCGTATCCTGGTCCACCAGCTGAAGGACTACCAGGCCGCCGAGGACTACTGCCAGCAATTGTCGCAAGGGCGGGACCGGCGCTTTCGACACCGCCTGTACCACACCCTCCTTGCTGTCTACTTAGACAGCAGTCTTCCGTGAGTCCCTTTCTTGTGTTAGCAGTTCGAGGCATGCAATGGAATAAGTGCAAGAGTATGTCTGAAGCTTACTCGTCTAATACTTTTCATACTACAGTGAAATCTCGGTATAACGAACTTCAAGGGACCGTGGAAATTTGTTCGTTATTTTGAAAAGTCCTTATAGTGAGAGCTCGAAAATTAACTATAAATGCTTATTTTTCACCAACCAAAATGACTTACCTTTACAACGGTGGGTCCTTGAATTCGTTTTTCTCGAGGGAAAAAACAGCAACAAACCCACAAGTAAACACCAAAAAATGCGCGTTTGCTTTAAAGAAGTCTGTGTTTTTTTTTTTTTATGACGCGAGCAGCACAAACTTTGCAGCGCGAAGGCCTCCAGCTCATCCACATTCCTGTAGTGCGATTCGGCTATTTGGTCACAACAGCCTGCTTTTTGCCTTCCAATTGCCGGAGAATATTCATTGTCTCGCTTAGCAAAAACTGCTTCTGCTTCTTCGTCGCTAGCAGAGATGAACTCATTTGTAGTATCACCACAGAACGAACGCTGACTTGCTTTGCAGACGCGATAAGTAATCACCGAAAAGAGATGAACATGACTGAAAAAACAAGTCCTTCAAAGAAAAACCCGAAGCATCACGGCTGTCATCGCCTCTTACGAAGAAAAAAGTGCTAAAAAGTAAATGCCTCGCATTTCGTTTTCTGCTCTCTTGCTGTCTCAGGTTTTCTGTGCCCATGCTTCCTGCTCCGCAACTCCCGCTCTGCCTCACTGACCTTGCCCTCTCGTGTTTCCCTCGCCTGTGCGCTTGCTTGTAAGCCTGCAGCGTCGGCATTTCAACAAAAAGAAAAAAGAGAAAGTCGCCCTTTCATTTTTTTTTTCCTCCACACCGTCGCGCGTCTTCCAAGAAGCAAGGCGTCTGTTCGCTTTGTCGTCTGCTTGTGTACCGCTCCGGTGGTCGCGACGGATTTCAGAACATAAGTTCGTAGTACTGAGGCGTTGTTAATATAACGCGGAACTAAATTAACGCTCATTATTTTGAAAAGTTCGGTATTCTAAAGTACGTAGTAGGTGAAATAATTTTACATTGAAACTATTAGCAGTCGGCGTGGGATTTTTTAAAAGTTTGTTAATCTGAAAAGTTTGTTAATGTGGGGTTTGTTCTACCGAGATTTCACTGTACAAAATTCTATACGCCTTTTACACATACAGTAGACTACTTTTAAATGAAACCTGAAGGAACCAGGAGAATGTGTTTCCTTTAAGAGCAGTTTCGTTTACTGAAAGATAAACAGGCGTATAATATTCATCTACAAAACCAAACATATTAGTTGCAGTTGTTCCACTTAAGCAGCGATTTCATTTAAGAAAGTTACGTTTAACAGGCGTATACTGTAGTACTAACTCAAAACTCATTATAACGAAGTTGCAACTTACAGGAAAAAAAGCTTGTTATAACCAAAAATTGGTTATAAAGGTATGTTAATAACACTGGATATATTTCAAGACTGCTTTCTGCTTCCTTTGTTGTAATCAATACTTTGTTATATCCAGATTCGTTATATCGAGGTTTGAGTGTAGGATCTCCTAACACTAGCTGATGTTGCGTGCAATTGACTAGCATGGTAATTACTAGATGTTTGGTAACGACAGCTATCAAGGTAATTGAAGTTGATTAGAGATAGTGATAACATTTCTCTCGCATTTACTGCTACAGTGCCATTGAAATATTTTTCTGTATGTACAGATTGTGCAGAGCCCTACTCACTTGCTTTCCTGTCACTCATTTTATGTGCACATGCGAAATGTCATATTATTCTGAATATGCATGGGAGTAATATGCACAGGAGTAATGAATAATGAATAATGAGAAGTAATGAATATGCACAGGAGTAATAATGTTGATATCGCGCACCTGTACGTAATTATGTCCCGCTTCTTGGTAACTTTAATAATCTGCTGTACCTTCCCACTATACTGTTTTTGTCAATGTGTATGATACTTAATCTGTGTTATAATATGTCATCAACGAGCTTACTGCAATTTATGTATAGTAGTTGTAATTGCCCCGCTACTAGACTTTGGACACGGTGTTTGCTGACAATTTCAGTTTCCTTTCCGAAAAATAGAACTTAAGAAAATTGAAACTTGATACGTGTGTTGAATTATGTTTCAGTGGCAGCACCACTCACGTACAAAAAAACCTGGTGTGTTTAATTGCTTTCCCATTTTGCTTTTAGTAAAAGTTTGTTGCTAGTTCAAGCAGTTCATTTCGTGGACACTCTCTGCGCCTTGTGTGTGGACTCTCTTAGTAGTATCAGCTCATGATTGTCGCAAATGGGGTTCAAAGCATTGCAAGATGCTTAATATTGGCTGATTCACATCTTACGGTCAATGCTATGTGCTGTATATATTGCAAACCAATCCCTATGCAATCAGTTTGAGTGATTGCTGGTCTGATGGTAAAAAAATAGTCTTCACTGTTCACAATCTTTGCTGCTCACAAGACGAGGACAGAGGGAGGTACAAGAACAAAGGCGGTAAACTTTCAATTCTGTTGAAAGTTTACCACTTGTATTGTCATGAAGATATTTGCAAATTTACTTTCTTACCTGTTGGTACAAGCTGTAAAGCCGAGCCAGAACCAGGGCGCCACTTTTTCTCATACCTAAAATACCCTCGTCATTTTGTTCATAGTGTCCTAGCTATGAAAACTGCACTGTTCACTTGGTACCGTTAGAAGAAAGATCTTGGGGAGTGTGTGAGACTTGTTAAAAAAATATTACTACGCATGCGTGGCCGAGAGTATTTTCCAATCAAGTTCTGTAATCTCAACCCCAGACTAGCAGAAAAACAACTCTTTTCATTCAATGCATCTTCCTGCTTGCCATTTTCGATGTTCTTTCCTGTTTCTCTATAACCGTAGAGCTTCAAGGGATAGTAAAAAAAAATTTTTGCTGCCAAGATTTTTAGCCAGATTGAAAGATTGGGTGCTGGAATTGGTAGACACAACCTTCATTTCAGACAGAAAATGGAGGAAAAAAATGAATTTAATGAGGTTTTTTTCAAACCGTTATGTTGAGTGGCCGCGCTGCGAAATAAAGGAGGTGACATTACATTAGCTGAAAACGGGCATCTCAACAATTCCAGTTATCTCCTGTGTCTTTCAATCCACTCAGCTTCCCGCTACATTTCCCAGAACAACTACAGCCGTGAACAATGCTTCCAGTTGGCGTAAAGTGTCAGGGCTTTTGTTAAAAGGAGAGAGTGGGATCAAATAGGTGTTGTAGGAAAGAAAGAGAAGGAGAGGAACACATGCACCCTGAATGCGCCTGAGAGAATGCGATGTCATGGCTTAATTCTCCCACCGTTCGAAAATATGGGAAATAAACTGTTTTTTGGAAGAGTGGTGTCTTCGGAGTATACTTTTAGTTTCTTTTTTCAATTTTTGTTCAGTATTCCTTTGATGACTGGTAACATTGTCACTAAGCATAGTGTGTGAGGTTACCACAGGGCTTGACATACCCATAGTAAATTTTGAAAGTCTTTGTGGCGCTCATGCACCTCCATCATAATTGGGATGAAGCCAGGGTACTTCAAGTTGGAAAAAAAAAAAATGATGGAAAAAGCTATCTGTAAGTGAGAGTTTTTGGTGAGAAAGAAGAAAGAAACTTGCAGGCAAGCTGGCTTAGAGATTTCTGTAATTTGTTGGTAAGGGGCTACCTTTTTAAGCAGTCTAGTGCTGCTCTCATTTTCAGCTTATAGCTGGAAAGTAAGTACCAGTGATGACAATCTGAACTAAAAAGTCACGAAGGCAATGTTATATGTTCTTCTTGTGGTATTCCATAAAGTGCAGTTAATTTGGTGTTATGGATTTATAGTTGCAAAACAGAGCAGTTTCCCTTAGCTGGCCGGCTTTAAACACCTTGACTTAAGGATTGCATCTGTGTTCTTGCACCTGGTGTTCATGCGATTCTTGTACTCATTGTGTTGTATGATTATGTAGGAAAAACGACCAAGAAGCGTTACTACCAGCTGCCATCCAGCTGCTAAACAGTGAAGTGGCTGAATTCGATGCTGTAAAGGTATGCCTAGTGTCTTTCACTTATGCGTGCATTGTATCGACTATCAAACAACGACTTGCTTCTTTTCTTTTTACCTGTCATTGTAAGGTAGTGACATGTCACAACTTTCCCACTAACGCTCACTTTTCACTGAGAATTGGAATGGCAGCTCATCATCTAGAGTTCCTGTCATTCTGTATTTGTATGCGCATCATTGATTGCAAAAAAGAATTGTCCTGAAGGAAACTGCTTGAGGATACGAAAATAACACCACCCGGGGTACTGACAGCAGTCTTCCATCGTAGTTGGTATCTTCACACGGTGGTGGCAGAACAAGTCTTGGCTTGTGTGGTGAAGGCAGGATGCTGCTTTTAGGCTATGATTGTGAGTGCTCGTTCTACGGGTAAAGGACACTGGAACCTCAATTTAGTGACCACTGTTCTGTGATGACAAGCACTTTATGATGAAGAGGTTTGGTCCGTGCTAAACTGCCCATGAAATATAATGTATTTATTGATGGATATGCCAATCCCACATTGCACCACTGTCCAATATCTTCAGAGAAAAAAAAATCACCCTATTTGCTTGAATCGAAGGCCCACCAAATATTCATGGTTGCAAAAAAATTTCACGCGCCCCTAGGTGGATAATTAGAAAAAGAGAGTGAGACATCCACAGTATGCCCTTTTCGGATGGGAAAGTTGTTCTTCTGAGGTTCATTTTCATCCATGATTCAGTTTTTCTGGCCTTAATATCGCTTCTAGATACACCTTGACTTATGGGAGTATTGAAGGACCAGTAACCTAGACAAGCTCAATCTACACGAAGAAGCATCAGATAGTTGTGTGACTCATTTTTGATACACATATGTTTTCATGTTTTCAGCCTTCTGCTGGCTGATTTCCAGCTGAAGGTCTCCTGTCTCTGCATGACAGCCGTCTTTCAAAACTGAAAACCATGCTCCAGGTGGTTGTGCCCCCAAATTCAGATTCTGATCATCATCTCTTTCTTGATCTGACAGAAAAGAAACAACAGAAGAGCTAAGTGGACTGCTAGTTCAGCAAAGGCAACAAAAAGGTACCTTGATTGCCTTCCCACTTCCGGCACCTGGCATTGAAAATGGCGCATGACCACCTAACAGAGGCCCGCAGCAGGGTTTTTCAAAACTTTGAGATGAGTGGCGGCACAATTCGTCTGGCTGGGCATGCGGGCAAACATATCAAGGTATGTGCAAGTGCTGTGCTATCTGTCGGCACACAAATGCTCAGTGCAAGATGCCTGAAGGCTAATGAGCAGTCAGTGGGCAATATCACCCATGGAAGAACATAGTGCGGACATAATGGGACTCTTGTCGGCTACACCTCGGTGGCCACAAGTACTTGCTCGTAGTCATGGAAAAGCTAACAAAATTTCCAGAGCTGTTCCCTCTATGAGCAGCAACTAGTGCAGAAATACTGGGGTGCATGGTCCAACTCTTCTGCCGCCATGGGCACCTCTAGCCATCACCAGTGAAAGCGGGAAGCCCTTTGTTAGCTCTTTATGGCGCAACCGTCTCACACACTGGAGAATCAAGAATCGCCATAGTGTACCTTACCAGCCAGCTGGACAGATGGGGGAGCGTCACAATGGCACGATCAAGCAGTGTCTATGAGTGTACTGCTCCAACCACAAAGACTAGGACTGCCCCGCCGCAGTAGGCTAGTGGCTAAGGTACTCACCTGCTGACCCGCAGGTTGCGGGATTGAATCTTGACTGGGGTGGCTGCATTTTCGATGGAGGCGAAAATGCTGTAGGCTCGTGTGCTCAGATTTGGGTGCACGTTAAAGAACCTCAGGTGGTCTAAATTTCCGGAAGCCCTCCACTATGGTTTCTGTCATAGTCATATGGTGGTTTTGGGACGTTAAACCCCACATATCAATCAGTCAACAAAGACTGGGGCCGTCATATACCCGAGATCGACCTTGCCATGCGCATGTCGGAGAGCGTAGTCACTGGATATAATCTAGCATTGCTTTGCTATGGCAGAGAGAGAGTTGTGCACTCCGTGGAGAACCTCCAGGCGACAAGGAGGACACAGAGCCTCCCCAAGCTGCACACTATGCACTTGTTGCAGAACTCAGGTAGTGCCTTGGAGGTGCCTTAGAGATGCTAAAAAGCACCAAACAGCTGTCTGGTAGGCTCAGAAGTCAAGTTATGATCGTCGTCGACAGCCAACAATCATCAAAGAAGGTGACCTTGTGCTCTTGGACACTCGCACCTTGAGTGATGTGGTCAAGGGTCTTTCAGGCAAGTTGGCACCGCAACGAGGTGGACCTTATTGTGTGGTGAAGCAGTTTGGAGAAAATGACTTCATCCTCAATGTTCCGGCAACTGGGTCTCGGCAAATCATCGCCCAAGCTGATCTGTTGGTGCCATACCACAAATCATTACTTCTCTGTTCCGCCACGGACTCACTATTTAAGGTGGGGGGGAGAGTTGTGAGAGATGAGATGGAATAGGGAGTATGCGTGTGTTGGGCCCAGGTCTTGGAGGCTCTGTGTGGCTGTGTGTGGTTGACGGTGGAGGAACGAGATGGCACGAGTGTCGATCAGGTGGAGGTCTCGGAGGCTGTGTGTGGTTGACAGTGGAGGAACGCGATGGCGCGTGTGTCGAGTGAACAGAAGGGGGCACGCGTGTGCATGTGGGAATACAGGAGGAGAGAGACGAGGGTACGAGGAAAAGTAGGACATGTTGGATATGTGGTGTGGAGAATGAAGGATGTGCAGAGTGTGTATAAAACATGTGGGTTTGTGAAATCTATTGTCGAGTGTAACAGTGTATACATGTTTTTGCTCAATGCTGTACTTTAATGTTTGACTTTTTAATGTTTAATGTTTAACTATACCTGACATTTCGTAATAATAATGCTTGCACAAATGGACGTTTGCGGGATACTATGGATTGCGACCTTAATGGAGTATGATGCTGGTAGCTGTGCTAGGCTGATGCAAGCCGTGGCTTAATGTACTGGAAAAGTCTCAAATGTTGTTTCTTCTAACTGGATTGCACAAACAACACACAGGGTGGATTACGTTTCGGAATGCATATGACGGCCGGCTGTTGTTCTGAATTGTACCATGACTTGTATAACAACTGATGCATTTTTATCCAAATGTCAGATAATCTGCGCTAACTGTTCTGTTGTACTGTTAGTGTCTCTTCCTTTGATGCCCATTTCCGCCATGGTGGGGCACTGGTTACGGTGCTTCTGCTGCTTACCACAAAGTGCGAGTTCTATTCTGGCCAGTGTGCTTGCATTTTCGATAGATTTGAAACTCTGAAGGTCCATGTACTGTGTGATGTCAGTGGAGGTTAATGAACATAAGATAGTCGAAATTTCCAGAGCCTTCTACTATGACGTTTCTCGTAATAATATTGTGTTTTTGGCCCATGAAATCCATTAAGTTATCAATAGTTAGCTTACTACTCTCACACCTCATTGTAACAAAGCTACATCTTACTCGAAAATAAGTTCATTATATCAAAAAATTCATTATAACAGTATCTCCCTAACACTATATCTATTGCAAGACTATGTTTCATTTACTTCATTATAACTGATATTTTGTTATATTCGGTTTCGTTATATCGAGGTTTGAATGTAATCACTAACTTTATGGAGTGAATCTGTCCGCAGGTTTATTTGATGAAGAATTAAAATTTTACCCGTTTAACATTATGATCTTCACCGTCACTATTACGCAACATTGCAGCCGAGCTTCAGCGAATGAAGAAAGACTAACTGTGTAGTCCTGGTTGTGTGCAGGTGTTACAGCTGCTGCCCCCTGACTGGTCCGTCTCCCAGATGGACCAGTTTCTGGCAAAGGCGGTGCGCACTTCGCTGCACCGGTGCAACATGGCTCGTGTCGAGAGCGCCCTGCGTCGTGCTGAGAACCTTCAGGTGCGCCTGCGAGAGGCCCTGCTGCACCAGACATCGATGACGCTCACCGAAGACAGGTGGGTGGTCATTGGTACTGGAGCAGTGTCGCATATGCTGCGGGTCAAGCATCTGAGGAGCGCTTTCTAGAATATTAGACTGTGCAAAAGTCTTGCACCATTGTAGGAGTCATTGCTCTGTGGCTCGCTCTGATTCTCTTGCACTATAGCAACTAATACACTCAAACCTCATAATAACAAAGTCACAGCTGCTGCAAAAATACTTCGTTATATTCAAAAGTTTGTTATAAACATATAGTCTTAACACTGTATATATGACAAAGCCGTTCTTTGCTTACTTTGTTGTAACCAATAATTTGTTATATACAGGTTCGTTATATCAAGCTTTGAGTGTACGTACCACTTTGTACTTTGTTTAATGCAGCTCTTCTTCTTCTCCCATCCCTGATCTACTCACATTTATTTTAGCAGTATTGAGCATGCTGTAATAATACCTCTGATCTCACTATGTCTATCTTACATCTGGTCGAATGCCATGGAAAATGTTTGAACTATTTGCAATACAGTAGTGATCACTGAATAAACTCTGTTTCTTGCATTAGTCTTTGACTCCCAGTCCTCGTACATTATACTCCGACATTGGTTTGGAACAATCAGTTGGTAGGTGGATGACTTCTTTTCTTTCTGGTCCTTTTTTCGAAAACACTGGCAATTAAGTGTTGTACGTATTTTACATCCAGCATGCATTCTTGCATTGCAGTCCTGCATTGTATTTGATGGAGGTGAAATGGTAGAGGACAATGTGCTGAGCAATGTCGATGCGTGGTAAAGAACACCACATGGTAGAAATTTCTGGAGTCCTTTTCTACAATGTTCCTTATAATTACATTGTAATTTTGGTACGTAAAAATCCCAGAAAAAAATATTGCAGCTCTGCATTGTAGACTATGCTTTACAAAGCAGCTGCATGTAGAATTAATTGAAATGCCGTCAAAGAACTCAGAAAGCATCTGCACTTGAATGCAGATTTAGGAATTTAAGACGAGAGGATGAAGGGCGTCTGAAAACTCGGGACTCCTTCTGGACGATGTGCCCAGAGTTGCTGCTTGGTTTGATGGTTGCTCTGTCAGGCTATGATGCAAGCAACTCTCGATCTGTGACCCTGTACATGCCTATGAGTAACACAAATGAAGGCTAAGAGGACGCGTCCTGAAATACTTATTCATGTCCATGGTCTTTAGTTAGTTCTTAAAGCTTTGTGTTTACTCTCAATAAAGCATGTATAAGCCACAGGTAAAACAGCTGTTATGACATTACCTGCACCACCTTTAAAAGCTAGAGACATTACATAATAACCCTATTGAAAATCAGCCAAATTGAGAACTGTTTTATTGTAGTGCAATGAAATTGTGCGCTTAGACTTGGTCATGAATTGTAGCGTGATGGCCTACTCAGTGGCACTTACAGCAGCGCAGAAGTCTATTGTTGTACTACATTTTTGTCTTTAATAAATTTTTGTTGGACTGTTAGTGCACTAAAGTCTCATCCTAATTTAATTATTATGGACACTGCTATTACCATACACATAGTGAAGCTGATTTTTATTTCTCTTTGTGATGATATCAGCATGTACTGAAAAGGTGGATATAACATGGGTACGTGTTCATGTAAGATGCATTATGACTGTGACAGGTGCTCATTTGTGTTTAAAAATGCAGTGACTTTTTGTCCATGAACTAGTTCATTTCTCATATTTTACTGAAGGTTCATTTACAGGTTGGGACACAAAAACAGGAAAGAAGAATTACTATGAACCCATGGGAGCTAGTGTTGCGAGTGTTGAGTTCAGTGTTCTTCCATTACGTCATGCAGGCTATAGAATATCTGAGTGAATTTTGGTGCTCAAATACTATACCAAGTTCTCGCTTACTAGTTTTTCCAGTTCTGTGTTTGGGTGCAGCAGAGGCCAGAGTTTTCCAAGTTGACAGACTTTGTCCAGCCTGACTCGAACTGTTACTAACGCAGTAAAGGCCCATTATTTCAGATTCCACGGGACCAGAAAAGTGTCCAAATTAACTGGACTTCAATAATTCAAAGTATCAAGAAAACAATAAACTAATGCCTATTACGTCAGTCCACTTTCATTTTTTTTATGAATACACAAATCCTATACTTTGGATAAGGGCAGCTGCAAAAGCCTCAGTTTTCCCCATTAGCAACTTCATTCACAATGTGACCATAGCTTCAGGCCTTCCAGTCCTAACTACCCGAAACCATTTGCGAAGGTGGCACTGGTGATGCATACTGTGCCACCTCCTTTTGGTTGTCCGGAAACACATTTTGATCCTTTGTGTTGCACATTTGTGGTGCTTCACACGAATGGTGCTCCAAAAATCGTCTCAATTAACCGGATTGCGGCCAAACACTGACTGACTAAATGATAGTTTGATGCCATTGAATAATACATAGGCTTGCCAAAATCAGAGAATGCATCCGAGAGAGAGAAAAAAAACTTCATGTACGCATAATGCGGAGCATTTCAAATGATTAAACCTTATTCCAGGGTTGTGCTGGCCGTTGCCATCATCTCTGCTCGTTGGACCAGCCAAAGCTGATCGTCAAAGGCTGTCCTGGACAGTAGTGCCTCCCATCGCTCCATCGTGTTGTTCATGTTGTGGTGTTTTTCACTGCGAAGTGTACACTCCCACGTGATGTGAAATAAAGTTGGTGTGGTCCTCTAGCACGGACATATAGCTCTGTATGCAGTGGGAAGTTGTACATGTAGCCTGTGTAAGTCGGTGCATGTGTTTGTTTTGAGTGAGGTTTTTATGCGCAAATTATCAAATTTTCTAATTTATCAGGTGTCAAATTAACGAGCTTATACTGTAAAAATATGTGTGCTAACATTCAATCATGTTCTTTGAGGCAGAAGGCCTGGTCTTCTTGTTGATAAAAATCGATGTTTTTATGCCATTCTTTTTTTTCCCTACTGCAGGACGTGTGCCATCTGCCTGAAACACTTCCAGGATCCTTCATTCGCCTGGTGCCCCAACGGATCCATCGTGCACGTTGACTGCATGAAAAATGTGGCCGGAACGCAGGGACATTCCAACGACAGTTCGCGGAGCAGCCCCAGATGATGATGGCTGGTTCGATGCTAGTCTCCGTAGGCTTAAAGATGGGGACGCAGGGGGGGCGTGTTAGATCTTTACGGAAGGTCTAGTCTCGAGCTCGCACTTCCACAAAATGATAAGTGCTACGCAACGAGTTAATCATATGCATCTTCTTGAAGCTATTACAAACGAAGGCGAGCGGACACTTTGAATCGCTGTTAGCCCCCCCAACCCCCATCTCCAGTTTCCAAACCCCACTTCAGGCTTGTACAGTGTTTAACTTGCTGTCTACAGAATAAATGTATTTATTTTCTCGGCTCAAGTGTGCATTCTAAATCTCCGACCACTTCAGAAACAAGCAAGTGCTTCTGAAAGAGTCATTTGTCGTGTTGCTATTGCAGCATTGAGGAGCTCCTTCTGAAAAAGGTTTTGGAAGTTCAACAGTTTGCAGTGTCATAAATTACACGGCTGGATTCTCCTAACAACATTCAGAGGAGACTAATATCAGTGTCACTAATGTACTTTTGATAACCTGATTTGATAACAGATCAAGACTGATCTGGATTGGATTGCTTGATTGTATTCAGCAATATTTGCTGCTATGGAGTTGAAAGTGGTTCTGATCTATTGGGGCACAGACGGCAGTCACAGTCGCAGTGTGGGAGCCAGATGACTGTGTGCAGATTGCAATTGCCTTGATCTCGATCGGACCTGATGGAGATCAGGTAGCAGCACCTGATCACAGATCAAGCCTGACTTGATCAGCACTGGTTGTGATCATCAGTTTCCGTGTGACACCAGTACGAGATCTTGCAATGCTGGATTACAGCATAAGAATAGAAGCTTCAGCGAGTTGGTGTGCGTTCACCTGGTAGATGTTACACAGAGATGTTGCACAGTGCTGAGTGAAAAATGTGTACAAAAAAGAACAACACTTTATTTTGAGGAAAGGGGTAAAAAAGGGTATTCAGGAGCATGCTGGAGCGCCAAGTCTAGGTTCGGGCGCCAAGTCCAGGTTCGGGCGCCAAGTCCAGAGCACCACTGGCTTGCGTCACTCGTCTACTTTTACTCAGAAGCGCTAATTGCAGCTCTGGGTCCGGACTCGCATGTTGTGCCTCTTAATGGCGCCTGTCTATGTTTCTTTTTTTCGTCATCGACTCGTGTGTGCTGTATCAACCAAGATGATCATATCACAGTCAGTGCTTTCATCTCCAACCGCCAAAATGATATGCATCCTGGTCCATGCTATGCAACACGCGACCTACGGTTGAAACTGTGCCTTAGCAGTTTCAACTGGAGATACAAGAGTAGATTGAAACACATTCAAGTTAATCAAAAACAATCAGCAGGGAAGTTTAGACCATTGTGAACTTCACTAGCAGAAGCGAAATCCTGTGTTAATAAAATCTTGGAAAAAGATGCTGTTGCTGCAGAGTAATGGGTTGAATTTGTGTTTAGCATCAAGAAGTGGAAGATTTGCTCTGCATGTATGCATTTCAACTTTGAAGTTCTGAGAAAAAATAAAGAACATTGGGAGATGGAAAGAACAAAGGCAGAGACTGTCTCCTATGCGAAATGTTTTCCGCTGAAATGTATAACAAGTTTAACAGTGAAAAGGCAGTCGTGCTCTTTTGATGTTGTGAGCATGCAGCTAGTAGCTTTGAGTTATGACTACACATGTACTTTCTCTGCTGCTATGCAACTTAATTCGTTACTTTGGAGAGAATGTTGACATTACAATCAAGGGAAAGTCCAATTGTTTTGTGCTGACTTTACTCGTGAATCATTCAGGACGCGACTCTAACTCTGATGAAGCGATGAGACTGAGTGAGTCCAACTGGGTAATATTTTGATGAGTTTGAATCCAAGTGAGTCCCATTGAGAAACATTTCAGTGAGGCTTAGTTCGAAGAAGTCTGCTCGAGAAAATTTTTAGTGAATCTGAGTCTGAATGAACCTTAAGAGGAAAATATTTTTCATGCGAGAGTCTAACTGATCACCACTACATTTGCTGAGCTATGGTGCTATCTAGATATCTTCAGTGCTAAAATCAGCCTTACGCACGCTCATGTCCACCACCGGTCTACTTGAAACTAACGTTGACTCCCATGTATTTTAACATTTGTCAGAGGCATCATTTAGAGAAGGGGGAGCCTTTGTCTAAACCTACAAACTCCCATGAGAAATTCTTGATAAAATATTTTGTGTGTTGAATTCAATCGTCAATGTCACATCTTAATCACGACCACACAAATGAAGAAAACAGACAGGATAGGTGCTCGTGTGTATCTTTTAATAAAAATGACCTTGCTGTACTCAGTCATAATTCGTACTACGTGTAATGAAGGTACGAGATCAAAATGTGCCACTTGGTGCACCTATCATGCGAGATAACTGTGTTAAAGAGCGGCAATTTCATTATTGAGCTTGTTAATTACAGTCAAATCAGAATATATTGAAGATGAAGGCGATCATAAGAGATTTCTATACATAGTACAAGAATAAATGATTTGATGGATAAATTATTTTAGATATATCAAAAATATATTCAAAAAGGTTTTAAGATGTACTCAAGATTTTGTTATGTCTGAGCTCAATATGTGTGGATTGATTGATTGATTTGTGGGGTTTAACGTCCCAAAACCACTATTTGATTATGAGAGACGCCGTAGTGGAGGGCTCCGGAAATTTTGACCACCTGGGGTTCTTTAACGTGCACCCAAATCTGAGTACACGGGCCTGCAACATTTCCGCCTCCATCGGAAATGCAGCCGCCACAGCCGGGATTTGATCCCGCGACCTGCGGGTCAGCAGCCGAGTACCTTAGCCACTAGACCACCGTGGCGGGGCAATATGTGTGGATTGACTGTATAAGCTAACATACTTGCGAGTCCAGTACCAAGCTATGAATCTGAGTACAAGTGAGTCCGAATGCAGTTGGAGAAAATTCCAGCGAGTCTGAGCCCGAGTTAGTTCGGCTGAGGCAAATATTGATGAGTCTGAGCTCAAGTGATACTTGAGTGCGCTATATATGTACTTCTTGTGCACCTATGAGTGGCGATATGTTTTTTTTTCAACAGAATTTACAAGGATAAATTTAATTTTTTATGTTTTATGTAACAGATGTGCTTTAATGGCAGTGATAAGTAGACTTGTGCAAATAGTCATCTTGGTCAAATAATTTCGAATTGACTTGGAAAAATAGATATGACATATAAAGAAAAATGGGTATGTTTGTCATGACCTAACTAACCTGCACAATATCTTTTTGTTAATTGAAACAAGGCCTCTGCAAAAGCCATCTTTTGGTTCAAAGCAAGTGGAAACAAGTTTGAATTTTCAATAGCAGAATTTGACTTTCCGTAGAATGCAAGTGATCATCTGTAAATAATCTTACCTCTTAAAATGTGCTAAGAGCATAGAAGTCGGTATAAAAAGCTTTTAAACTTGAAAATTTATTGGATGTGACACTGCCTCGCGCTAAAAAATTGTGAATCGATGTGAAGGTAATATGTTCATTTAACCTCCAAGTGAGGCTTCGCGGCAGTACGGACTTTTTCTAATTGGGTGCTTTCACGGCTTAGCACCTTCTACTGCAGTGAAACCACCTTTGCAGGAGGTTTCCCGCATAGACATCTATATGGTCATTTCGACTACTACGAAATGTTCAGTCATTTAAATTTGAATCGAAGCGTATTCGAATACTGTGACATTCGTTCGCTTATTCGATGTATTCGAATATTCGCACAAGCATTGTTAAAAGCTAGAAACAACCGTAATTTGATATGCTGATTGCTGAGGCGTTTCTTTTCTGAAAGCTATATGTTGCGGTTTCGATCTATCACTATGGCATGGCGGACCCATTTTAATGTGAGCAAAATATAAGTGCACGTACTTGGGTTCAAGTGCACATTAAAGAGCCTCAAGTGGTCAAAGCTGTATCTGCAGTGTAATAATGCGGCGTCACATCGTTATAGCGCCTAAAATTGCAGTACAACTGGCAGTAATCAAAGCATCTTGCAGTTTCTAAAATTCACGTCAGAAACGTTCACCGTAGGTATTGTGAAATAAAACCTAAACATAGTTGCAAAAGTTTCCCTCAGAAGGCGGAAAAAAGCACCGTTGGATGGTCTTGTCGTAATTAAGGAGTGATTGTGATCGCTTTGTGATGACAAATTGCGGCTGTCGAGATCCATTTTAAAGCAATAGATAGCGTGCATGGATACTTTGAGAGCTATAGCTATTTACAGCTATATGTTGTCGTTTTATAAGGAAACGGAGCCATGTTTCTCGACAGTAATTGATTACATGAACAGGGCAGAATTTGCTTGCTTCTGTTAATGAATTACGCTTATAAGTACACTAGCGGCGAGTTCCCTTAATTATAAGCTTTAAAATAATCACAAAAGGGGGCTAAGCTTTTGTGCCATATTGAACGCACCATATCATTAGGTGACTGAGAAATCGCTTCACCAGAAACAAATCTTAAAGGCTGTGCTTTTGCGTGCTGTGGTCTAGGACCGATTGCAGTCAAAGGCACAGTCGGTTTATAGCTGTGTTTTGGTCACCATACGGAATTTTTACATTCCTACTGCAATAAATATTCCCTTCTACCCTTTTACCTAAAATGACGGCTGAAAATTCCCGACCGAAAGAGGAACATTCGATCCCTGCATGGCACATCGTTGCACTTACGCAGTATCAGCGAGGTTGGATAAAATGAAGCGTAATGTACCTATGCTCACACAACCGAAAATGTGTCGGAGGCTCTTAGACCCACCACCGCTTGAACGCAGGACTCGATCGTGACGAATAGTTTTTTTTTTTTTTTTTTTTTGCGGAATTGCGCTAAGCTTTGGCATCAAGCTTTCGTAAAAGCGCGGAGCCGCGGTCAGCGAAGATATCAGCGATGGCGTTCGGCAAGACGGCAACACGCGAACAAACCACAATGCGGTTAGAAAGTGGCGCCGCACGTTGATGGAGAGGGAAACTACCGTTCACGAGGAGGCCGGGGCGGCGCCCCCGGCTGCCGATGGTCGATGGCTTTGCTGCACAGCACCGACGAGAAAAGATCTCGCTTCCTGCGGTTTGTGCTGACGAACCAACTTGCACACCCACCGACCGCCACCGAACGACCGATAAACGCAGTCAAGCTGCAAAATAGAAGTGGGGATGCAGATCCATCTCTTTGAAAATACACACCGCAGGATTCTCTGTCTAAGGCCAGGGG